ACAGAGTAAGAATGGAAGGACTGCGGAAACTTCATAATCCAGCCCACCCCCTGATGTTTGTCTGCATTTACAGACTAAGTACTCTGTATGTACAGAGTAAGAATAGGAGGACAGCACTCACCTTGTGGTTTCTGCATAATCAATGAATAAAAACATTTTTTGTCAATTCCTACATGCTTAATTATTGAGTGATTAAAGATATAATTATGTGTGTTATTATATTACCTTGGGTGGCAATACAAGCCTTCCATAGCTGTCCATTTGAGAGAGGTAAATTTCTACTATATATATATATATATATATATATATATATACATATATATATATATAGCTGTTGTCAGAAGAAAATGGTAAAAAATGGTAAAACTTTGCAGGAGAAGGAAAAACCTACTTTACTTTTAATGTTTTTTCCATGCCATTTTGGATCAATTCTTTTGGTCCATTCATCATTAAATTTACACACAATGTGAAGGGCAACAGGCATTTTCAAATTACGTCAAAGACTGAAACACAACAAAAATGGAGATACAAGGTTTTCTTCCAACAGCAGCAAAATGTCTATACGTATAAACACACAAGAAAATTACACCATAAGTTCCAGGAAATTACACTGTAGTTACAGTTCAAGTCCCCAGTTGTTAATTGGGTTCCAGGAAATTACAAAATAAATGACAGGAAGTTACACTCTAAAACACAGGCTGTAAGATATGGTAGCACTGCAAGATTAAAGTGCAGTCCAGTTTAAAAGTTTGAGAAAGCTAACACTGGAGCTAATCATTGCAACATTAAATGCTACAGAGGACTCATCATCTTATACACAACTTTTAGGAAACTTTAAGGAAACAATACAAATCACTGCATTTGTATGAGTAGATTAATGTTTAATTTTAGACAAAATATTTTAATCACAAATGTGAGCACTGTGCAGTACAGTTTAATCAAATTTATCAAGCATACTGTAAACATGTTATTTATAGTTAGACATATGAAAATGAGTGTTAGTAAATAGTAGTAATCTAAATTAAGTAGTAGTAATCTAAATTAAGTAGTAGTAATCTAAATCAAATTTAGATTAAAAGAGGTATGTCTGCTAATAATGTTGATGCTGAGCTGTGAGTCTTCCACCAAGTTTAATGCAAAACTTTTCAGCTTTGGACTGAAAACAGCACAACTGTCCAGATGATCAGGACAGAATGTGCCTGAATTACACATTTTTCAACAAAACCTTTTCACCATCTCTTAGCCTAATACCACTGTTCTGGCTGTCAGGCCCACATCCTCCTATGGGTTTGATTGGTGCCTGTCCAGGGGCCTGAGCGTTTAGGGGACCCCAGTGAAAAAATGAACTAATTTGTTACTATGTCGGGGCCGGCCATAATGCTCTCGATGTTTTTCCTAAGCATCTGCTTTATTTTCTTCTCCAGTCACTGCTGGGCAACCAATTCACTATTTGCCATTACTTCTGTCAAGCTTTGAGTTTTTATTAGTGAGCTAGCAAAACTGTGAATGTACTTCAAATTTGAAGCTCCAAATTTTGAAAATGCCTGAAGGATCTGTAAAGTGAAACCTGATACTTCCAAAGGGTAGAAGATGCCAATTTCCAAAGCCAACCCAATTCCAAAAAAGTTGGGACGCTATGTAAAATGTAAAGAAATATAAATAAGAACAGAATGCAAAGATTTGCAAATCTCATTGACCCGTATTCTATTCACAATAGAACATAGAACACATATCAGATGTTGAAAGTGAGACATTTTACCATTTCATGAAAAATATGAACTCATTCAGAAAATTTCAGCAGCACATCTCAAAAAAGTTGGGACAGGGCCATGTCTACCATTGTGTAGCATCCCCTCTTCTTTTAACAACAGTCTGTAAATGTCTGGGAAGTGGGGAGACCAATTGCTGGAGTTTTGGGAGAGGAATGTTGTCCCATTCCAGATTTTTCATTTCATTATGCGCCAAATGTTTTCTATTGGTGAAAGGTCTGGACTGCAGGGAGGCCAGTTCAGCACCCGGACTCTTCTTCTGTGAAGCCATGCTGTTGTGATGGATGCAGTAGGCGGTTTAGCACTCTCTTGCTAAAATATACAAGGCCTTCTCTGAAAGAGATGCTGTCTGCATGGGAGCATATGTTCTAAAACCTCTATATACTGTTCAGCATTGATAGTGCATTTCCAAGCTGCCTATGCCATAGGCTCTAATGCAGCCCCATACCATCAGAGATGCAGGCTTTTGAACTGTGCGCTGATAACAAGCTGGACGGTCCGTCTCCTCTTGAGTCCACAGGACATGGCGTCCGTGGTCTCCAAAAAGAATTTCAAATTTTTATTCAACTGACCACAGAACAGTTTTCCATTTTGCCTCAGTCCATTTTAAATGGGCTTTGGCCCAGAGAAGACGGTGGTGTTTCTGGATCATGTTGACATATGGCTTCTTCTCTGCATGATACAGCTTTAACTTGCATTTGTGGATTGCATGGCAAACTGTGTTCACAGACAATGATTTCTGGAAGTGTTCCTGAGCCCATGCAGTGATTTCCAGGACAGAATCATGCCTCTTCTCATTGCAGTGCCACTTGAGGGCCCGAAGATCATGAGCATCTAGTATTAACCGTCGGCCTTGTCCCTTGATGATATTATGTACTGTAGATTGTGGGATATCCAACGTTGAGGAACATTGTTTTTTAATTGTTCCACAATTTTTAGACACAGTTTTTCGCAGATTGGTGAACCTCTGCTTCATTGCTTCTGAGAGACTCTGCCGCTCTAAAATGCTCTTTTTTATACCCAGTCATGTGAGTTAGTTACAAATTGCTCCTCCAGATTCATGCATGGTAGCATGAATTTAATAAAGGGTCATCCTTGTTAAGTAATCTTGCACTGCATATCATTATTTTTGGTAGATTACTAGGATATGGTTACCATATGGCAAAAATTGCAATATGTATGTTATGTTTTCTATTGCATGAATTATTACTTAAACATAATAAACATGATAAAAATGGATGTTTTTATTATATAAAATTGCTTAAATAATGAAAATATTTGGAAAAATAAATAAAGGGGGTAGTTGCTTAATTGTTACCACATGGCAACAATGTGCAGTCTTGGAAAGTACCATTAAATCAATTTTTTCTCTAAAAACTTTTTTTTTTTTTTTGAAAACAAGACTAAACAAATCAAACTTACACTTAATTAATATAATTTCAAATATTATTTGGAATGTATAATGTGGTAATAATAGCAATGTAATAAGATAGTATGTATACCTGATTAAAACTTACTTCCTATTGAATTTCATTTGATCATTCTCATTCAATATCATTCATTTCATTCAGTCATCATCAACATCTTTTTTCTTGACTAGAAATGTTCACACAAGTGGACTGACATATAATTTAGGGTGGGAATACTGTAATTTCTTCTGTTAAAACTATGATTTTAGGTGGTGTAATTTATAAGAGATATTATGTTACAGTTTGTTACATAAAATGTCTGAAATGAAAAAAAATGTTTTTCCCTCTTAAATGTAATAAAAAATTGTTAACTTAGTCTAAGAGTAGCCTAGTGCTATGTAAGTCAATTAGAGTCCAACAGGTTGAAAGCACACAGATCATGTCCATATTCACATTTAGTTACCATATGCAACAAATTAATTTGACCATTTCACAAAAAGACTTATCAGCACTAACTTAACCCCAGACAGTGTTTCAATTCTTTTATTGAAGGAAACTGTTGAATAAATAGTCAACTCTGGGAGTCCTCAGGTCATGACCTTATTTGTCCTTTCAAAATAAAACTTTAAAACATTTCAAACAGTAAAACGTGGATTTTATATTAATGCATTTTAATAAAATTGAGATAATGTGATTGTTGCCATATGGGAACACCATGCAATTATACCTGATAAACATTATTCACATATACGCTGAAATACATTCTAAGAAGGGTGAAAAGGAATTCATCAGCTCAGTGAAATCATCAGTGTCAGCATTTTCTGCATATTGGACCAGACACCCCAGCCCCCTCAAGGACTACAGACTCATCACACTCACATCCCACATTATGAAGATCTTTGAGGGGCTGGTCATTAAAAAGCTCAGACTGTCTGTCATGGACCACCAAGACCCCCTACTGTTCGCCTGCCAGACATACATAAGTGGATGATGGTCTAATCTACATGCTTCACAGAGCCCACTCACACCTGAATAAAGCTGGGGCCACAGTCAGGATCATGTTCTTCAATTTCTCCACTGCCTTCAATCAGGGCTATAAGTAAGATCAGCATTTTTGTGAGGTCTGTTTCCCAAAAATGTGCTCTACATCACTTAGTAAATTAACTTTTTTTTCTTTTCTCATCTATAATTATGTACCTTTTCCTTTTAATTTGGTCCTTTATCATCCCTGAATTCTTTCATAAGCTGCTACACAATATGGTATGTGAAAGTATGTGAAAACCTGACCATCACACCTGTTTAAGATTGTTTGACATACCATTCTAAAACACGTTCCTTTAATATTTATATAATATGTTATAACCTTATTAACCTGATATATGTAAATAAGTTTGCCCTCCTCTTTGAGGCTTTCACAGACTCCACTCTTTTGGGAAGACCTTCCACAAGACTTTAGAGTGCGTCTGTGGAAATTGGTGCCCATTCAGTCAAAAGAGCATTTGTGAGGTCAGGCACTGATGTTGAATGAGAAAGCCTGGCTCACAATCAACTGTCCGATTCATTCCAAAGGTGTTCTTCAGGTCAGGGCTCCTTGCACGCCATTGGAGTTCCTCCACATCATTTCGGTTATTTTGGTGTTATGTTTTTGGCTGAATCAGGTCTGTGACCGAGCAGTAGTGATTTGCATCTGATATTCTATATTTGTACCCACTGATGTGATTCGTTGGAGCCCAGTTCAACTTCCTGATATAGCAGCCAATCAGCTTTCAGCACAGAATTATAAAGCTGCTTGGAGGTTTTAAGAGTGATGCACACGTCTTACCTACAACCGTACGGACTATTTCTGGGCTACAAACTGTAAGTAAAATTGTATAAACTGACTATATAAGAATAATAATATATAAAAACACAAATACTAACTTTTTAATACTTTTTCCAACTTTTCTTAAGGAGATACATTACTTGAAGAATTTGACAATGGTTCCATTTTATGTAACTGTTTTGCTCTCATCAGCATTAGGTACTGCTTTACTGTTTTTTCTTTGCTTTTCAACATTAATGTTCATTTTGTGTTTCTTAGTTGGATGGTACATGGATGTCACTAGTGCTTAATATACAGCTTTCAGTGAATATAAAACAGTTTCAAAAGAGTTGTACTTTTCTTACTGTCTCTTCAGGTAGCCCCTCGAATGCTGATGTTCCCTCTTTAGATGGGATGAAGTTCATTCAAAATGGGCAAAATATCACTCTGAATTGTCCTTTTGCAACTTTTGAAGCGCTAGCGACTGCATGGCTCAAACAGACTCCAGGAGAAAAACTTCTTCTCATTGCTTCTGCTTATCGTTCTACAACAGTTACCTATCACAATGATTTTGACAAGAGTGGCCGCTTTAATGTTTTCAGAGAGAAAAGCGGTTTTAATCTGAGTATCTCAAATGCAGAACCATCTGATTCAGCAACATATTACTGTGTAGCTGCAGATTATTCACAAGCTGCATTATTAGACTACACAGTTTTAGTCCTCAAAGGTAGGTCTTAGTCTACTACAGTCTGCTTATATACCACTAAGTTTGAAACCCACATCTTTCTACATTGTTAACCTGACATCTACATCTCACTGAATAATCAGTAACATTTTTCTGTCTTTAGGTTCATCTTCAAGTGTCTCTGCTGTTCTCCAGCCTCCTGTATCAGATCCTGTTGAACTGGGAGGAGATACAACTTTGCAGTGTTCAATACTCACAGATACGTCTGCAGGAGAACACAGTGTGTACTGGTTCAGACATAGATCAGGAGAATCTCATCCAGGAATCATTTACACTCATGGAAACAGGAGTGATGAGTGTAAGAAAAGCTCTGAGACTGATTCTCCTACACAGAGCTGTGTCTACAAACTCCCCAAGAGAAACCTCAGCCTCTCTGATGCTGGAACTTACTACTGTGCTGTGCTCACGTGTGGAGAGATCATCTTTGGGAATGGAACTAAACTGGACTTTGCAGGTAAGAGCAGATATTCTGTAAGAATATATACATACATACATTTGACTATAAGAGCATACAGTCCAATGTATGTATGAATTTAGATGTGTGAATTAAATGACCTATGGTACGGAGATTTTTCACTTTTGTAGTGCTGCAGTGTTTGTATGTATTGGTGTTTTGTAGTTTCTTAATTAAATAAAATTTGAGCCGTTGATGATTTCAATTTTAATGACAATTTTCTTTTTTGTCTTCATATTTTTTATTAAATTATAAAGATATGATTTCTTGATTATTATAGGGAAAGGTGTTGTTGATCCAGCCATTCTTGGTTTAGCGGCATCAAACATCATATCCATGTCTCTGATTCTATTTCTGTGCATAAAGTTACACAACAGCGATCATAAAGGTATGTTCTGCACATATGAGCATATGTTTATTAGTTTCATATTTCCATTGAACATAGTTTAAATGTAATTTGCATAATATGGATAAAATATTTTTGAATGATTATTATTTGTTGAAGATGCTGCTGGAGGTCACACTTTTCAAGTCGATCAGGTGATTTTTACTCTTTTTTTTTATTTGTGCTTCCGAATATATGATTAGTATTTATATCAGAGACTGTAACGATTCTTAAGAGTAAAATATCACATCTTTTTAAAGTGTCAGTCATTCAAATTAAACATACTGAAGACTGATTTATCCTCATTCTGAAATGTTTAATTGTTCATCATGTATAACTGCTACATGTGTGTCTGTGTGGTCTGTCAGGCTGAAGACACCGATGTCTTGAACTATGCAGCTCTAAGCTTTGCACAATTGTCCTCCTCAAGAAGAAGCAGAGCAAAGAACAGCAGTGATCAGCCTGTGTACGCACAGGTAAAGACCCAGTAGAAAGAAAATCAAAGTTAAAATTAAGAGTTAAAATTAAATTTGGAAAACTACTGTCACCACAACTACTTCATTTCAGTTCATTTCAGAAATGTTAATGGATATTGTAATTACTATAAACGTATGTTGCTATATATATATATATATATATATATATATATATATATATATATATATATATATATATATATATAAATGTGAATATTTCTATGTGAATAAAGCATTTTATAACATTTGCATTGTTTTTATAATTTCAGTATATTTCAGTGTATTTTAAATATATTTTTTGTATCTATTATAGTCATATTAGAATTTCACTTCACAAAATGACTAACAATCATTGTAGTGTGGCCAGGTTGTGATTACTATTTCTTGGTCTTAAGGCTTCATTCAGGATGCTTTTCTATTGATGTTCTGTCCACTAAATCCATGAATTTATGACCCTTTTCATGAGAATTTTAAAATGATAGCTCAATCAAACTACAGTGTGGGTCATTTCATGTCAACTCACCTAAGCCCAGTCTAGTCAAGACTTGGATTTTCATTTAAAAATTACAAGAAAAACTTCAGTTACTTCATGCAGATGGAACAGTTAAAGCTTTTTTTGTATACATTTTAAATTTTTGCCTCTGCTTGTTCTGAACATTAAACATTGAAGTTAACTGCTAAAGAATGACTGATCTGAGGTGAATTCTAAACAGTATAGATATAAAAGAAAAAATTATGAATGTAAGCATTGTACACGTCTCTTTAATAGAATTTATCAAGCCACCTGTGAAAACAAAGTTTTCTGTGATGTGATTTAAAGTTAGACAATTTTAACATGAGTGTTAGCAAATACTGTAATCTAGGTAAAGGTTAGAATACTGTAAAGCAAACCGGTATGCCTGTTAATAATGTTGACACTGAGCTCTCTTCCATAGAGTTTAATGCAAAACGTTTTCAGCTTCAAGAAAATTAATAAAAACAGCACCACCCTCCACATAATCAGGATAGTATGTGTCTGAATTACACACTTCTCAATAACCCCTTTTCACTATCTCTAAGCCTAATGCTTCAGGTTTAATTCACTGCTACTACCGTTCTCACTGCAGGTTTGTTCTGATTATTTTAATTTTTTTATTTTTTTTTTTTTCCTGACGTTTACCATCATTTAATGGAGCTCTGTCAATCATTATGATGAAGTGCAGCACTTTGAAATATTGAATAGTTGAATGGATACATTTTAAGTTTTTGCCTGGATCATGCCTTGGTGAGTTGGAATGACACAAATAACAATGTGTAAATTAACTCAACACATGTAAAGTACTGGGCAGCCTCTTCTTGGCACACTAACTTTGTTCTGATCCTTTTTTCTCCATATATTGCTTTGGGGTTCATTTCCATTGAATTTTTCAAGAAAAAAAGGGTTCAACTGCTTGAAGCAGTTAACTACTGAAACAGCCAAGAATGAGCTGAAAGAATAGCTGGATATACTTAAATTCACTATTACAAAAAACATTCCACTATAAATCAACTCATTTCATGTTGATGTATTAGACAGCAGCTGAACTAGCCTTTCATCTAATATTTCATCTGCCAATTTGGTTGTTTTAAAAAGAGACTGATTTCATTTCCTTACAAAACCTTTCTCTGTGTAAGGATAGTTTATGCTCAGTTGTTTCAACATGTACAAATTACAGATGTTTGTTGTTTAATAGTTTGGTATTTGACTAACAAGTGCAATATAAAGAAAAAAGTAAAACAGTAAACAGAAAAAAAAACACTCCAAATGATCTATAATGCTGAAGGAAGTCTGTATCAGTTCGTTAGTTTGCATAGTTGTATGAATTAAACAGAAGATTTATAGGTTATTCCATGCTAACTCACCTAAGATCTTGCCAGGCTCTAGGTAAGCTGGAGTAAAATGAACCATTGACCTTTAACCTTCAAAGTTTGGCCTTATACTACATAGACAGAAATTATGTTTGGAGACTCGTTTACCAGTTTTAACAGATACCATCAACCAGAAGGGTACTTGAGGTGTTGTGAGATCTCACTGGCCTTAACTGTTCATTCATTGTATGTGTGTTAAAGACACTGACTAATCTTACACTTACACACTTCAATTTACATTGTTTTAACAGATAAACAGAAAATGATGCAGAGAAATGGTTCAAATTTCTGGATCTTTTCTCTACATACTAATTTCTTGTCTTCACAAGACGTACATTACATGTGCATCAAATGTTTCTTCTGAAACTAAGGGTATTAAAAGGGAATCCATTCTACCCATTGCTGCAGTTAAAGCCTCTATTCTTTTTGGAAGTTTTTACACATATAATATTGCTGTCAGGATTTGATTACATTCAGCCACAGGAGCATTAGTGAGGTCAGGTACTGATGTTGAATGATTCTTCTGAATCATCCAACTCTTCCAACTCATCGGATGGAGCTCCATCACTCCAGAGAATGCAGTTCCACTGCCTCATAGCCCAATGTTTGAGGGGCTTTATACCCCTATAGCCGACAATTAGCATATTTTAGACGTGTTAGCAGCCATTATAACTTCACATGAGTTATCTGATTACTGAGCCTTAAAATATCTTGTGATCACATATACATACAGGACAAAATATAAAGCTTATGTCACTGTTAGTTAAAAGTTAATCATTATGCATTTCAGTAATTCACTGATCCCTGAGCCGACAGAACATGATTGAAGAGCCCTTGAGCAGGGCACATAACCCCCAACTGCTCCCCAGCCATCGTGAATAGGGCTGCCCATCACTCCAGGCAGGTGTGCTCACTGCCCCCTAGTGTGTGTGTTCACTAGTGTGCATGTATGTGGGTTTTTTACTGCACATATGGGTAAAATGCAGAGGTATAAGCACAGCCAACCAATGGTTCTGAATTCTGATGCTACGGAAGTGTTTACCAGAGGAGAGAAAGGAGAACAAGGTGAAAGGTGGGTGATCCATCATGAGAATGCATAGACAGCATAAGGACAGTACAGATGATGTGTGAATGGGAGCAATAATCTAGTAATCCAGTCTCAGCTCTCTCTATGGTGTAGTGGTAAAATATGACTATAGTTATTGTTTCATCCGTAACTTCTTTAGTCTCTTCAAAAAGGCAGCAATGTGTGCTCTTTTAAAGGAAATTAAAGAACTCAGGATGCTACAAGTGTTTAGAGACCAACACAGCTGCACAGACCAGGAATCTGAAACTGCTGACCAGTTCCACAGGGGAGTCATGAAGTGATGCCGATTGGAGTATGGTCACTTGCAATGAGCTCCTTGGTCTTAGTAACAATCATCAGGGCAAGATTGTTGTATCATTGTCAGAGTGGATTATTGGACATTAAATGTACCCAGACTGTGTCAGCAAGAACAGTCCATCCACTGCAACATAGAGTGTAGGCTTGTAGTGCATAAAACCCTCATTATAAAGACAAATGCGCATGTAAGACTTCAGTGGTGCGAAAAACATGGATCATATCATTTCTTCAACACTCCTGTAGAGTGCCTAAGGCAGAAGTGTTCAGTCTTATCTAAACAGGGCTGGTTTTCATTTCAATCAAGTAGAGTCACAGCTGCTTCTTTGGAATAAAAATCTGCAGCCATACCAGCCCTTTGCAGATAAGAATGGACACCCCTGCCACAGGCACTGGTCAGAGATGTGGAAAAAGTGATATGGTCTTATGAGTCACGCTTCACCATATTCTCCAACTGGGCAAGTGCATGTGTGGTATATTAAGCCTTTATCCTATGATAACAGATTTCTATCCTAATAGGAGTTGGCTCTTCAAGGGATCACTGAATGGTTGGAAAAAACACCAAACACCAACCCACCCGCCAGACCAAGATACCATGAACCCAGATAAAAGGGCAAAATATCAACATTTATATTTACTTTGTAACTACACTCGTTGTCTATTTTGTCAGGTTCATTTACCACTCAGGTGCACTTTGTACTTCTATAATTACAGACTGTAGTCTGTAATTGGTTATCACCCTTTTACCCATTTACCACCAAAGAGCAGGTATTATTTGGATGATTGATCATTCTCTGCACTGCAGTGACACTAACATTGTGCTGGTACAAGTGGAGTTTTTATTCCAGCAGTGTTGAGTTTTTAAAGTGTCCACTTACTGCCCACTCTATTGGAGATACCTACCTTATTGGTTCACCTTAAAGTCAGAGACAATAGCTCATCTGGTGCTGCACAGTTTGTGTTGGTCATCCTCTAGTCCTTCTTCAGTGGTCATAGGATGCTGCCCACAGGACACTGATGGCTGGATATTTTTGGTTGGTGGATTATTTTCAGTCCAGCAGTGACACCGAGGTGTTTATAAAAACCAGCAGCACTGCTGGGTCTGATCCACTCAGACCAGCACAACACACACTAACACACCACCACCATGTCAGTGTTACTGCAGCACTGAGAATGATCCAACACCCAAATAATACCTGCTCTGTGGTGGTCCTGCGGGGGTCTTGATCCCTAAAGAACAGGGTAAAGGGGGCTAACAAACTATACATGGTGCGTGTCTGGTCAGTGTATGTAACTGGTCTAACACCCTTAATACTGACTGAAACTGAGCCATCACAGATCATGTGACTGGTGCTACCACTGACACAGTGATTTGTTGTTTCGCCTATGGATGGAGTCGGCATTCCTTGTTTAAAAATGGAGGAAAGTGTTGTAAAGAGGGATTATTGGATGAGTGCAGTCTGAAATGAGAAGCTTAAGTCACCCAATAATTTTGCATCAAGTACTGGACAATGTCACGCATCCCTCCGGCTCTGAGACGCTCACGAACTCCATCTCCCAGAACCCTCTGGGGGATCACATGACCGACAACTCTTCTCAGCGCTCCAATCATCGATCTCATTCTCCTGAATACTGATCTTGTACACCTGTTCTGTCACGTGTCTAGTTAGATTTAGTATAAAGCCCAGGCTTTTAGACTAGTTACTTTGTGAGGTATTGCTCCTTCGAGTGAGAGAGCTACTGGGCAGTTTTCTGATTGCCTTATTTTTACTGTTTTATCTGCCTGGAATTTTTCGACTTTGTCTGCTTGTCTCTGCCCCTTTGGATTTGGTTGCCTGGCTGTTATGGTTTTTCTTTTCTGTCTTTGGATTTTTTGGGGTTTGACCTCTGCCTGTTTCACGACCACAAGTTTCGCCCAAGTCCTTGACAATAAAGCCTCTCTTTTTGATTTTTACCACAAGCGCCTGAGTCGTTTGGTTGCGTCACAGAGAAAAACTTGCTGAGTGAGGATTACAACTGTGATTCCTCTTTCCACCCTACTCACAGTAAGATAAACATGTTAACATGTTTTCCAATATTTTGTTTTATTATTAATGTAATCAAGTCAAAGTTCATTTATACAGCATTTTTGACAACAGACGCCATCACATTCAGAGTAAAAATGAGAAACAGATCTATAAGAATCAGACAGTGTTGCCAGTAAAAAACATTTACTACTGTTAAAAGTTTATTACAGAGAAAACCATGAACATCAATGACTACTGTTAGAAGCCTGTGATAATGATCTGCTAATATGAATATGAGAAGAGCTCGGAGTATTTTGAGGCAGGGAAAGCAGTGTCTATAACAGGGGTCGGCAACATGCGGCTCCTTTACTGTCCTGTTGTGGCTCCACAGCAGAATTAGATTTTTGGGTAAAAATAAAATAATCATCCTTTGCAGTAAAATAAAGCTCTGCTGATCATTCTTACAGTTTTAACAATAAATGGTCTCAAATGCTGGAGTTACTTATAACTGCTAATTAACCCTTTAACCCTGAAGGTTGACATGCAGACTGCTGGTCACCATAGCAACGCAATCTAACCAATCTCACCTAGCTAGCAGCTAATGAAAAGGCAAAAAGAAAGATTTAATACAAACATCAATTTGGAGATGACTGGGTTTATTTGCATTCATAAGAACTTGGCTGGTTTCCTAAAACATTTAATCTACAACAACAAATTTTCAAACACCAAAAAGTTGAGAAGTTGAAATCAGCTTTGCGTTCACCAGCTTCTTGTTTGAATTTTCCCGTTTCACCTTAAATGGTGCAGCAGTTACATTTAAGGTGGAACAGGAAAATTCAAAGAAGAAGCTGGCGAATGAGCAGCTGACTTCAGGCTCATAAAAAGTTAAATGTTAAAAGACACTTTACAAGAAACTATTCTACTTTTGCGGAAAAATATCCTGCTGGAGATGTGAGAAAAGTGGCTATAACTGAACTAAAGCTTAAAGCACAGCAAAGTAAGTCTGTGTTTTTATTTATATTTTTAGCCTATAGTAGTACATTAGCACATACTGAGATATATACAGCCACGGTGGTAAAATGGACCTGAAATGTTGTGGCTCCCAAAGTGGTTTGATTTTATTGAAAGGACAAAATGGCTCTTCCTAACATCTGGGTTGCCAAATATCAGCTCAGTGATATCATTAGTTTCAGCATTTTAGGCATATTGGACCAAAAAGGACCCAAAGGATCACAGACCCATTACACTCATTTGTCACATCGAGAAGATTTTCGAGAGGCTGGTAATTAAACATTTCAGATGTTTGATCATGGACCACCAGGACCACTACTGTTCATCTATCAGACACAAATAGGTGTGGATGATGCTCTAATGCCCAGTCACACCTGAATAAAACTGAAGCCACAGTCAGGATCACTTTCTAATATTTCTCCAGTGCCTTCAGTCCTGCCTATCTCTGACTGTGAAATAAGCTCCAATGCAGGTTGATGTCTCCAGAGTTTCCTGGAACATCTGACCATCAGGCCACGGTTTGTGAGACTCCAGAATCATATAAGAATCCAGAAGACTGCTTATTGGACAACATCAGCTCAGAGGTTTTCTGATGACGCTTCCTCTGTAGGATGTATTCACAATGAAGATAAATCAGAGTGCAGGGGGCTGGTGGAGGACTTTGTCTTGTGGGACAAGGAAGATCACCTGCATCTAAAAATCAGCAAAATAAAGGAACCCGTTTTGGATTTTGAGTTTGTCAGAGTGTATATGGGACCAGTTAGGTACTTGCAGACCATTTTGAACAATTCTGCCTACTCCTCGTGGCATGATACACATGAGCCACAGGTTCATTCCCCTAAAGGTGCTCTAGGAGGCGCTTTTGGGGATCTTTTCTGCCAAGTGCCATCAGACTATACAATGAAGCATGCTACCTCGCAATCACTACATTCTCAAAATCAAAACATTTTTCATATATTACTAGTTAGCAGAGACAACCTGTAAGAGAAATGTTCAAATCTTGAGACGTTTATTTGGTGAGGATAAAGGTTTGCAGCCCAACAGTAGTGAATAGAATGCTGAGCTCTAAATTTAGGCCCACTGCTGTGAGTGGTTGAAACCTGAATCAGCTTCCTGTTATGAGAGCCAATCAGCTTTTAGCACAGAATTATAAAGCTGCTCTTGTAGACGTTTTAGGTACAGAATGCATGTGTATTACCTACGTCTCGAAAGATTACTCCTGTCCTTCAACATCTGTAAGTACGCTAATAGAATAAACATCATTCTAATAGCAGAGGATTATATATGCACATATACATATTTGTTATTTGTTGTGTTTTCACAGCATAACCAAATGTTTTTTCCTCTTTTTTTCACCTTTTTTTCTAGGAGAGCCTTTACTTGAAGTGTTTGGCAATGATTCAATTTTATATCACAGTTTTGCTCTCAACAGCTTTAGGTACTGTGTAAGTGTATTTTTCATTCTTTTTTTATTCATTTTGTGCAGCTTAGAAAGCACATGGATTATGAAAGTGTCTAATGTACAGCATTCTGTAATTTTTTTTAGGTGGCACCTCACAAGTAGACATCGCATGTCTAGATCGGCTGAAGTTTTTGAAGAATGGGGAAAATTTTAATCTGACTTGTTCTTTTTCATATTTTGGTACATTAGCAATTGCCTGGTTCAAACAGACTCCAGGAGAAAAGGCTCTTCTCATTGCTTCTGCTTTTGGTTCTACTCCACAATATCACAATGATTTTGACAAGAGCGGCCGCTTTAATGCATCGAGAGAACAAAGCAGTTTTACTTTGAGTATCTCAAATGCAAAAACATCTGATTCAGCTACATATTACTGTGCAGTTGCATATTATACAGAGATTGCATTATTAGGTTGCACAGTTTTAGTCCTTGAAGGTAAGTCCTAGTCTACTACAGTCTGCTTTTATAAAATTCCATCAATTTTGAAACTTAAGTGCATTGTAAAGTTGATATCTACATCTACATCTTATTCAATAATCACAAAATAATATTTTTCTATTTTTAGGTTCATCTTCAAGTCTCTCTGCTGTTCTCCAGCCTCCTGTATCAGATCCTGTTGAACTGGGAGGAGATACAACTTTGCAGTGTTCAATACTCACAGATACGTCTGCAGGAGAACACAGTGTGTACTGGTTCAGACATGGATCAGGAGAATCTCATCCAGGAATCATTTACACTCATGGAAACAGGAGTGATGAGTGTAAGAAAAGCTCTGAGACTGATTCTCCTACACAGAGCTGTGTCTACAAACTCCCCAAGAGAAGCCTCAGCCTCTCTGATGCTGGAACTTACTACTGTGCTGTGCTCATGTGTGGAGAGATCATCTTTGGGAACGGAACTAAACTGGACTTTGCAGGTAAGAGCAGATATTTTGATTCTGTGCTTTTCTCAAAATATCACACAGTAAGAGTAAAATATGTGGCAGATATATGATGCAAATGAGCCATGAAATCGATTTTTTTTTTTTTTCACTTCTATTGTGTTGTAGTGTACAGAAACACTAGTGGTATGCAGTCATGTAGCTATTTACTTAAAGGTTGTAGATAAATTGAAATTCATGTAATGATGAAATTCTTAATCAGGTTTTAGTTCATTTTGTGTTTGTTTGTTTTACAAATGACATTAATCAGACATTTTGATTCAGTGATACAATCTGATTTCCTGACTCTTGATTGTTATAGAGAATAGTGTTTTGGACCCAGCCATTCTGGGTTTAGCAGCATCAAACATCATAACCATGATAGTGGTTTTATTTCTGTGCAGAAAATTACACAACCATCATCATAAAGGTACATGAGGCTGAGATATGATTGTTCATTTCATACCTCTATATTTCTACCACATTGTGCTCATTTTTGCATGTTGTGCATTAATGTTACATGTTTGCATTATTGTTATTTGAAGATGCTGCTGCTGAAGGTCAAGTTCAAGTAAATCAGGTGATTATTGCTGACTATAAATACTATTCCTGTTTTCTTTCTAATGGCAATAAGAGTGGTCTAAAGTTTTACATTACCATTAGTGCACATCTATGTGAAGCCTGGTTTATTGCATTTTCAGATGTTACATCCTTCACTTGCTTTGTATAACTGCTAGTTGTTTGGTTGTGGAATTTGTCAGGCTGAAGAAACTGACGTCTTGAACTATGCAGCTCTAAGCTTTGCTCAGTCTTCCTCCTCAAGAAGAAGCAGAACAAAGAACAGCAGTGATCAGCCTGTGTACGCACAGGTAAACACCCATCAGTAGAAACAACATCAGAGTTACAATCAAACCTGGAGAACTACTGTCATCATAACTACTCTGTAAGAAGTGCTCCGAAGAAGGCAAAAATGTTTTACGCTTTTAATGTAAGTTAATGTAAAAAAGACTTTATTTCAAGTGATTTTCGAGCATTTCTATACTTCATTAAACAAGAAATTTTCACATAATGTACACATCAGCTCATGTACTCAAATAATGAAGAAAAATAAAAATCTGACAAAAATAAAGATTTTTGTTTCTGTTTTGTTTTTGGACAGCAATGAAATATGACTGTATAGCATTATAATTACTTTAAATTATTGTACCATTGTATGTGTTATTTTTCATATGTGAAAGTATTGTTATGCTTAATCCAACTTCGCATTGTTATTATAATTTAAGTATATCATGAATTTTATTATTTATTTGCATGTACAATAATGAATGTAGTGTTATAATTTGCTGACCTTGCAAGATGGTTCACAAACCACCAGATATATTCAGAAAAGTGCCATTTCTTGGTGTTTCGGTGATGCTCTTATGCTTAGTGATGTTTTCACTATTGCTACTTCCAATGTTCATCATACTGATACTAATCACTATTAACCTTCCAATGTTCATTTAAGCCAGCAATGGGGAAAATGAACATATGCCAGGTTTATTCGGTGGGTTAGAGCAGGGACCATCTGTAATGGACTCTGGACCTCTGTTCCCCACTCATGATTTATGTCCAGCTGAACACAAATAGAGCACCATAAAGTTAATTAGCAACATTTTTAATGCTGTTTCATGGTTAATAAATATGTATGCAGGAACTAAGCAGACACTGATTAATAGAGATACCATTAACTACAAAGGAACAATGGTTAATTACTCAGTAGGTAATATGAATTAATTATTAGGGCAGTTTGTTATTACCTAACCAGAAATCACTAAGGCCCAATCCCATTTCTCCCCTTGCCCCTACCACTTAGCCCTTAGCCCCCTGTTTTGCACGTTCATATCTAGGGTTAGGGTGTCCCAATTTTTGTTGGGATAGAGAGGTAGGGCGAAGTGTTAGGGCTACATGGCCCTTCAAACGGAGATTTTTCAGAGGCACACTCCAAACAGAATTACAATAACTATCGTATTATCTTAGTTTAATATCGTTTCAATGTATTATGGTCGTTTTCTTCATAACAAACATAAAAATCACTAATAGCTTGCTAATGATTCAGTAGCTAGCTTGCTAACTTTCCGTTCCACCTTAAATAGTCTAGCAGTGTTGACGCCTGAAGCGCCAGAATGTAATTGCTGCACCATTTAAGGTGGAACAGGAAAATTCAAGCAAGAAGCTGGTGAATAGCTGACTTCAGCTTCGTATCACCAAAGAATTAGCGATGGGTGATAATAAATAATTGCCCCCTCTTTGAAAGCACATGATGCCCTAAATGTAACTAAAGCCCAGCAGCGAGGTTCCTGAAGTTTTCCCTTCTCTGCTATCACTGAAGGCGAGCCGGGTCGCCTACAGAGCACCGCCAGTAGCCTGTTAATGAAGCAATGTTTTTTTTTTGTTTTTTTTTTTTGAAGGTCCCATTTCGTAGGGCAAGATTTCAACCATTACCCCTTGTAAATCAGTTCCAAGGGGTTAGGGTGACACTCGAAAACAAGGGGTAGGGGTAAAAAGAAGAAATGGGATTGGGCCTTTGTCTTACATGTCTGAGAGTGAACTACTTACTAACTATAACTTCTTTCTAATAACTCCTAATCACATCATTGTCTGCTTAATTGCTGAGTCTGACATGCTTCCTGGAGAAGTACTAACTGATGTTTAGTAAACTCAAGTACTTAGTGTTAATCTCTAATTAAGTATTTTGCTTCACTATTTCAACTTGTAAGAACTGTTAGAGGTAAAACACACATTGCAGTTTGTTAACTAATTTGATTAAACCAAGATTGAAATGAAAAGGTTTCAGTTGAAAATGAAAGTAAAGCGAAGCAGGGCCATGCTCCAAAAACACGACAGTTCAGTTATGATGTGTTCATTTTACTTCCTTTTTATCAAATAAACTTAAAGCTGCTGCTTATGTGTTGCATTGCATGTACATGTTAGCTAGCCAATGTAAGCTGAGGTAAGCTAACGAGCAGCCCAGTGAAACCATGTGTTTTAGACATCACACAGAAAAATATGGAATTAATGTACACTTACATAACATACTGTAATTAGTCTCAGGACTATTTTCACCTTTTGTTTTGTTTTAGTTGTACATATTCTTTCCAATGATACAACTCAGAAATATGTTTCATTATTTATTAATAGTAATTAATTGTAATTGTACACATACAAAAAAGGAATTCTGAGTAGTTCTTGACTAATTTTTAATAAGCAACATATTTACTCTTGAATAATTGTCTTTATTAATACTTAATTTGTGTGCAAATCAGTCATTACAGTATACTGATTACTGAGAATTCCCACTGCCATGCCTTTCACTTTACAATACTGTTCCAGCTCATTATTTACTTGTAAGGAATTACACAGTAACACCTCAGTCTAGTGATGGGTCTCCATGTTTTCCTCTTTATAATACTGTTCCAAATCATAAATAAACCGGTATCTCAGGCTTATTACATACTAAGCCTTATTATGTAGTAACTACAGGGACTTCAGTGCAAGCTAGTTGAACTATTCTTAGGCTATAGAAGTGTATAATAAAAATTTGGGCCTGCAGGTGGGCCCCAGCCAAGGGGTTAATTCTTAAGGACTGACACTGTAACACCTCAGTCATTATCTAACATACAGACATTACTTTTTCATTTGGTAACTTTTGGCAGAGACTCCTCAAAGATTATTGAGCTAGCTATATTCTTCTGTGAGCCATCTCTGTATTTAAGCATGCCCTCAAGAGTTTAGACTTTAAACTGCGATTTACAGAAGACACAACACTGGCACACGTGGTCCAGAGAAAGAGTTGAGTTTTCTATTCTAAAAATGGGAGGAAAGAAAACTGTTCTACTAGTTATAGTACTATTTTAGCAACGGCTCCATTTGTTAGCTAACGTACAAATTGGTCCAGAAGGTTGAAGGTTGCTGGTCAAAATGAAACACAGAGGGGCAGAGGCATGACTAGCCCCAATTTGTTTAGCATTTTAGGCATACTGGACCAGACACTCCAGTTCCCTAAAGGACTACAGACCCATCACACTCACCTCCCACATCAAGAAGATTTTCGAGAGGCTGGTAATTAAACAGCTCAGATCTTTGATTGAGGAGCACCAGGACCACTACTGATCATCCATCAGACACAAATAAGTGTGGAGAGAGTGAGTGGGCCCACTCTGATGCCCACTCTCACCTGAATAAAACTGAAGCCACAGTCAGGATTATGTTCTTGTATCTCTCCATTGCCTGCAATCCTGCCTCTCTGACTGTGAAATAAGCTCCAGGCAATGCAGCTTGATGTCTCCAGATTTTCCTGGAACTTACCATCAGGCCACAGACTCCAGAACTATATGAGAATCCAGAACACTGTTTATTGGACAACATCAGGTTTTCTGATGACTCTTCTTCTGTAGAATATATTCACAATGAAGATGAATCTGAGTGCAGGAGGCTGATGGAGGACTTGTCTTGTGGTGCAGGGAAAATCACCTGCAGCTAAATATCAGCAAAACAAAGGAAGCTGTGTTGAATTTTGGAACCTGTCAGAGATGGCCCAGTCCTGCAAGTACTTGGGGGTCCACCTGAATGATTGACTGGACTGGACAGGACAGATAACATGGATGCTCTGTACAGGCAAGTGGCTCCTTTGAAGGCCTTTTAGTGTGTGAGCAGTCCAATGGTGTAATTTTATCAGTCAGTTGTGACACGCTTTCTTTTATATGTGGTGGTCTGTTAAGGGCCTCAGCATACTTCAGACGAAGTTCGCCTGGCTTCAGCGAACGACATGACCTGATTGCGAAGAAAACGAACAACCACAGACGTCACGCGGAGGCTTCGTTCACTTTGCCGCGCACATGGCAGCTGAGCCAAAGCCTTTGATTGGTCAGTAAAAAAGAGGCATCAGTGATTGCATGGTTCAAACAGACTCCAGGAGAAAAGGCTCTTCGCATTGCTTCTGCTTTTAGCTCTACTCCACAATATCACAATGATTTTGACAAGAGCGGCCGCTTTACTGCAGTGAGAGAAAAAAGCAGTTTTACTCTGAGTATCTCAAATGCAAAAACATCTGATTCAGCTACATATTACTGTGCAGTTGCATATTATACAGAGATTGCATTATTAGGTTGCACAGTTTTAGTCCTTGAAGGTAAGTCAAGTTTACTGCAGTCTGCTTTTATAAAATTCCATCATTTTTGAAACATAAGTGTGTTGGAAAGTTAATATTTATATCTAGGTCTTTTTCAGTAATCACAAAATAACATTTTACTGTTTAGGTTCATCTTCAGGTCTCTCTGCTGTTCTCCAGCCTCCTGTATCAGATCCTGTTGAACTGGGAGGAGATGCAACTTTGCAGTGTTCAGTACTCACAGATACGTCTGCAGGAGAACACAGTGTGTACTGGTTCAGACATGGATCAGGAGAATCTCATCCAGGAATCATTTACACTCATGGAAACAGGAGTGATGAGTGTAAGAAAAGCTCTGAGACTGATTCTCCTACACAGAGCTGTGTCTACAAACTCCCCAAGAGAAACCTCAGCCTCTCTGATGCTGGAACTTACTACTGTGCTGTGCTCATGTGTGGAGAGATCATCTTTGGGAACGGAACTAAACTGGACTTTGTAGGTGAGAGCACATACATTTTGATTCTTTTCTCAGAATATCTGTCACACAGTAAAAGTAAAATATGTTACAGATATATGATGCAAATAGATTTTTTCAGTACTATTGTGTAATAGTGTTCAGAAGCATTAGTGACATGCAGGCATGTAGCTGTTTTCTTTAGGGTTCTAGGTGAATTGAAATTCACGATTATGATGATTTAATTCTTAATTAGTTGTTTTTCTACAACTAATTAGTTGTTTATTTTGTGTTTGTTTGTTTTACAAATGACATTAATCAGACATTCCGATTCAGTGATACAATCTGATTTCCTGACTCTTGATTGTTATAGAGAATAGTGTTTTGGACCCAGCCGTTCTGGGTTTAGCAGCATCAAACATCATAACCATGATAGTGGTTTTATTTCTGTGCAGAAAATTATACAACCATCATCATAAAGGTACATGAGGCTGAGATATGATTGTTCATTTCATACTTCTATATTTCTACCACATACCACATACTAATTTTCACATGTTGTGCATTAATGTTACATGTTTGCATTATTGTTATTTGAAGATGCTGCTGCTGAAGGTCAAGTTCAAGTAAATCAGGTGATTATTGCTGACTAAAAATACTATTCCTGTTTTCTTTCTAATGGCAATAAGAGTGATCTAAAGTTTTACATTACCATTAGTGCACATCTATCTGAAGCCTGGTTTATTGCATTTTCAGATGTTACATTGTTCACTTGCTTTGTATAACTGCTAGTTGTTTGGTTGTGGAATTTGTCAGGCTGAAGAAACTGACGTCTTGAACTATGCAGCTCTAAGCTTTGCTCAGTCTTCCTCCTCAAGAAGAAGCAGAACAAAGAACAGCAGTGATCAGCCTGTGTACGCACAGGTAAAGACCCATCAGTAGAAACAACATCAGAGTTACAATCAAACCTGGAGAACTACTGGCATCATAACTGTAATCAGTGTTCATTTCACAAATAATTGCTGTCCAAGTATCTCCAAAATGGTAACTTTTCAGGAGAAGGCAAAAATTTCTACACTAGATTTTATTCAAGTGATTTTAGAGCATTTATATATTTCAAGTGATTTTAGAGCATTTCTATACTTCATTCAACAAGAAATATTTTACATATTTTCACATGTAAAGATTAGCTCATGTACTCAAATAATGAAGAAAAATAAAAATCTGACAAAAAAAGATTTTTGGTTCCGTTTTGTTTTTGGACAGCAATGAAATACGACTGTACAGGGTTATAATTACTATAAACCCCTGTAACTTTGTATGTGTTATTTTTCATATATGAAAATAGTGTTATGCTTCATCCAACATCGCATTGTTATTATAATTTAAGTAAATAATGAATTTATTATTTTTTTGCATGTTCAATAATAAATGCAGTATTATAATTTGCTGACCTTGCAAGATGGTTCACAAACCACCAGATGTATTCTGAAAATGTCAGAAAGTGCCATTTCTTGATGTTTACATGATATTCTTATGCTTGCTGATAATTTTATTATTGCTGATGGCTTTTTTTTTACTGTAATAAACATCGATTCATGATAACAAATGATACTTTCTGCTTGATTGAATTTGATTAAACACGACTTAAATTCATGGTATTTTCTATCAAAAATCTAAGACGAATCAATATCCAATATTTTATAATTAATAAATGACTTCATTAGACATAAATTGCTGGGTTGCTTCTTCCTCGTACACTAAACTTGTTCTGATTCATTCACAAATTTCTTCTAGTGACTAGCTGAAGCTATTTTGAAATACAGCCTTCAGATAATTTATAAGCAAAATTCCTAATGATAATATTAACATCTACAGTGTTCAGCTTACCCTTCCAATGTTCATTTAAGCCAGCGATGGGGAAAATGGACATATGCCAGGTTTATTCAGTGGGTTAGAGGAGGGACATCACCAACCTGTAACGGACTCCGGATCTCTGTTCCCCACTCATGATTTATGTCCAGCTAAACACAAATTAAAAACCATACGAGTTAATTAGCACCATTCTTAATGTTGTTTCATGTTGTTAATAAATATGTATGCAGGAACTGAGCAGACACTGATTAATAGAGATACCATTAACTACAAAGGAACAATGGTTAATTAAGTCTTACATGTCTGAGAGTGAACTACTTACTAACTATGACTTCTTTAAAATAACTACTGATTAATTCCTAATCACATCGTTGTCTGCTTAATTGCTGAGTCTGACATGCTTCCTGAAGAAGTTCTAACTGATGTTAGGTAAACTAAAGTAGCGTTAATCTCTAATAAATTATTTTGCTTCACTGTTTCAACTTGTAAGAAGTTAAAACACACATTGCAATTTGTTAACTAATTTGACAAAACCAAGGTTAAAATGAAAAAGTTTCAGTTGAAACTAAAAGCAAAGTAAAGCAGAGCTACACACCAAAAACACTACAGTTCAGTTAGGATGTGTTCAGATTGTGTGTGGTGGACACACATTGGAGGGAGGAAATGTATGTGCATGTGAAGAAAATACTTGGCACATTTGTTGTCTCTGTTCATTTTTAAATCAATAAAGAAAAAGGTTTTGGTTAGCTGCCTCCTGAAACCTGTGGAGTCTCTGAGACTTCCAACTTAAGTAAGCATGCAGAGAAGCTCTCTGGCTGGCAAGTTAGTCTTACCTAAATGGGTATTGTGTTCTGTTAATTTTATCTAATTTAAATTTGATCTAATTTACTGCAGCTGCTTATGTGTTGCATTGCATGTACATGTTAGCTAGCCAATGTAAGCTGAGGTAAGCTAACGAGCAGCCCAGTGAAACCATGTGTTTTAGACATCACACAGAAAAATATGGAATTAATGTACACTTACATAACATACTGTAATTAATCTCATGATTCTTTTCACTTTTTGTTTTGTTTTAGTTGTACATATTCTTTCCAATGATACAACTCATAAATACGTTTCATTATTTATTAATAGTAATTAATTGTAATTGTACACATACAAAAAAGGAACTCAGAGTATATCTTGACTCATTTTTAATAAACATGTTTATTCTTGTATAGTTGCCTTTATTAATACTTTATTTGTATGCAAGTCAGTCATTACAGTATACTGAGCACTGAGAATTCTCACAATGTTTTTCACTTTACAATAGGGTCATTATTAACTTGTAAGAAATTACACAGTAACATCTCAGTCAAGTGATGTGTCTCCATGGTTTTTACTTTATGATACTGTTTCAGATCATTATTAAACTTAAAACCTCAGGCTTTTACATACTATGGCTTATTATTTAGTAACTACAGGGACTTCAATGCAAACTGGCTGAGCTATTCTTAGGGTATAGAAGTGTGCTGCTAACTTTTAACAGAGACTTCCCAAAGAATATGGAGGTAGACATACACTTCCGTGACCTTCTCTGTAGTTAACCATGCCCCCAAGATGGCTTTAAACTGCTATTTAGAAGACAAAACACTGGCACACATGGTCCAGTAGAAAGTAATAAAATGTTCTACTCTAAAAATGAGAGGAAAGAAAACTGTTTTACAAGATATAGTAGTATTTTAGCAACTGCCCCATTTGTTAGTGGATGCAGAAATTGGTCCACACTCCCAAATACAAAGAGTTGAAACACAGGAGGGCAGAGGCCTGACCAGACCCTATTTGTTTAGTGCCCCACTACAATCAAGGGTAAGAAAGTCACAACATTTTCAGTTCTAACTGATCCATTTTGAACTACACAACACAAACATTTTAACCAAGAGACTTCACCACAAACACTTCCCTTAGTGCCCCATCATCGTTCCTTTCAACACTTTCAGTTTTCATGAAGTCAGGCTGTGTGGCTCAATACAGAGCTATAGGTGTACAGGTGCAAGGTAGATAACACAAGCTTGCAAAATGAACAGCTGCATATATGTGAAATTATTCAAATTAAATATCTAAATAAGTAATTAAAAGATAAACCTTCTCATGGGGAGAGAGAAGGCAGAGAGTAAGCAGGGAGCAGGAGTGAAAGGAAAAGTACAACAGAAAGACAACATTTGCTGGTTAAAGTATTCAGTCAATAAAGACGCTACCTTCTATTTTTCTGACCACTGTCAAATTGGCTGGCCAGCAAAGAAATGGAACTGTGACCACCTTAATTCTGTGTTTCCATGGTAAACTGATATTCTTTCTGAATAGCTTTATATCCTCAAGAATGTTTGATACTGATTGGTAATTTTTGGGTAGCTTGTCACAGGAGCTTATCTGATTTCATGTTCTTTGCTCCATTGGATCAAAGGCTCTGTTTATACTTGATATTAACATCTGATCACTCTGATCTGATTGTACTGAATAGATCATCATCCAATCAAGACGCAGTGCTCACATTTGGCAGTTTCAAACATAGCTTCTGCATCCTTTCCATTATATTTGTATTTTAAAATCAGGCTAGTGTGGCACTGGAGCAGAGTATATACAGGCCTATAAAGGCTTTGTGTCTTTCAGACACAGTAGGTGTTGTGAAGTTGCACCAAAGGATAGCAGGTTAATTTCTTTCCATAACAGGTAACAGAGTGCATGTTTGCTGGATCACCCTAATATTGGAAAAGTACAGCTCCTACTCAATCCTTGTAGGAGTCCAGTTCAATCGCAACGGGCTTCGCTCATCCATTGCCCGCTTTAATCTTAGTAAAATGTCCCCTCATCGACCAGGAGAAGCTGGAAAACAGAAGCTCTGTCAGGGGTACAGTAATCTTGCTGCAGTTTCAGAAGTTCCAGTCAAAGTTGGCAAATCCCAAGAACTTTTGTAATTCCTGAAAACTGGCTAGTCAAGCACTGCCTGAATGTCTGGACAGACAAACAATCTGTGTTCTAATAGCCTAGTCAACGCTGCCCTCACATGGCTGATGTGTTCTTCAAGGCTGACTGAAAAGATGACATTGATGTGATCAATGATTCAATATTATTTAATTAAATAAAATTGATTGAGCAAATCAGAGAGCATCACTGATGAAGGATTTTAAACTGAATGGAGCATTAATGGGTCCATATGGCATCACTAAATATTCATAGTGGCCAAAAGTGGGAAAATACTTTCTATTTATCGGCTTTCCAGGTACAAATAAGCTTGCATTTCTTATAGAGTCCCACTGGACGATGCAGCTTTGTGTAAATGCATGCAAAGCTCTTTTAGCTTGCAATATTCACTTTCCAAATTGTCAATAAGAAACGACACTTGATCTGGAATATCAAGAAAACTCTCAGATGGAACTGCTCGTATGCTTGTCAGAAAGGCAAAACAGAAGCTCCTTATGACAGCAAAGGACCTGCAGGAAGGTTTGGCAGACACAGGAGTGGTGGTGCACCATTTTACTGAGCTGTGTTGTTGCACAAACAAAATCCGCATAGAAGAGTCTTCAGAAGGAAACCATACCTGTAACCCTATCACAAAAGTCAATGTCTGCAGTAGGCAAAACAACATCTAGAAAAGACAGTGGCATTTTGGGAACAAATGCTGTGGACAGATGAAGTAAAAATGGAACTCTTTTGCCATAATCACCAAAACTATTAGAGACTGTTAGGAGAAAAAAAGGAAGCTTCAAAGTTGCTGTTTTAAAGAAGTTTTTTTTCCAAGTTCCACGTTTGTGTAACAATTAACCCCTTCAAATTCCAGGCTTATTGCATACTATGGTTCATTATTACTCAGCGACTACAGGGACTTTAAAGCAAACTGGTTCAGCTACTCTTCGGTTATAGAAGTGTGTAATAAAACGCTGGGCCTGCTGGTGCGCCCTGGCCATTTAAGGGGTTAAACTGTTCTTGATTTTTGCAAGGATGTCCGGTGGACCAAGGCTCTATATAATTTTTATGTGCTGCCATCATGTGCACATACTAAAGGTATACTAAGGCCCAATCCCATTTCACCCCTTGTCCCTACCACTTAGCCCTTATCCCTCTATTTTGTGTATTCATGTAAAAGGGTAGGGTGTCACGATTTTTGTTGAGATAGAGGTAGGACGAAGTGTTAGGGCTACATGGCCCTCCAAATGGAGGTTTTTCAGAGGCACAATCCAAACGGCAAGATGGCTGCTCAAGCAACCAAAGAAACCACAAATGTGAGTATTTTCTCTGTTAAAATGACAAAATCATTGTAGAATCTTAGTTTAATGGCGTTTCAATGTATTTGGTCCTTTTGTTCATAACAAGCATACAAAATCACGAGTAGTATTCTGATGTCTCGGTAGCTGGCTAGCTTAATTTCCTGTTACACCTTAAATGGTGCAGCAGTTACATTCTGGCACCTCAAAACATACCTCAAAAACAAGGGGTAGGAATGGCAAGATCAAGGATTTACATCAGGGTAAAAATAAGAAATGGGATTGGGCCTAATTTTTTTTAACCCCTTAAATGGCCAGGGCCCACCGGCAGGCCCAAAGTTCATTTTGTGTTACTGCTTTGGCAAAACTAGCAGTAGGAATTTGCATATTGAGCCCGTAGCATTTGAGGTTATTTGAGATTATTTCATACAAAGGCTTATTATTCAGTAACTACATGGACTTTAATGAAAACTAATGAAGCTATTCTTCGGTTAAGAAATGCGTATTAAAACCTGGCTTGTTAAGGGGTTAAGTTCTATATTCATGCCCCATTGACGTGAGTGGTTGGGGCCCAATTCACCTTCCTGTTTTGGGAGCCTATCAGCTGTCAGCAGTCACTATTATAAAGCTGCTCTTGTAGAAGTTTTAAGTACAGAGTGATGGCTGCATATTACCAACATCTCAGATGTCTCCTTCAAAAACTGTAAGTGAGTTTATGGAATAAACTTTATTCTGATAACGTACCTGTTGTGTTTGCACAATGTAGCAGGATATGTTATCTGCTCTGAATACTTGTTTTTTTTCCAGGATACATTATCTGAAGAGTTCAGCAATGATTCCATTGTACGTAATTGTTTTGCTCTCAACACCATTAGGTACTGTTTAGGTATAGTTTTCTTTTTGTTTTTCAATATTAATTAAGTATTTGTTTACAGTTTGGTGAGTTTTCTTTTGATGTTTTCTTTTTTAAAGGTGGCTCAGTAAATGGAGACATTGTCTCTCTAGAAAGGCTGAAGTTCATTCATGTTGGGGATAAAATTAGCCTGACATGTTCATTTTCCTCCATTGATGCATCAGCGACTGCCTGGTTCAAAGAGACTCCAGGAGAAAAGCCTCTTCTTATTGCTTCTGCTTTTCGCTCTACACCAGTAGCATTTCATAATAGCTTTAACAGGAGCAGCCGCTATAGCGCAATAAGAGAAAAAAGCAGTTTTATTCTGAATATCTTAGATGCAGAACCATCTGATTCAGCAACATACTACTGTGCAGTTGTAGATTATTCAAACCTTGGATTAGGAGCCTGCACAGTTTTAGTGCTTAAAGGTATGTCTTAAGATCTTATATCACTACGCATATATAGTATATGTACTGTAGTTTTTTTATTTCCAGCAATTTTAAAGCTGTCCAAAGCTTTCTAGACTGCAAAACCCTGAAACAATACACTGAAACCTACTGATCCCTACTCAAAAATCACAGGATAACATTTTTACCTTTTTAGGCGGACTTTCTGTTCTCCAGCCTCCTGTATCAGATCCTGTTGAACTGGGAGGAGATACAACTTTGCAGTGTTCAATACTCACAGATACGTCTGCAGGAGAACACAGTGTGTACTGGTTCAGACATGGATCAGGAGAATCTCATCCAGGAATCATTTACACTCATGGAAACAGGAGTGATGAGTGTAAGAGAAGCTCTGAGACTGATTCTCCTACACAGAGCTGTGTCTATAAACTCCCCAAGAGAAACCTCAGCCTCTCTGATGCTGGAACTTACTACTGCGCTGTGCTCATGTGTGGAGAGATCATCTTTGGGAACGGAACTAAACTGGATTTTATAGGTAAGATCTATTATTTTCAATCCCTTCAAATAGCAGCAAACCCTACAATCTTAAACATAAAAGTGTCCAAATAGTCCTTGACACCTAATAGGTTGGTTGGACATATGGTTCCAGGAATTCCTAGTTGGTAAAAAAGAAGAAAATAGAAAAACAATTAAAAATTGTTCTACACAGTTGTGTATCATTTGGGAAAAAAAGGTCTTTATTTCAATCATTTATTGAATTGATTATTTAGATAACAAAAAGTGGGTCTTCCATAGCATTGCTTCAAAGAATATTTTTAAATTGCATTTGGCACCTTTAGTTTTTAAGAATTGTACCCAGGCACCAAACCGTTTTCTTTAAATATCTAAGAAAACATATTATTATCATTGTCAAACTATTATTTCAACAGTAACATATGGTAACATATTATGAGTCATTAACATATCATCCAGTCATGTAATGATAAAGATAAAGCAGATATAGTGTTGTAGATGAAGTGAAATAAAAAATATATAGTTGACTGCAAATGTTTGGGCACCTCTGGTTAAATTACAAGTGTTGTTGATTTTCTAAGTGAAAATAAGTACATACTGTCTACAGAGAACAATTACTGTTGCTGAATTCAACATGTTGGAAAAACATGTATATATAAAATGTGGCCTATGTAAAAAATATGGCACCGTTTCATATTTTCCAATATGTGTAACTTAGCAAGTGAAATGTTAAGTTTGTTCTCTGAAGAGAACTTATTTCACAGAGAAAATCAACAAAACAAGTAATTTGACAGGGGCGTTAAGACTTTTGCTCATGACTTTAACTTATTTTGATTTTTACTTGTGTTATATTCACAGTGCATTTAATCACTTCATTTTTTTTTGCATGATTTATCAACATTTTGATTAAATGATAATAATGAAATTGCTTTCTTCATTATTACAGAGAAAGGTGTTTTGGACCCAACCGTTATTGTTTTAGCGGCTTCAAATATCATCTCCATAGCTGTGGTTTTATATCTATGCAGAAAATTACACAACACTCATCATAAAGGTATGTTTTACACATGTGACACTGCGATATGATGCTTAATTCATACTTTTCTTTAATGTATTATGTTAATTTCAGTATGTTATACATGGGCACACATATTCATCTAAGGCTTGTCTGGTCACATCCTGCTTTGCTTGAAAAAAAAATATGCAACCATGCATTTGAAAAGCCATGCTCTAATTAATGTTTAATTATGGATTTTTAAAGTTCTAAACTAGTTGGGTATTATTGTAAAATGCATCTTAACTATTGAATCTACTAATAAATAAAAACTGCTATTGTTATAAATGTCAAGCTTGGTATAGAACAACCTATTTTACTGCTATATAGAACCACTTTCAAAAAAGTATATAAGCATCAAGTGGTTCTATATATAACTCAGGGATTCTCAATAGAACCATTCGCTTAACTAAAGAACCCTTGAAGAACTATCTTTTTAAAGAGTGCATATAATTATAAATCATCACCATCACCTGTAGTTTGCAGAATGAATCTTAGCTAACTTCTGTAAAGCAAAATATTATCTTTAATGTCGATTTATACCCAGTAAATATTTCAGCTCAGCCGAGTCATCAAGCAAGCAGGTACTCAACATTTAAGATACTGAATCTTTTCTATACCAATAGAGCCTGATGGGACCAACCTTTAAAAAAACATGAAAACTAATTCATTTTGAAACTGTGCATTTTTGACTGAATTTAATAGAGGTTTTTGCTTGATTTTTTCATGGAAATCCAAGATGTGACTGAACCTAGTTCGTTAGTTGGTGTTGATTGATCCACATTACTGTAATTACTTTTAATGATTTACCTTTCATTTCTTGTAGCTGCCGCTGAAGGTCACACATTTCGAGTAAATCATGTAATTATTCCACTCTGTATTTTTTCTTCTGTATTTTTTCTAACCTCAACTACAAAAACTTTCTCATTTCTAACTGAAAACAAATATTAGAAAATCTTTAAGTAGTCCTTGTCAAACTCAGAGTTGAAAACACATTTTGGACTTTTAACTCACTTGAAATTCTGACTGAAATCCCTTTGCTTGAATGACCCTGTAATGTAATTATGTTTGCTTTTTTTTAAGTAAATGATTGAACATTCCATTTTGTCACTACCAATTTAGTAAAAATGCCTCAGAAACTTTAGCAAATAGTGACTGTTTTGATAGTGACAATTTTGGCTAATTTGACAAACTTAAAATTGCTAGCCATTTTGGACTATTGGACTATCAAACACAGCTTTGAACACTCTTTGTTTTACAGCAGTGACATAAAAGATAAGACGGCAAAAATTAAACTAATGAAAAATAAAAAAAAATATTTATTTATTTATTTATGTAACTGTGGGACTTCAGTTAGAACTAATTTGATATAACGGTCCGTATAATGCCTATAAAGTATAGTGTGATGCAACTGAATTTCTTTATTACAATTGCTTTTAATGCATACGTGTCATTCTAACTAAACATATTAAAGCTTAATTTATTACACATTCTGAAATGTTATGTTGTTCCTAACGTGTGTTTGTGTGGTCTGTCAGGCTGAAGACACCGACGTCTTGAACTATGCAGCTCTAAGCTTTGCTCAGTCTTCCTCCTCAAGAAGAAGCAGAACAAAGAACAGCAGTGATCAGCCTGTGTACGCACAGGTAAACACCCATCAGTAGAAACAACATCAGAGTTACAATCAAAGCTGGAGAACTACTGTCATCATAACTACCCTGTAAACAGTGTTCAATTCACACAGACTCATGTAGAATGTCATAGTTACTGTAAATCACTGTGTCTCTGTATGTGTCAATTTCACATGTGAATAAAGCATTTGTTTCATCATTAATATTATAAATGTCAAAAAATGCAAAGTGTACTTTTTAAAAAAGTATTTTATATTAAAGATACATATTACAAATTAACACTCAAGTGCTGCTTATTGAGTAATACTGGGAAAAAATCCACTTAAATGCATTTTAAATAATATTTCAATATCAATAAATACACTTAAGTGCATTTAACAAATAAAACATGTAAACACAACTTATATAAACGTACATTATATTTCAATAATATTGAAATACAACACAATTCCAAAAAAAGTTAGGACAGTATGTGAAATGCCAATAAAAACAGAAAGTAGTCTTTAGTCAATTCTATTTGAATTCTGTTAAATTGAAAGCAGTACAAAAAGGTATTTGACCTTGCTTTGTAAATACATGCTTATTTCAAACATGAAGCCTGTAACACAAACACCACTGTGTTAGACCACCGCCATTTGGGGACCAGTGTTTGGGGACACCATGTTATCCGGTTTTGAATGCAGAACTCAGCTGCCCGACTATATGGGGCCTTCATTGTCATATTTTACATCTCATAATGCACCACACTTTTTCAATAGGAGACAGGCAGGCATGTTTAGCTCCTGCTGTCCCTGAAAAAGAGCATTTAGAAGCAGCATGGCACTCCAAAACGTGTATGTATCTTTCAGTGTTTTAAAAATGTTACTCAAGCCAGACACTTATATACCCACATACTGTGACAGATGCTGGCTTTACACTGGTAGCAATCTAGACTGTCCTTTACTTCTTTGGCTCAGAGAACACAATGTCCATTATTTCCATAAACAATGTCAAAGGTTGACAACAATACACATTTTGACTGCGCATCAGTCCATTTCAGTTGAGTTAGCCCAGAAAAGTCAGCAGTGTTTCTGGGCATTGTCATATGGTTTCCAATGTTCGTAGTACAGTGTTAACTTGAATTTGTGGATGCAGAAACGAATGGTGTCTATGGTTTGTCTAAGTATTCCTGAGCCCATGTGGTGATATGCATTACAGAGGCATGCCGGTTTTTAATGCAGTGCTGTCTGAGGGGTCACAGGCATTCAGTTGTAGTTTTTGGCCTTGCTTTTTACACACACATATCCAACATCCAATGAATGTCCAATGAATCTTGTGATTATGTTATGCATCATAGAGGACAGGGCCAGAGCAGGTCTTGTTTTCAGACTGGGAGTTATATGATGCAGACCAGCCCACCCCACTCACTAACTGTGTTTCTTTTGCTACACACAAACACACACTCACAGTATTGCCTTCATGCAAAATAACTTTTTCTAAAACCTGTACATTTTCACCTTCTTCATTTCTTATCATTATTTATTAATTATATGCTAAATTTTATTGTTTTTTGAAAAAAATATGACTATGTTCCAACATGTTCCAAAAAAGTTGGGACGGGGCATGTTTACCACTGTGTTTCATCACCTCTTCTTTTAACAACACTCTGTAAGCATTTGGGAACTGAGGAGACACTGCTGTAGTTTTAATAGTGAAATATTTTCCCATTTTTGCTTAGCATAGTATTTCAGCTGCTCAACAGGTCAGGGTTTCCTTGCAAATATTTTCAGTGGGTGACAGATCCGGACTGCAGGCAGGTCAGTTTAGCACCCGGACTCTTTTAATACAGAGCTATGCTGTTGTAATACATGCACAATGTGGTTTTACATTGTCTTGCTGAAATAAGCAAGGCCTTCCCTCAAAAAGACGTCACCTGGATGGCAGCATATGTTGCCAAAACCTGTATATATCGTTCAGCATTAATGGTAACTTCACACATGTGCACATCACCCATGCCATGTGCACTAATGAACCCCTATACCATCATGAATACTGGCTTTTGAACTGTGCACTGACAACAAGCTGAGTGGTCTTTAGCCCGGATGACACAGTGTCCATGATTTCCAAAAAGAATTTTAAATAATGATTCGTCAGACCACAGGACACTTTTCCACTTCCCCTCAGTCCATTTTAAATGAGCTCAGGCCCAGAGAAGGTGGCAGCATTTCTGGATCCTGTTTATATATGGTTTCTTCTTTGTGTTTTAGAGTTTTACCTTGCATTTGTGGATGCAGCGGCAAACTGTTTTCACTGTTTTTGTAAGTGTTTCTGAGCCCATGCAGTGATTTCCTCTACAGAATCATGTCTGTTTTTAATGCAGTGCTGCCTGAGGGCCCAGAGATTTCTAGAGATTTCTCCAGATTCTCTGAATCTTTTAATGTTATTATGTACTGTAGATGATGAAAAGCAAAAGTTTTTTGCTATTTTATGTTGAGAAATGTTATTCTTGAATGCTTGCAATATTTGCTTGTGAAGTCTTTCACAGAGTGGTGAACCGCTCCTCATCTTTACTTCTGAAAGACTCCGCCTCTCTGGGGTGCTTTTTTATGCCCAATCATGTTACTGACCCCATCCCAACTTTTTTGAAATGTATTGTTGGCATCAAATTCAAAATGGGCATATATTTTTAAAAACAATAACATTTCTCAGTTTCAACATTTAATATGTTGTCTCCTATTTTCAATGACATATAGTGTTTAAATCATCTCCACATCATTGCATTTTGTTTTTATTTACAGTTTGTATAGCATCTCAACATTTTTGAGCAACGTATGCTGCCTTCATCATTTTTTTCCAACATGACAATGCCAAGTCACATTCGGCATGTGTTACAACAGCATGTCTATGTAATCAGATTATGTATAGATTAGACTGGATTGCCTGTAGCTCTGAACTGTGAAAGCATGTGTTGCATTTATGTGTAAAAAACAACAATGAAGGTCTCGTACGGTTGTGCAGCTAAAGACTGAAAGAATGAAAGTAATGAAAGAACCACAAAAAGTTGGATCAGTCTGTGTCTTCAGTCCTCAAGTATTAGGTGTTGTTAAATGAAAGGGTAATGTAACACAGTGGTAAACAAGCTTCATGCTCCATATTTTTGGAATGTGCTGCAGGCATTACATTTGGAATGAGTGTATATTTACAAAAAGATGAACATTTTTAAGTCTAATATTGTGTGTGTTTAATACATGTTCAACAAAATTTACTAATCACTGCTTTGTTTTCATTAGCATTTCACATACCACATGCCAACAATATTGAAATTGATGTTTTTACTTAGCAAAATCACATCCTCACAGGATATTCTGACTGAATACGACTGGAATTCAAGGGCTTTTTCATCAAATGTTAACAACAATGACTTAATCAATGGTAAAACAACATGTACCAATTATTAAATTACCCCAAAAAGACTTCGTTTAGTAAGTAGCCTCATCATAGTACTCACATTCTAGTAAGTGATATGATCTAAACTTCTCATGTCTTGTCCCTGGTCCAAATTTTGTGTGAAGCTGATGCTATTTTGCAAAATATAGACTGTAACATACACCATACAGGAAAATGGTTTGCTGACATAAAATCCCAACATAACATGTTTGTTGACATAAGATCCCAAACGCACCACAGTGGAATTTTTTACTTGGAGACACAAAACTAAATTGCCTGTCAAGGTTGCCTCACAAAACATATGCTTTGATTGCTTCAGTACATCCGCCCAATGACAGCTGGGATAGGCTCCAGCACCCCACCGCGACCCAGAAGGATAAGCGGTTTAGATGATGTATGTATGTATGTATGCTTCAGTACAACTTGACTTAACACTGTAACAATGTTTCTCTATTGAATTTTATAATACAGATCTGTCTGCAGTTTTATTTACAAACCTTCTGAGCTAATCAGAAAAAGACAACTATCAAATAAGATCTAATATACCATAAAAACCTGGATGGCAAAATAATGTACTATAAAAACTCTGATGGCAGTACTTTTGTTAAGTTCTCATTCTTGCTCATGTATTTTTACTCTTGCATAAAGTGACTGATCTTGATTCATCTTCTCTCCAGTTCTTCTAGTGGTGGGAGGTCTCTGAGCAAAACTTAGGGATGCATAATTCATGGTATCTCTCTCATCAGCCTAGGACAGAAAGTAAAGGTAGAAAGTAAGGTTAATAGATAGATGTACAGTGTATAAAAATACTATTATACAAAATGTTTATTATTATAAACATTTATACTTATTATATTAATATAGGATACTTCAGATTTTCTGTATCAAATTGTAAGACATTTAAATACAAACTAATATATAACATATTGGCCTTTAACTTTTACATTTGGCTGCAAACAAGACAGGTCAAGGTTGAGCCATGTTTACCAAATTGCAGACTGCTTTTATCACTTGTCAGATTGGTTGTCTACCAAAAAATGTCCACCTGAGATTTGACATCAGTGGTGAAGAATGCCATGGAGAGCTAGGCATTCACTTTTGGCAAGAAATGTTAAAAAAAAGATAAAATGTGTAGTAGTATGTTAACTAAGCTAGCAATAATGCACATGAAAATTATGTTCTACATTAAACATGGGAATTTGAATTCCATTCATTTTATTTGAGCTTTGCAACAGACATTGTCATTGGATAATAATGTATTTGTAAATGCATTTCAATTTACTTAGAAAACAACTGACACAGAACTCACTTATAACAGAAGCCACTCGGCAGTCTCTGTAACTATGTAGGCCTAATGTAAATTCAAAACTGCAACCATTACTCTCTCTGTTCTGTGTATATGCCAATCTAGTTTTAAAAACACAGCACTATTTCTCCTACCACACTTATTTCAAATCTTTTTACTGCCATAAAATGCATTTTGATGTCATCTCTATTGGCCTTTCCAACGCCTTTGATGTTATCAATCATTCTCTACTTTCTTTAGAAGTTTATGAAACATTGGCTTAGACCAATGACAGGCAGCAACGTATGTCCCAGTGACACCTTAAATTGGATTTATGGACCTTAACTAAGCGTGTTCCCCAAGGTTCGATCCTAAGACCAGTTTTATTGTTTTTTTTTTTTAATAATTGATCAGGATTGCTCATACTTTGTTGGGATAAAAACCTGCAGCCACACTGGACATTTGTAGATATGATTGGACAATGCTGATCCAAATAATTAAATCTGCTGTCTCTGTTTCAGGACACTATTTTACACTGGTCTAAGACTGAGACTGGGACTGTACATGCACAAATGAAAAACAAATGTATAGTGCTTCTTTGATGCCTTACAAGTTAATCTTACAATCACAAATTAGTTTTTGAGGATCCAACATTAAAATTATTACTGAACATGAGTTCCTTTGCTTAACTGGATAATGAATTAAATTTTAGGTATCAGTAAGCTTGTAAGTAAATTAAGGGGAAAACTTTATCACATGTAAACTTGTTCCAGTGACCCGGAATTTATTACTGGATATTCATTAAAAAATTGTAACCTCTTACCACTTCCTCTCAGCCTGCAACTGTTTTAGTTATTAGTTGGTTTTAGTTTGTGTTTATTCATTAGTTGTTTTATATTTATTTGTATGTCATTTTAATTGTTTTTTGGCAGACTAATTTTATATTTTTTTACTCCCTTTTAGTACCTCGCCTATTAGATTTTATTATTTTAGTTGATCATTTGTTTGGATAGTTGCTCAAGCTTTATTTACCGATATGTACCCCAGTCATTGTTATTCTTAGTTGGCTCCATTGCAAATGAAGGGCAACCTCAATGTTTCCACATTTAAATAAAGCTGACTAACTGACTGATTGATTGATCGATTGTTTGATTGAAAATGTTCTACAGAAATACATTTTTTCATAAATGCTTGTGGAATTTAGCAACTGTCCAGTGACTTTTTTTAAAAGTGTTTCAAGTCAATATACTAATCCATAGTGTGATACAGACATAGAGGATAGAGATTGGGTTTGAAAGCTGGAGTATTCCTTCAAGAAGTATTTGTGTGGCTAGGATTGCGGGTAGAAACATAAATTAAAAACATTTTAAAAAATGAGAAATATATAATATTTTGAAATAAATAAACACTTTTACCTGATTTGACTGGTCAGCATGAACAGCACCTTTCAAAAACAAAAAGACAATTTTACATTTCTTTGTCAGATTAGTGAGCAAATGCTGTAATGAATATGGCTTGCTGTTTGAGGCTATTTATGGAAAGGAAGATTCTTTCAATTTAAGCCTTACTTTTTTGTTGGTACTTGCATAAGAGTCCTCCCAGAATTACAGTCACACACACACAAATTACATTTGAAGATGCCAAAGCAACAACAGCCGGACTCCAAAATGTACTTTCTGGTTAAATTAAATAGAAAAAATAAATAAAACATAAGAATATTTCTTGATTTTATAGATTCAGCTATAAAATGATAAATAAATTACACTAAATTCATATCATTCCTACACTGTTAAAAATACAGAGACTACTATAGGAAAATGCAGCAATGTAACAGAATTCTGTGATGTAACAGTGAAAATATAGATTTCTTTCATTCACAGCGTAAAGCTACAAAGTGTTATTTCACTAAATTCAGTGCTCAGTAAATTGAATAATGTACCTTCAATCCAATGCAATTTAGTTCCATTCCCAAAGATGATCTCTCCACACATGAGCACAGCACAGTAGTAAGTTCCAGCATCAGAGAGGCTGAGGTTTCTCTTGGGGAGTTTGTAGACACAGCTCTGTGTAGGAGAATCAGTCTCAGAGCTTTTCTTACACACATCACTCCTGTTTCCATGAGTGTAAATGATTCCTGGATGAGATTCTCCTGATCCATGTCTGAACCAGTACACACTGTGTTCTCCTGAGCAGCTCTCACTGAGCACTGAACACTGCAGAGTCACAGAGTCTCCTGGATGAACTGCCTCTAATACAGGCTGCTGGTGAACTCTGTGCTTTGTCAGTGGTGCATCTTAAAAAAGAGAATAAAGCATGTTTAATGTATGTTGCACTTAATACAGCATGCTATAGATACAGAGATGTTTGAGCTTTCTTCTTACCTTTGACATCAAGAAAGATGCCTTCCCCAAAACTGATATCATAAAGAAAAATGACAGCGCAGTAGTACGTCGCTGTGTCTGATGGTTCTAAATGGGAGATGGTCAAATTAAAACTGCCAGGTGCTGTTTGTGTTTCAAAGCGGCTGCTCTTATCAAAGCTATTCCGAAATATTCCAGGTTGGTATTGATATGATGTAACAATTGCAACAGGTTTTTCTCCAAGCGTTTGTTTCATCCAAATGATGGTAGTTTTTTGTTCTATTGAACGTTGACAAGACAGATGAACGCTGTTTCCAACTTCAGCGATCTTCAGCTGATCCTGATGACCTACAGGAGTGGCACCTGAAAAACAGTCATGTCTATATTAGTATGTACAAATTAATCAACAAATACATAAAAGTACAGGGTAAACATGTAAGTATACTTACATATTTGGTGTAAGAGAAAAAGAGCGAAAATGTATGTAGTCATTTCAAAAAGATGAAGTGCAGCAGGATGGCCAGTTTGGGGAAAAGAAAAGTGTTCTAGAATAACTAGAATGTTGATTTCAGCTTTGGTGACTGTCTTGGTAAAAAACCTTCAGCTCTGTCTATAGGAAGAAGCTGTTGTCAGGAAACATCAGTCCACATGGGCAGGTTGGCTGATTGACACTGTGGCAAAATAGGTCAGATCTGTAAAAGAGAGGATGTTGGTGTACACCAGGGGGTGATATGTTATTATGAATTTATTTTTCCCCTACCACAGGTGACTTTTTCTACAACCCTAATTCCAAAAAAAAGTTGTCATTGTGTAAAATGTAAATAATTGTAAATAAAAAACAAAATGCAATGATTTGCAAATCTAGACCCATATTTTATTCAGAATAGAACATAGAACACATATCAAATGTTGAAAGTGAGACATTTTACCATTTCATGAAAAACACTGACTCATTTAGAACTTGATGGCAGCAACGCATCTCTCAGTCTCTCAGCAGGAAAGATGGGCAGAGGTTCACCAATCTGTGAAAAACTGTGTCTAAAAATCTGAAACAATTTCAGAAAAATGTTCCTCAATGTAAAATTGTGAAGACTTTGGACATCCCACCATGTACAGCACATTATGTCATCAAAAGATTCAGAGAATCAGGAGAAATCCCTGCATGCAAGGGACAAAGCTGACGGTCAATATTGGATGCTTGTGATTTTCGGGCCCTCAGGTGGCACTACATTAAAAACAGGCACTGTACAGTTCACCGTGCAATCCACAAATGCAAGTTAAAGCTGTATCATGCAAAGAAGAAGCCATATGTCAACATGATCCAGAAACACCGCCATCTTCTCTGGGCTAAAGCTCATTTAAAATGGACTGAGGCAAAATGGAAAACTGTTCTGTGGTCAGATGAATCAAAATTTGACATTCTTTTTGGAAACTATGGATGCCGTGTCCTGCGGACTCAAGAGGAGATGGACCATCCAGCTTGTTATCAGCGCACAGTTCAAAAGCCTGCATCTCTGATGGTATGGGGCTGCATTAGTGCCTATGGCTTGGATAGCTTACACAACTGGAAAGGCACTATCAATGCTGAAGGTTTTAGAACAACATATGCTCCCATCCAGACAGCATCTCTTTCAGGGAAGGCCTTGCATATTTCAGCAAGACAATGCTAAACCACAAACTGCATCCATCACAACAGCATGGCTTCGCAGAAGAAGACTCTGGGTGCTGAACTGGTCTGCCTGCAATCCAGACCTTTCAACAGTAAAAAACATTTGGCGCATCATGAAACGAAAAATCCGGCAAAGAAGACCCAGAACTGTTGAGCAGCTAGAATCCTACATCAGACAAGAATGGAACAACATTCCTCTCCAAGAACTCTAGCACTTGGTCTCATGGCCCTGTCCCAACTTTTTTGAGATGTGTTGCTGCCATCAAGTTCTAAATGAGTTAATGGTTTTCATAAAATGGAAAAATGTTTCTTTTCAACATCTGATATGTGTTCTATGTTCTATTGTGAATAAAATATGGGTCTATAAGATTTACAAATCATTGCATTTTGCATCTATTTACATTTTACACAGCATCCCAACTTTTTTTTGGAATTGCAGTTGTAATTTCATCTTTTTTCATGCTCCAAATGCATGATATTTCTTATTTACTTGTAATTTCTTATTAGACTTTGCAACTGTTAAGAAACATTAGAAAATATGTGTGTACCTTGTAATTGTCATTTGGAGGTTTAAGACAAATTATTAGTAATTAGTAATAATACAAATGTAAAATATAAATATGGGAGTGTATACTGTCAATGTGTGAGATATCTTAATTCCAAGATTACTATTGCTGATAATTTCTAATTTATAATCTGCCATTTCAACAATATAACAATTTATAAATGATGTAGCAGCAGTGAACACATTCAGTAGATTATTAAGAGGCTTTTGATTAACTATGTAAATAAAATTTGTTTTGAATTTAGTTGTTTTTCACTTTATTTTGGAGTGTCCAAATTCATATCTATACATGTCAATCTAAGAGGTCATTGAACATGTAACAGTTTAATAATGACCATCTCAACATCCTCAACAAGCTGATATAGACATGCTGCTCACACCATTCTGTAACTAGAGCTTAACTGGATTAGGTTCTGGTTAAAGTTAGGGTTGGGATTAGGCCCAGGATTAGGGTTAGGTTTTGGGTAAAGTTAGGTTTTGCTTAATGGAAGAACCATATTAAGTCTACTTCATGTAACATATCAACAATACCTCTACTTAATGTAAGTAATGTACATACAGTACATTTTCAAGATATTTACCTCAATGTATTCAGATGCTTCCTTACTGCTACTTCACTGCTACTTCACTAATATGTTACTGATACTCCATTATGAGTTTATTAATCATCTACAAAGAACCACTTAGAAATGATCCACTTCTCAAAAATTGTTCACTTTTCAAAAAAAAAGTGTTACCATTACATTTTCTGAAATATTGTTTGCTATGTATCATATGCTGCAGGTAAACACATATAAGGAAAAACATCAGAGTTACAATCAAACCTGGAAATCTACTGTTATGATAACTACTCTGTAAACGGTGTTCATTTCACACATATTCATGTAGAATGTTATAATTAGTATAAGTCAGTGTACCTCTGTATGTATCATATTTACATCTGAAAATGCTGTTATTAATAATGTTTTGGTCTCTTTGCCTTTCCATTACAATATTTTGCCTTTAATTATGTTACAAACTTCAATTCCAAAAAAGTTGGGACAATATGTGAAATGCAAATAACTACAGTAGTGATTGCTAAATCCAATTTGACCTGTATTTAAGCAGAAAAAAGTACCCTTACAAAAAAAAAATACCTTTACCAGGTGATTCAATCATGCATGAGTTAAAGGGAACATGGGAAAGGCCTAGTACATTATGTACAATGATGGGTTAAGACTTGCATCAATGCCAAAGAATGTAACAGTGAATAACAGTTTAACAAGTTTCTTCAGTGGGTGATTGCAAGGATTTTATGTACTTGATCCTCTAAACAAAAACAACATTCAGGGAATCTGGAGAAATCTCTGTGCGTAAAGGACAAGGCCAAAAACCATAAGTGGATGCTTGTGAATTTTGCCACCTTAGTTGGCACTGCATTAACAATCAGCATGCATTTGTGATGAATGTCACCACACAGTGTGAACATGTACCTTATAGATTTTAGATCATGGAAATAATGGACTTCGATGGACTGGCAGCCTGTCCAGGGTGTTTTCTGTTTTTTGCCCAGCGACTGCTGAAATACGCTCCAGCACCCCCGTGACCCAGGAGGAGAGGCGGGTTAGACAATGTGTGTGTTTGTGTGAAATACTGGATCTTATGTTGTCCAGATCATTATAAAGTTCAAAAGCCAGGGTCTGTAATGGTATGGGGGGTGTTTTACTGCCCATGAGTATCTTTGACAGCACCATTAACACGGAAGATGTATTGACATTTTGGAGTAATATATGTCTTCTAGATGATGTCTTAATAAACAAGACAACGTCAAGCCACATTCTGCATGTGTTATGACAGCATGGTTGCGTTTAGAGAGTATGAGTGCTAAAATGGCCTACCAGACTTGTCTATCATTAGAAAAGTGTGGCTCATAATGTTTAAAATATGACAAGGCCCTGTATGGTTGTGCAGCTAAAGACTTGAATAATGCAAACAAAAAAAAAAAACCTTAATTAAGTACTTAATTAAGTGGCCGATCAGTGTATATGGTCTATGCTGTAAAAATCTAGGCATCATCTTTGATTCCAGTCTCTCTTTTGATACACGTTTGCAACATTGTTAGAACCGCATTCTTTCACTTGCGTAACATCGCTAAACTACGTAATATTCTAGCCCTAAACGATACAGAAAAACTTCTGCATGCATTTATAATCTCCAGGCTGGACTACTGTAACACCATTTTAGCTGGATGCTCCAACACTTTAATAAATAAGCTCCAACTGGTCCAGAATGCAGCTGCTAGAGTCCTTACAAGGACCAAAAAATTTGATCATATATCCCCAATCCTGTCATCATTACACTGGCTTCCTGTTAAATGTCATGTAGAGTATAAGATCCTTCTCTTAATGTATAAATCATTAAATGGCCCCGCAGTATCTTAGTGAATGAATTCAGTCATACGAACCCACACGTACGCTCCGCTCACAAAATAACGGCTTGGTGACAGTTCCTAGAATTAGAAAAACCACAGCAGGTGGTCAAGCTTTTTCTTTCTTTTCTTTCTCTTTCTTGCCACTGTCACCACTGGCTTACTCATGGGTGCTCAGATCCGGATTTTTCTGTAAAGCTGCTTTGTGACAACACCTGTTGTAAAAAGCGCTATATAAATAAACTTTGACTTGACTTGACTTGACAATGCAATGACTAAGATCTAGTACTATCTAATCCAACATGTTACTGAGGTATTGAAAAAAAATAATTGACTACTCAAAGGGGCACATTTACTTCTTACTGAGATTTAGAGGACAGAGCAATTTTCCAAACTCTGTCAAGTTTCAGCAAAAATATTTTATTGAGGAATAAAAACACTATTAAGACTGTAAAGTACACCATAAAGAAAATAGTTGCTGACACAAAAGATTTAAAGACATGCAAAACTAAACTGCACTTTAAGTTTGCCTTGAGAAATGAATGTTTGCTTCAGTAAACTCAAAAAAATGCAACATTTCTTAACAATTCCTTAGCTGAACTGAGGAAAAAACAATCAAAGAATGTACAATATAATAAATAACATGTGCTGTAAATTGATTCTCATTCTTGCTCATGTATTTTCACACTTGCATAAAGTGACTGATCTTGATTCATCTTCTCTCCAGTTCTTCTAATGGTGGGGGGTCTCTGAGAAAGGCTTAGGGATGCATAACTCATGGTATCTCTCTCTTCAACCTGAGCCTGAATGTGAACAAGGAAGAGACACACCGTTACACATACACAATGTATAAGAAATGCCTATTACATTTTATAATGGTAACATTTCAAATCTCTTTCACTCTCAGTGCATGTACCTGGACTGGATTATAAGAAATACACACACAAACTAGTATATAACGCATGCACCTTTAACCTTTAGGTTTAGTCACAAACTAGACAGGTTGGGATTGAGGATGGCCATGTTTACCAGGTTGTATATCTATCAGGCAAGTTGGCTACCAAAAAATGTCCACCTGAGATGTGAGTCAAGCTAGGCCTTCACTTTGGCCATAAATATTGTAATGTGTTCAAGAAATGTTTTGTCATGTTAGTTTTGGGTTATGTGTTGAAGAAATGTATTGTTGTGTAATGTGTTTAGTGCTGTGGTATACATTATGTGCAGTATTGTGTGTGCATGTTGTGTTTAGGCTGCCTATTTTTTTGCTTTTCATCACATGATCATGTCTGTCTCACCTGTCATTTGTCATGTATAAGCGGGGTCTAATCTTGGCACAGTCCAGCTATAAAACAGTGTCTGGTACTGCGCACAATAAATATACTTCAATTCTCCTGACATACGGCTAGTTCCCTGGTTTGGGATAGGGCTTGGATTCTTCAAGTGGTGCTGTGACCCGGATTGGACTCCTCATCTCTATGCTGTAGGTGAGTGGCCATTCGAAGCAAACCCTAATACCAGTAGTTACCCCCCTCTCGTTGACGGAATGGCGGGGAACACTGTGGTAGTGTGTGTGTAGGCCTGTATTGCAGCCTGTGGTCTGTAAGCCCATGGCCGGAGAAAAGTCTACCACCTGTAAGCTGTTTGGACACATCAACCCTTTCTCTCTCTGTTCTGGAGAAGAAACCTCTATTGAACCACAAACCAAGAAGAGAAGATGGCTACCACTGCGACAAGCTGCATAATAAAGGACTTTTCATAATAAAGAAGGATGAAACCTGTCTTCTGAAAAGTTCATAAGTATTCTGAAAATAGCTTTTGCAGACATGATGGAGGATATTATATATATATATATATATATATATATATATATATATATATATATATATATATATATATATGTATTATGATAACATATTATTTATGTTGTAAGTTAAATAAATATAAAAACTGTGCACTGACATTTGCAAAAAGTACTGCTTTAAAAAAGGTCTGTTGCAGAGGTAGTGTTTACTTAAATTAACAAAACGTGTGCAGTAATATGGCCAGGATGCCCAAACTTTTGTACACAAATTTTACATGTTCTATGTTCATTAATATAGGATTGACAAAAAAACAGACATTTAAAAATTCTAACCTTAATAAATCTTTGGAATATTTCCCATAAATGTTCAGAAACTGATACATACCAATAAAAAAATACAAACCAACACATATATAATTTACTTAAAATAATACATACAAACCAATATATATATTCAGCAATATATCTGCTAGATAACCAATGTATACACTGATAATCCAATATTTACAACAAACCTATACATATATTAACCACATCCTAACCAATGTATAAACTTCAAACAGATTTCCTTCACAAACCGATATGTATGCTAAATAACCAATATACCAACAAATCAGTATTTGGTGACTAATACATATACACCATTTCATAACTGTGCAAGCCAATTTATAGGTCAGTAAACCAAAATCATGGAAAGTAAATCATTGTATGTTCTGAACCAATATAGGTAAAAACCAACGTATGTACAATATTAAGTAGTGTCTCCGTAAACCAATATATATGCATAAAATATAGAATAATTATTTCCTGAACAGCAGCCCACACTCACTTTGCTCCATAAAAACATAATTTGTAAAAGGGCACAATACACTTACTTACCTTCAACAGCTTTCTAACTTGTGTTTGGTCTAGTAGATCTATTGATCTATCTGGAAATCTGTACAGCAGTACAAAATGTTTACCTAGTATTCTGTTTGGCCATGCATTGGAGAGCTGTATTTTTTTCCACTACATTTTGCTGTGTGGCACTTCTGTCTGCCACGCTGCTCATGCAGCCTGTGTGAAAGCGCTGACCTGTTAATATGAGTGCCAAAATGAAGAGAAAAGGAACACAGTCTGTGCTGCTTATGCCATGCCGAGGCTATCTGAGTGCTGCTGCACACTGCCAGAGACTGTTTTTCCTCCTGTGTATGCAGAGGGTCTACTTTTACAGAGCCACTCTGCTTTAGTGGTAACACAATATCACTGGTGTTTTATGTCTCTTAGTTGTTCAATTTTACTTGATTTAATTAATCATTTTAATTTTGATAGTTTTTCATGTTTCTTGCTTACACTTCATTTTGTTAATACATAATTACCTTTTTTCAGTGCCTTTTCCTTGTTAATGTTGCTTGGCTGCACTGCAAATTAGGGAAATCCCTCAGCGTATTCCAAGAATAAACTAATTGATTATTTAATTGATTGAATTGATTCTACAGAATTATGTTTTGTGGTTTGCAAGTTTCCTATTGTTTTCTACAGCCAGATAATCCACATTGTGATACAGACATAGTTGATAGAGATGAGAGTTAAAACACTGAAGGAGTATCGCTTTAAGAACATTATAATTTATTATAATTTATTGTTAATTGTTTGTGCAGCTTGTAAAGTTAAATATGTTCAATTGAAAAACAAAGAAACATGCACACACACACACACACATACACACACACACACCCACACACGGGCATGCAACCCCTGTATTTACCTGATTCAACTGAGATTCATCAACAGCACCTTTTAAAAACAAAAAGAATATGTTAGTAATTTGTGACACCAGCAATGTCACTATTACAGTATGTGTTATTTTTGTATGAAGTTATTTTTGGAAACGTAGACTTTAAGTCTTACTCTTTTTCTGGTATTTGCATAAGAGTCCTCCCAGAATTACAGTCACACACACACATATCATGTTTGAAGTCGCCAAAGCCACAACAGCTGGACTCCAAAATGTACTGTCTGGTTAAAGTCAGAAAAAAAATGGTAATACTATAAAATAAGGATCACAAATTACACTTTAATATGTAATTAACCAGTTATTTATACATGAATTAAACATTTATTAGCTTAGTAACTAATAATGTCCTCAGTAATTATTAATTGACTACACTGTTAACTGATTTTGTTATAAGTTCATAGCTTATTTACTCATTAATTGTGTAGTAATTGCTGCTTATTACACAGTTAATGAGCTGATAAATGTGTTTATTCACATAAAGAAATAATATGAGACGTTATTACTACTTATGTCTTAGTGCCATTAATGATGTGTTAATTAATACATTAGTACAGTCTTGGGTGAATCCCAGTGCTTGGGCATGGGTGATATATAGCAGCCCATTATGGCAACTAAGAGATAACAAGTGTGCTGCTCTTCTAAAATAACATCTCATCTTCATCAAGTGGACATGCTGGTTAGAGATGGTCCTCTAGACTGCCTGTTCAAATACTTATGTAGAGTTCCCCTTAAAAGCAACAGAATGTCAAAGTGTCACACAATTATCTAAAATTTTAGGTTGCCAGTGGTTTCTTTTTACAGTGATACCATGGAAACCCACTCTTGGAACCATAAGGAACCTGTCACATGATGAGATGTAAAAGTGTGAAAGACTCATTTTAGATTAATATTACAAAACTAAATTGGTGTAGAATCACTTAGAATAAACCTAAAACCAATTAAGAGAACTATCAACACACTGAGAGGCCATGCATGCTGAGGACGGCCGTATGCCAAAAATGCGTCAGATCTCATCAGATCTACCTAAAAAAATTACTTAATGTGGTAACAAGCAATTGAACTAGTTTTATTCAACTTAAAAAACTACATTGATTGAAAAAGTCATTCATTCAAAGTATTTATTAAGGTTGAATAAAACTAGTTCATTACCTTGTTACCACATGAAGTCATTTTTAGGTAGATCTTACGAGTCTGTTTTTACAGTGTACATTTGTGAGTGCAATAAACAAATATTTTTGCAATTATTATATGAATGCTGTCCAAACTTTTTTCAAACTAAACTATGAACAAATGACAAACTAACCCTTCAATTAAGTCTCCTCAACTAGTAATTACTATGTACCTTATTAGTTACTAAGTATGAACAATCCTTAATCAACAGTTAACTAATCCATATATTTTTTAAACCTAAAATTCATATTTTTTGCAACCCTATAGTATAAAATGTTACTGACAAATGCACATAAAATGTAGGACTATGTCTTGATTGTATTGATTCAACTTTAGATGAATAAATGACAGTTAACTCATGTTCTTCTAACATTGTTAAAAACAGTACAAAAACTACTAGAATTGAAATATAAAATATACATTTCATTTATAGCATGTGAGTTGTGTGTTTGACTCCTTTTTGCATGTGTTGTTTTCTTTTATGCAATGTGTTTCCTGCATACTATTACCCACAAAATGTCATTTTAATAAATTCAGTGCTCAGTAATTTAAAAAACTTACCTTTGACATCCAGTTCAGTTCCATTCCCAATGATGACCTGTCCACATGCAACCACAGCACAGTAGTAAGTTCCAGCATCAGAGAGGCTGAGGTTTCTCTTGGGGAGTTTGTAGACACAGCTCTGTGTAGGAGAATCAGTCTCAGAGCTTCTCTTACACTCATCACTCCTGTTTCCATGAGTGTAAATGATTCCTGGATGAGATTCTCCTGATCCATGTCTGAACCAGTACACACTGTGTTCTCCTGAACAGCTCTCAGTGAGCACTGAACACTGCAGAGTTACAGAGTCTCCTGGATGAACTGCCTCTGACACAGACTGCTGGTGAACTTTGTGCTTTGTCAGTGGTGCACCTCAAAGAAGATAATGAAGTGTGTTAAATGTATATAGTACTCAATACAACTCGCCATAGAAGTTTGACTTTTCTTCTTACCTTTGACAAATAGAAAAGTGCCTTTCCCAAAAGTGATATCATAGAAAAATATTACAGCGCAGTAGTACGTTGCTGTGTCTGATGCCTCTAAATTGGAGATGGTCAGATTAAAGCTTTCAGCTGCTGTTTGTGTTTTAAAGCGGCCGCTCTCCTCAAAGCCATTTCGAATTATTCCAGGTTGCTGCTGATATGATGTAGCAATAACAACAGGTTTTTCTCCACGGTTTTGTTTGATCCACACAATGGTAGTTTTTGTATCTCTAGAACTGAAGCAAGACAGATGAACGCTGTCTCCAACTTCAGTGATCTTCAGCTGATCTAGTTCAACTACATGATCAGAATAAGCGGCACCTGAAAAACAAGGATGTCTATTTTATTATTAACATTATATAACATTAATGACCAAATACATAAAAGTACAAAGTAAAATATTAAAAATATATACTTACACATTTGGAGTAAAAGATAAAGAACAAAAATGTATCTACTGATTTTAAAAAGATGAAGAGGAACAGGATCGGCCATTTTTGCAAAAGAACTGTGATAGTTTAGCGTGAATGTAGATTTTCACTCTGTGGTTACAATTACTGTCTCAGATACGTCTGTAGGGAGATGCTGCTGCCAGGAAACATTAGTCCACAGGGGCAGGTTGTCTGATTGACACTGCATCAAAATAGGTCAGAATTGTAAAAGAGAGGATGCAGCTCTACACCAGGGGGTGATATGTGATATGTCGTTAGGAGTTTTCGGAGTAATTTTGTCACCTGTACAGACTTTCTCAGTTCCTTTTTTTGACGAAAAGTTTCAAAAATGGGCCTCTGTCCTCTTTGTGGTTTGAGGTTAAAGAGACTTGACATCAGCACAAAATAGTGTGAGAACTACTTTCCTCCAATGGAGCAATTTCAAACATTTTCCACTTAGTTGAAGAGATATCTCAGAGCTGGAATGTGTAGAATATCTTTTTAATTTAGAACTTTCAAAAAATAAAGCTGTGATAAAAACTAAAAAGCAAAGGATGCAAATATATGTATACTGTGGTGCAGGCCTGGGGAGGAGCTGCTGGACACTTGTTGAGAATCCTAACAAGCACTCAGAAAACACAGACAAAACCAAAGTACATAAACCAAATTGAATCAAATTTTTATTTAATTGTTATTTGTGACACCCCAAAATAAAACCCACCTTGAACTATTTGAGTCCTATTAAGTGTGTCTCAAAACCCTGTTCACCTGACCAGAGAGAGAGCCAATCTTTGTGTGGCCTTCGCTCCTCCCCTAACTGGCCAAAGTTGTCTGTGATCAGAGGAGAAGCACATGCTTGTTAAAAGGCGGCAGCTCTGTTTCTCCACTTCCACAGTCACCTCTCCTTTGAGCACAACAACCAGGGTTTAGGGTGAAGTAAGACCTGGTGACTGGGCCTAGGCAGAGGAGGCAGAGTAGGAGAGAGGCTACTTTACTGCACTGGGGAGTTACACTACCTTGGCGATTGAAACACCAGCTTTCACATGCTCCTTGGAGCATCTTTAGGCATTACTGGGGCAGGCACCGACTCAGTGTCCTCCAAGACATCGACTGGCACTGTGGAGGCAGACACCCGCATGTTGGTGCTATCCAAAGCCCCCCAGCAGCACTGTCAACGCAGGCAGTAGATCTAGTGTGTTTCCAGAGCACCTGGGGAAGACATCATCCTCTGCCATGCCCATCATTCTGTGGCCAGGACAGAAACAACAGGAATTAGATATTCACCCATGACGATACAGAAGGGAGCAGGACTCAGGCAACCCCCATCACATCCAGTATTTCGCAATGTAGAGGGAAAGATAAGCCTGTGTGGGGCAGGATATGGGGCATGTGTGGCCTGTGTCACATGGCTATAGGCTGGGACTTCATCTTCCTGTGTCCTCAGGAAAGACCTAGCAGCAGAAGTCTGGGCTGGTGTAAGTGAAGCCCCAGTTGTAGTACCTGTAAGGCACCACTCACACCAACCCCACTATGGAGTTAGTACTTGCTTTCTTCCCACTTAATATACAATATTGACACCAACAGAGCACTTCATTTGATATATCTTCATGTTTGTACATTCAATGTCCATTTTATCAGCTCCACTTATCATATAGATGCACTTTGTAGTTCTACGATTACAGACTGTAGTCCATCTGTTTTGTAGGACCACCACAGAGCAGGTATTATTTAGGTGGTGGATCATTCTCAGCATATTAGTATGTGTTGTGCTGGTATGAGTGGATCAGACACAACAGTACTCTCTGAGTTTTCAAACACCTCAGTGTCCCTGCTGGACTGAGGATAGTCCACCAACCAAAAATATCCAGAAAACAATGTCCTGTGTGCAGCATTCGCACTGATGAAGGACTAGAGCAGGGGTGTCAAACTCAACCATAAGGGCCATATTAAAGATCTCAGCAAATCCATGGGCCAGCTGTGTCTATTTCCAGCTGTCTATTTCAATTTTAGCTAACATTTAGCTAACATGAGCTAAACAAGCCATTGTTTATTCAAAATATGTCAAAACTGCAACAGCAAAATAAGCACTGAACACTTTTTCAAAAATAATTCTAAATAAAAAGATTTTTTATTTGCTTGAACTAGACAGCAGGCATCATTTCTTTTTTGTGTAACTACTGGCCTATAGAATGTTGTTGGGGAAAGGGGGTCAGAATGTGTACTATGTTGCAGTGCATACTGGTGACTGTAGTGCATCTCAGGGTGAAATGGGCTAATATCCATCCATCCATCCATCCATCATCTAAACCGCTTATCTTTCTGGGTCACGGTGGAAATGGGCTACTAAGAATAGAAAATTAAAATCATTTTGCAGGCCGAATAGGACTGTGTCACGGGCCTGACTTGGCCTATGGGGATTGTATTTGACACATGGTGACTAGAGGATGACCAAAATAAACTGCAGCAACAGATGAGCTACTGTTCTGACTTTACATCTACAATGTGCATCCTAAGTGCATTCTTCAGCCCTGAAACAATCATTACATTGAGGCCAAAAAGTTTACATACACCTAGGCTAAAGACATTCAAACTGAAACTCAGAACTCAACTACACATTTCATGTTGCCATATCAGCATCATCAACATAGAAAATTTGTAGACTGAACTGAAAAAGTGTTTCAGAGCATGGAGGCTCAGACAATTAACTAAATTACACCAGTCCTGTCAGGAAAAATGAATTCCAGCAAAATACTGAAAGAATTCAAGTGTTTGAATCAAGTTAAGTTAAAAAAGGTAATTAAAAAAGAAAGCCACCAAATACCAATGTTGACCCACTGAAAACCTGATACAGTAACTAAATTTTTAAATAAATCTTTCCCTTATTGTTAGTTAAAAATGACCTCATATGTGCATGAACTGCCTTCTTATTTTTGTCTATTCTCTTTGCACTATTGCTTTTTTTTTTTGTTTTCTGTTTTTGTCACTGCACCAGAGAAATTCCCTGACAGTGTTTTGTTATACTGTACTAATGATATGATGACATTAAATGTATTGAGTTGAAATGTACCGAATTGAAATAAGGTACATAACCTAATTGATTTAACACAAGAGCTCTGCTCACATCTTTTTTTGGAAATTTGCAGGCATTAAATTTGGAATAAGCCATTATTAAACTACCCCAAAAGACCTAATTTAGTGAGCAGCCTTTTCCCAGCTCTCACGTTCTAGTTAGTGATGTGACCTAAACTTGTTCTGATGCTCTGTCCTTGGTCCACATTCACTTTTAGTGACCAGCTAATGCTATTTTGTATTGAAATCTTACATTATTTACATCATTTAAAAATCATCTAGAACAGTATTCCCATGTTTTACATAATGTCTACAATGTTAACTCAAATCCTCTACTGTTCATTTAAGCACAACTGGACAGGAACAACATAACCGTTTTCCATAGCTTTGTCAGGTTTCAGCAAAAAGTATTTTTATTGAGATACAAAAACACTATTGAGACTGTAAAATACATCATAAAGGAAATTGGTTTACTGAGAGAAAAGATTCCAAAAGTCACAAGCAACACAATGAATTTTTGCATATTAAATTTGCGTCAAGAAATGAACACTGTCATTGTTTCAATACAAGTATGCCTTAAAACTGCAACAATTCCTAGCAGTTGCATTTTTTAAATAAAGAACTAACTGCGGTTTTGCACACAAACTTCTTGAGCTAAAGTAAAAAGAAAATCAAAGGATAAAAAATCAGTATACAACATGTACTGTAAACACCTTAATGGCAGTACTTTTCAGTTCTCATTCTTGCTCATATATTTTTACTTTTGCATACAATGAGTGATCACGATTCATCTTCTCTCCGGATCTTCTAGTGGTGGGGGGTCTCTGAGAAAAACTTAGGGATGCATAATTCATGGTATCTCTCTCTTCAACCTGAGCCTGAATGTGAACAAGGTAGAAACACAACGTTATGGATTTTGGAGGTTTGAAGAATGTTTTAAATTATTTGCATAATATGTCATTTTTTTTACACTCTCAATGTGAGTGTCTGTATTGCATCGCAAGATAATTAATACACAAATAATTACATAATACAATGATCTGTAACCTTTAAGTTTGATAGCAAACTAGACTGGTCAAGATTTAATATAGACATGTTTATCAGGTTGTAGACTACTTGTCACCTATAAGACAGGTTGCCTACCAAAAAATGTCCACCTGAGATGTTGTGACTTGAGCTAGGCCTTTGGGCCATAATCATTAAAAAAGGAGAAAAATAGAAAAAAACATAAAACATGAAAACAAATCTTTACTGCTAGACCCTTTCGGCATTTGTGATAATATATTAGCACTAATTTAACACATAAAACAATTTCTACACTAAACCATTCTACACTAAACACAGGCATTGTATAAAGATAATAAAGATATATACATATATTTTTTGTTTACTAATATATCCAAAGTCATATGGCTAATTAACTGAGGGTATTTAGAGCATCTGTATAGAACTTACATTGTGACTGTCCCTGATTTATTAACTTTGTTAAACAAAGTAAAAAGTTTCTACACCTAAAGGTGTACTTCTGTGTATGTGTTATGTCTTGGGTTGCCAGGTGTCTGTGTTTAGACAGGAGGCCTGGTTTTGAGCTCCAATGTCCTGTTCCCAGTTAGTATGTTGGTCCAGTCGAGTGGCCAAATGGATTTAAAATGTCTGGTTTAATCTCACTCTAAAGCATTCAATTTGTTGTAGTAGATATAGTACATTCATGTCTTGTCATTGAGCTTCTCTCTCTCAGCCCTCTGTCTAACGCAGGCATGAGGAATTCAAGACCTGTACAGCCTGATTTCTGCACAGTTTGGTGATTTTCCTGCTCAAGCACACCTGTACTCAGCTCATCAGTTAATTACCTGGTATCGTTAAAGAGCTAGAGAAGAGTGCAGGAACCCACCCCCCAGTTCCCCAACCCTGTTTTAACAATGTTTTTTTTTTTTTTTTTCAATTGTTATTTATGCTTTGCTTCATTGCAAATTGGGGGCACCATCAGTTTATTCTGCGTTTGAATAAAGTTTAATTGATGCTTACTGAATGTGTTCTACGTTAATAAATTTGGCATAAGTGGTTGCAGAATTTAGCCACTACCCAATGGCTACATTAAAAAAATATTCAAGTCATAAGTCTTTTGTTCTTTTCTTCCTTCATAATCCACAGTATGATAAAGACATAGCAGATAGAAGTGAGGTTTAAATGCTAGACTATTGTTTTAAGAGCATAATAACTTATTTTAGGTGTTTGTGAAGCTTTTCAAAAGTCTAAGGTTGCTAATTAAGTTAAAAGAAAACACACACACACACACACAGCCCCACACAATTTACCTGATTCATCTGAGCGGCATCAACGGCACCTTTCAAAAACAAAATTTTGCATTGACACATCATTATTATGTGTTGCTATAGTTTGAAGCTATTTTTGACTCTATCAGCTTAAGCCTTACTTTTTTGTTGGTACTTATATAAGAGTCCTCCCAGAATTACAGTCACACACACACATATCATGTTTGAAGTCGCCAAAGCCACAACAGTTGGACTCCAAAATGTACTGTCTGGTTAAGAAACAGTAAGTAAAATGTAAGAATCTGTCTTGGCTCAATAAGTAAGTGACACTCCATGCATATTATTCTAACATGTACAAACCCCATTTCTGGAAAAGTTGGGACATTCTGTGATTTCTTAATTCTCTTGAACCTTTGTTTCACTGACTAAACTACAAAGAAATGATTTTTAATGTCTTGGCTGACCAACTTGATTGTAATTTGTATATATAAGCACATTTTGAATATGGTACCAGCAACACACATTTAAAAAAGTTGTGACAAGGCAAAATAAGAGTGAAAAGTTTATATTTACAAGTTGACCATTTTTAAAAAGTTCCACAATAAGCAGGAGAACTGGTAACAGGTAAGGGTATCATGATTGGGTATAAAAGGGGCATCAACCAAAGGCTCAGTCTTTACAATAAAGTAAAGAAGGTTTGTGCCAAACTTCATGAGAGAATTGTCAAACAGTTCAAAAAGAATATTTCTCAATATAAAATTGCAAAGAATTTAGGTCTTTTACCATCTACTATAAAGAATTTTATAAAAAAGAGTCAGGGAATGCGGAGAAATCTCAAGCTGTGTAGGGCAGGGCTGGAAATGAATGTGTGTAACCTTCCAGCCCTCAGAAAGCATTGCATGGGAAACTGTCATGCTACTGTGTTAAATACAGCCACATGGTCTCAGGAGTACTTCAGAAAACTACTGTTACTTAACACAGTCAGTCTCTGCATCAAGAAGTGCAACTTGAAACTGTACTATGCAGAAATGCCGCTGGGCTCTCTGGGCCTGAGCTCATCTCAGATGGTCTGGATATGGTTGCTATGGTCAGATGAGTCCACATTTCAGCTTGTTTTTGGGAAAAATTGGACCTTGAGTTCTCTGTGCCAAAGATAAAAGGGACCATCCAGACTTTCATCAGCAAAAGGGCCAAAAGCCAATATCTACCCACAGCATGGGTGACTTGCATATGTATGAAGGAGCCATTGAGGTATATATTGGGATTTTAGAGAGATCCAATCAAGATGCCATGAAGATGACATTTTTTCCCAGGAAGTCATTGTGGTAGAAAGTCATGGTCATTACAGCAAGCCAATGGCAGGCCTCATTCTGCGTGTGCTACAACAATGTGGCTTCATGAGCACAAAGTGCGTGTGCTTGACTGGCCTGCCTGCAACAGTTAGTATCCCCTGTTAAAAAGTGTAAATAAAAAGAAAGGTGATGTAACACAGTGGCAAACAAGCCTCCTTCCCAACTTTGTGAGTGTGTTGTAGGTTGCACCAAATTCCAAATTTGTTTATATTTAAAAAATGCAATTAAGTTGGTCAGTGAAAACATTGTACTTTTGTCAGTTAAATAAAGGTTCAAGAGAACTAACACATTGCAGATTCTTTTTTTATTGCATTTTACAAAATATTCCCAACTTTTCCAGAGATGTGTTTGTACAAAACACTACTGGAGGTACTCATAATAATTTACCTTTGTGATCCAATTTAGTTCCGTTCCCGAAGAGTATCTGTCCACATGCAGCCACAGCACAGTAGTAAGTTCCAGCATCAGAGAGGCTGAGGTTTCTCTTGGGGAGTTTGTAGACACAGCTCTGTGTAGGAGAATCAGTCTCAGAGCTTCTCTTACACTCATCACTCCTGTTTCCATGAGTGTAAATGATTCCTGGATGAGATTCTCCTGATCCATGTCTGAACCAGTACACACTGTGTTCTCCTGAGCAGCTCTCAGTGAGCACTGTACACTGCAGAGTCTCAGAGTCTCCTGGATGAACTGCCTTTAACACAGGACGCTGGTGAACTTTGTGCTTTGTCAGCGGTGCACCTCAAAGTGAGAATAGAACATGTTTATTATGTATATTACACTCAGTGCTACTCATCATAGATACAGACGGCTTTATTCTTACCTTTTACAACAAGAACAGTGCCTTCTCCAAAGGTGATATCATATATAAAGATGACAGCGCAGTAGTACATTGCCGTGTCTGATGGCTCTAAATTGGAGATGGTCAAATTAAAACTGCCAGGTGCTGCTTGAGTTTTAAAGCGGCAGCTCTTCTCAAAGCCATTATAAAATGTTCCAGCTTGCTGCTGATATGATGTAGCGATTTCAACAGGTTTTTCTCCAGGGTTTTGTTTGATCCACACAATGGTAGTTTTTATATCTCTTGTACTGAAGCAAGACAGATTAACACTGTCTCCAACTTCAGCAACCTTCAGCTGATCCTGTTCAACTACATAACCAGAATAAGTGGCACCTGAAAAACAATCATGTCTATATTATTATTCACATTATGTAGCATTAATCCACAAATACAATATAAGAGTACAGAGTACAACGTATAGATAGATGTGTACTTACATATTTGGAGAAAGAGAATAAGAATGAAAATGTATCTATTCATTTTCAAAGGATGAAGTGAAACAGGATCGGCCATTGACTGGTGACTGTCTTGGCTGAATACCTTCAGATATGTCTGTAGGGAGATGTTGCTGTCTGGTAACATCACTTCACAGGGGCAGGCTGGCTGATTGAGACTGTGTCAAAATAGGTCAGAATTGTAAAAGAGAGAGACACAGCTCTACACCGGGGGTGATATGTTTTATGTTTTATAAAAGTAATGGGAGTAATTTTGATAGCAGAACAGATTTTCTTTTGTCGCATTTGTTTCTTTCTTTCTTTATTTATTTTATTCTTTTGTCTTTGTTTTTTAGAAAATTTTATGAAAAGGGGTCTCTGTGGGGCCATTGTCCTATTTGTGGTTTGAGGTTGAAGAGACTTGACATCAGCACAAAATAGCAATTCCATTGCAACCATTTCCAATTTGCCATTTGTTTGAAGTGATAGCTCAATGCTGAAATGTTTTTATTGCTTGAAAAGTTTCTAAAAAAAACAAAATATGATAAAACTGAAAAGGAATGTATCCAAATGTATTTTCCCCCACTCATATGGTGAGGATGATCATTCAAAAAGCAATAGTTTCCACAAACATCACAGTTAGTCGGTTGACATTATTTCATCGTTACTGTTTTTAGTGAGAATTAACACACCAGTTAGTGACTGCAACCTTTATCATAAAATATGTTTATATAATTACATCTTTTATTTTCATATTTAATGAATTTTTAAAAAAGCTTTACACATTTATACATTTAATATACATCCCTGTTTTATGTGCATGTCCCAAAGGTGCACAGAGACTGTTCTGATGTGCTGTAACATTATGTCAGATAAGGAGTCTAACTGGAATCTTGCTTACCTCAACAGCACTGCTAGTTATTTCAATACAAAAATCTAAAAAATCTTTGCTTAGTGTCACGCATTCACCAGCATCACGAGATGCTATGGACTTCATTTCCCAAAATCCTCAGGAAGATCACATGACTGAATAACTTCCTTCTGACTCGGAGACCATAGCGGACCCCATTACCCACAGTACCGTGGGGGATCACATGACTTCGGACGGACTATCGCGCTCCTATCAGCGCTCGCGCTCCCCAGAGTACTAACTCTTATGGCATATGATCTAGGTAGGGCAGTTTTTAAGCCCGGGTTTAGTAAGGTTCAGTGCGAGGTATTGTTTCGTTTCGAACTTGCTGAGCGTTTTTGTATGATCTATAGTTTGCCGTGTATTTGACCTTTGCTTCATTCACTTGACTCTGCCTTTTTGCCTATCCCCTTTTGTACTTTTGCTTATCGTTTTGATCACTGTTTTTGACCTTTCTGCCTGTTTTTTCGACTTACTCTTTTGTCTAGCCCCTTGGTGTTTGTTCGCACGGTGATATGATCATTGTTGTGTTTTGCCTTTGTCTTTTGGATTTGACCCATGGCTGTTTTTTGACCAAGCCTTTGCCTAACTCTATTAAAACAACTTTAGCCCTTTTTCTCCGCGAGTGTCTGGATTCTGTTGGCATGTCACAGAATACCTCACCCATCATGCAAACGGCGGAACAAGAAGCCTTGCAAAAGGCTCTGACAGAACAAGGGCAACTTCTGGGTCGACACCAGCAGGTACTGTCCAACGTGACGCACTCTCTAGAGTCACTGGCTCAACAGCAGGCAGAACAACAAACACAGTTGGCCCAACTGGTCACTAGTGTTGAAGGATTGACTGGACAACTACAGAGTATGAGCTTCACAGACCCATCAGTAAGTCCAGTGCAGTCCAACACGGCAGCTGAAAACTCCGGAGCGGTTTTCCCGGTTAGTAAACCCGATAAGTTCGAGGGAGACCCAGATAAATGTAGAGGATTTCTGCTACAATGCTCAGTGTTTTTTGAAAATTCCCCCCATAGCTCCGATCAAGCCAAGATATCTTTTGTTTTCTCCAGATTAGCTGGGAAAGCATTAGAATGAGCTACCACTAGCTGGAGTGTGATTCATCGCTTGACCTATGCTCAATTCATTATGCAGTTTAAGACTGTTTTTGATCATCCTTATGAAGGGAAAGTCAGCGGGGAATTGTTGTGTAAGCTGCGCCAGGGAACGCGCTCTGTGGTCGAGTACTCGCTGGAATTTCGAACTCTCGCTGCGAGCAGCGGGTGGAATGAGGAGGCGCTCTTGGTGATATTTCGACAAGGTTTAAATACTGAAATCCTTAACGAACTCGCTAGTAAAGATGATGCTTTGTCATTAGACCAACTCATCACTCCAGCTATTAAATTGGATCATCTATTGCATTCTCGTCCAAGATCAAAGATCACTCGAGATCAGAGAAGGGGAAATCCTCAGGGGCGGGTTCTGCTGGAGAACACAGAGACCACAGAACCTATGCAGTGTGACTGTTCGTGATTATCTCCAGAAGAAAGGCAACACAGATTGCAGAACCATCTTTGTTTATACTGTGGCAAGGCGGGACATCAAGTTCGCGAGTGCCGAACCCGGGCCACAAAAAAGCAAAGCGCCGATCCCTGGACAGTTCACTCCATGTGCTAATGTGGTGAGTGTGCCCACATGGGGGTTGGTTTCTAAGTCATTAATGTTGCCAGCAACTATATACTGTCATCCACATTCTCTTGTAATTTCAGCTCTGATTGACTCGGGTGCCGAAGGAAACTTCATTCACTCCAGACTCGTAGAACAGCTGCAGATACCCGTGAAGCCGCTCAAGACACATCTGAAAGTGGCCGCATTGGATGGAGGACCAGTGGGTTTGGGCACCATCTCCAAAGTCACGACGCCTCTGGGGCTACAAATCAGCGCACTCCATAAGGAAACTTTGTCCCTTCTAGTCTTAGAGCACTCTGAATTCGAAATAATTTTAGGACTTCCATGGTTAGAGAAACGCTGTCATCTCATGGCCCGAACATACTATTACCAAATGGTCAGATTTTTGTGTCCATTCCTGTATCACCACTCCTTCCATCGCCATTATGTCCACATCAATAGAAAGCCCCAACGCTGATACTATGGTTGAGATTCCCTCTGAGTATAATGATTTAAAGGACGTTTTCAACAAGAAAAATGCCACCAAATTGCCCCCTCATAGATCATATGACTGTGCAATAGAACTGGTAGAGAATCCCGTGTTCCCCAAAGCCCGAATTTACCCCTTAACACAGGAGGAACAAAAGGCCCTCAACATCTACATTCAGGAAGCCCTAGACCAGGGTTTCATCAGGCCCTCAACGTCCCCCTTCGCCTCTAGTTTCTTTTTCATTAAAAAGAAAGATGGAGGACTCCGCGCCTGTATAGATTATCGGGCCCTCAATCAGATTTCAAAAGCCTACCCCTATCCTCTTCTCTTGGTCCCTGCAGCATTGGAACAACTTAAGGGGGCCAAGTTCTTCACTAAGCTTGGTTTACGGAGTGCTTACAATTTGATCTGAGTGCGGGAAGGTGATGAGTGGAAAACAGCCTTTTTGACCACCAGGGTGCACTATCGAATACCAAGTGATGCCTTTCGGACTCTCTATTGCCCCCTCGGTGTTCCAAGCGTTCATTAACGACATTCTCAGAGATATGTTAGGACATTTTGTTATAGCATACTTAGATGACATTCTCATTTACTCACCTGACAAAGAGACCCATGTGACACACGTTCGTTTAGTCCTTCATAAACTCCTAGAGAATAATTTATTCTTGAAAGCAGAAAAGTGTGAATTTCATCTGCAGTCAGTCTCTTTCCTAGGGTACTTTATTAGACCCCAAGGAGTTACAATGGATGACCACAAGGTGGAGGCGGTGGTTCAGTGGCCTACTCCCACCTCAGTGAAGGAAATCCAGAGGTTTTTAGGGTTTGCGAACTTCTATCGTCGTTTTATAAGAAACTTTAGCACCACTGCTTCCCCGCTCACATCTCTCTTAAAGGGTAGTCCCAAGAAGATCACTTGGATGGACTCCGCAGAATGTGCGTTCCAGAAACTCAAAGAAGCGTTCACCACAGCCGCCATATTAAAACACCCTGATCCTGAACAGCCCTTTATCGTAGAAGTAGACGCATCAGAGACTGGAGTAGGGGCTGTACTGTCTCAAAGAACCGGCTTACCTCCAAAACTACACCCTGTAGCCTTTTATTCGCATAAGTTGTCTGCCGCAGAGAGAAACTATGGCATAGGAGATCGTGAACTCTTAGCAGTTAAACTAGCCTTGGAAGAATAGCGTCACTGGCTGGAGAGGGCCAATTTTCCGTTCACTGTTTTAACAGACCACAAGAATCTAGAATATCTCTGTACGGCGAAAAGAATCAATGCACGATAAGCCAGATGGTCCCTTTTTTTGCCAGATTCCATTTCAACATTACTTATAGACCCGGCTCTCGTAACACCAAGGCGGACACGTTATCACGAATTCACGAAGGAGAGAAATTCACCCTAGAAAAAGACACCTATAAGACCATTCTCCCGCCAGAAATCACATCTCATCCATTAGTTGGCAGATTGATGAAGACATTGAAAAAGCTCTCCGCAACCATGAAATCCCCAGTCAGTGCCCTCCTGATAAACTGTATGTTCCTCAGGCCTTCCGCACACAGCTGATCACCTGGGCTCACTCGTCCCTCACATCTGGACACCCGGGAGAAACCCGAACCCATAGACTTTTTGCGCAGCGGTATTGGTGGGAATCAATGCTTAAAGACATCCATTTCTTTGTTTCATCCTGTTCGACATGTTCCCAGTGCAAAACCCCAAAGACACTCCCTGCAGGAAAGCTAATGCCTCTACCAGTACCTAATAGACCCTGGTCACACATAGCGGTCGATTTCGTCACTGATTTACCCCTTTCACAAGGGTATACTACCATCCTGACAGTAGTAGATCGATTTTCCAGAGGAATAAGATTTATCCCTTTTTCTGCCATTCCCAGTGCATTTCAGACCACCCAGAGTTTGTTCCAGCATGTATTTCGCAGTTTTGGCATACCAGAGGACATGGTTTCAGATAGGGGTCCCCAATTCATGTCTCAGGTATGGGCTGCCTTCTCTGAGCAGATAGGAGTTTCCATCAGCCTTTCATCTGGTTACCACCCACAATCGAACGGACAATGTGAGCGAGTAAATCAAGAACTGGGGAAATTCTTGAGGATATTTTGTTATGAAAATCCCATGGATTGGGCTCAATATTTGATATGGGCAGAGATCGCTCAAAACTCATTGACCTGTTCTGCAACCGGCATGACTCCTTTCTAGTGTGTCCTAGGCTATCAACCCCCCTTAGGACCCTGGACAGCAGCCCACACGGACGTACCAGCAGCGGACCAGTGGATGAGCAGGAGTGAACAGGTATGGGAGGAGACCCATCAATGCATCGAGCACGCACTGCAGCGGACCAAAGAACAAGCGGATCATCGCCGGGGTCCAACCCCAACGTCTCAGCCAGGGGATCGAGTGTGGTTGGCCACTAAGGACTTCCGTAGTTCAGAGGGAAGTTGCAAAAAACTTCAGCCTAAATACATTGGGCCCTTTAAGATTGTCAAGAGGGTTAATGATGTGACTTATAGATTAGAATTACCCCCATGATTCCGAGTCTCACGTTCTTTTCATGTTTCTCTTTTAAAACCTGTTGTTGCAGGGCGGTTGGACGAGGCGACACCGGATGGCACACCCCCACCACCGGAGCAGATAGATGGGGCACTGGTCTACGCTGTCCGTAGGTTGCTGGACTCTCGGAGACGGGGCGGGCTCCTTCAATACCTGGTGGACTGGGAGGGGTATGGTCCAGAGGAGCAGTCGTGGGTATCAGCTCAGGATGTGCTTGACCCTGCGCTCATTGCCGATTTCCACAGTCAGTTTCCAGCTAAGCCAGCTCCTCATCCCAGGGGTCGACCGAGTAAACGGTTCACCAGCTCTCTGCTGCCCCGTCTGCGGAATTCCCAGGAGGTGAAACAGGGGGTTCAGCGCCAAGGCAGTTCCGGGTCTGCCTCTGTTCTGAGATCCAGTGGGATGCGTGGTGGTTGTCCGGGTCGTCCTCATTCTGAGGCCCACCCGGACTCTTCGGGGGGGGTAACTGTCACGCATTCACCAGCATCACGAGATGCTATGGACTTCATTTCCCAAAATCCTCAGGAAGATCACTTGACTGAACAACTTCCTTCTGACTCGGAGACCTTAGCGGACTCCATTACCCACAGTACCGTGGGGGATCACATGACTTCGGACGGACTATCGCGCTCCCCAGAGTACTAACTGTTTGCACCTGAGTCTTATGTCATATGATCTAGGTAGGACAGTTTTTAAGCCCGGGTTTAGTAAGGTTCAGTGCGAGGTATTGTTTCATTTCGAACTTGCTGAGCGTTTTTGTATGATCTATAGTTTGCCGTGTATTTGACCTTTGCTTCATTCACTTGACTCTGCCTTTTTGCCTATCCCCTTTTGTACTTTTGCTTGTCATTTTGATCACTGTTTTTGACCTTTCTGCCTGTTTTTTCGACTTACTCTTTTGTCTAGCCCCTTGGTGTTTGTTCGCATGGTGATATGATCATTGTCTCTGTCTCTCAGCTCTGCAGTGGGTAAACCAGTCACTGACAATTCGCTCAGTTTCTTCATATCAGTGAAAACAGGAACAAAACAAATAAAACTGAATTTGACCATTTCTCTTTGTTTAAATATTGTGTGGAATTGTTATATATCTTTTGTTAATTAATTTTGAAATGGGGTAACTTGCAAAGGTATGACTTTTTTATAAAGGCTGATAACATGTCCATTGTTTTTTAGTGATCTTGAACATACATCACTGTTGCAGTTCATTACATGACTCTTGTTTCTTTCTATGAATACTTATTTTTGTTGATATATTATGTGTTTTCAGCATTACAGATAACTTAGACATTGAAATTGGAACATCAACGCTTTAGTCTGGGGTTGTGTTCAATTCGATCTACTGGTTATGTGTTCATATTAAAGAAGTGGCACTCACCTTTCAAATGAACTCTACTTGTAATTGTCATTTTGTTCCTGGTTTTATGATGAAATGCTTTATCAGTGACAAAGAACCCTCTGACTTCTAACAGGAATCAACAGACCTCTTCACAAAGTGTTCAGTCTTAAAGGTGTCTTAAAGTTTTGGCTAGGTACTGACAGGTACAAATTCCCGTAGAAGAAACACATCTGTGACACCTGCTCTATATCTGAAGAATGATTATAAGGTGGCCGAAAATGCCAACTACTGTGCATCCAGGTCAGAGAATTAGAGCATCAAAGTCAAAGGGTTTTGTTCCTGGAAGCCTCCATGTCACTTCTTGAAGCAGTTTGCCCCAGGAAATCAAAGCACTTTTGTAACCCAACTCTGCACTCTTACACCCCAACAGATGCTGTTTCAGGGGCTCTGTCCCACTTCTGACAACAGAGTGGCAAGTTGTGGGTTTACAAACATGAATACAAAAAAAATAACATAAAAAGGCGCCAGCAGTTTGTGAGTGGGTGAGGTCACAGTGTTCTCAGAGCTTAGAAATCAGTGTCATTTGATCCCCTCTAACACATATAAAGAAAACTTAAAGAAATGCTTTGTTAATACTTTATTAATGAATATTCTTTACACTATATGCACATATTTTAAAACTGTTTTACACTGATGTAAGTGATGATGTTTTGCTTAATTCAAAAGAAAAGCCAAAGAAGAGAGAGCTTTAAACCAAACAAGTTTCAAATTCAGCTTCGCTATTGATATATGACCTTGGAGTACACGTCAGGGTCTTTAAACTTATGTTGTCTTCTGTTGTGTCTGGAGGACATGGGTTTATTGGAGAGTCTCAGTGCTGCAAAGTTCAAATCTTCATCGCATGAATCCTGAAGAAAAGAGACTGTATTTAATAAAAAACTCCTAAGTAGTGCAACATGTTAAATGCAGGATGAAACGTCAGAGATATGTCAAATGAAATATATTAAATAAAAATAACCAAAATAACCTAATTATTTTTCAGTCTCAAATGACAAAGTGTTCATCTGACTTACATGAGTATCCGAACATGTCAACCAGGTTGAAGATCCTTTAAGAAAAACAAAGAACAAGCCCAGGAATCTATATAAAAAAGGCTTTTTATGTAGAAATATTGGAAAAAAACAACCGATATTGAAAAAACTTACCAGTCAAATGACTTTGGTTGTTACACCACATTACAACAATAAAGATAAGCAACAACAAAGAAATTATGTTGGAGTAGATCAGTATGAGAAAGCATGTACTGACAGTCAGTGAAGGGTTATTATCTGTAAAGACATATTATACATAACTATTATTATAATAAAGCTCTTACATTCCAGTCACATTTCTAATAATTCAGAGTTTATTGCTTTTGTAACCAATTTACCTTTTAACCAATTATTTACTCTACGAAAGGAAAACTCTTCATGGAAATCCATGTGAAACTTTACCTGTGATATTTAGTTCAGTTCCGTTTCCAAACAGTATCTGTCCACATGCAGCCACAGCACAGTAGTAAGTTCCAGCATCAGAGAGGCTGAGGTTTCTCTTGGGGAGTTTGTAGACACAGCTCTGTGTAGGAGAATCAGTCTCAGAGCTTTTCTTACACTCATCACTGGTGTGTGGATGAATGTAGATACTTCCTGGATGAGATTCTCCTGATCCATGTCTGAACCAGTACACACTGTGTTCTCCTGAGCAGCTCTCAGTGAGCACTGAACACTGCAGAGTCACAGAGTCTCCTGGATGAACTGCGTCTAATTCAGGCTGCTGGAGAACTTTGTGCCTTGTCAGTCGTGCACCTCAAAGAAGAAAATAAAGCATGTTTATTATGTATGTTGCATTCAATACTACTCACCATAGATGCAGAAGACTTAATTCTTACTTTCGACAATGAGAACAGTGCCTTCTCCAAAGGTGATATCATAAAAATATATAACAGCGCAGTGGTATGTTGCTGTGTCTGATGGCTCTAAATTAGAGATGGTTAAATTAAAACTGCCAGGTGCTGTTTGTGTTTTAAAGCGGCCGCTCTTCTCAAAGCCACTTCAAAATATTCCAGGTTGGTGCTGATAAGATGTAACAATTGCAACAGGTTTTTCTCCAAGCTTCTGTTTGATCCACACAATGGTAGTTATTTTATCTTTTGACCTGAAGCAAGACAGATGAATGCTGTCTCCAACTTCAGCGATCTTCAGCTGATCCTGTTAAACCTCATAACCAGAATAAGTGGCACCTGAAAAACAATCATGTCTATTTTATTATTCACATTATGTAGCATTAATCCACAAATACAATAGAAGAGTACAGAGTACAACGTATGGATAGATGTGTACTTACATATTTGGAGAAAGAGAATAAGAATGAAAATGTATCTACTCATTTTCAAAAGATGAAGTGGAACAGGATCGGCCATTTCGGCAAAAGAACTTTTAGTTTAACTGCAGTGTGGATTTTCACTCTGGTTACGGTGACTGTCTTGGCTGAATACCTTCAGATATGTCTGTAGGGAGATGCTGCTGTCTGGTAACATCTCTTCACAGGGGCAGGCTGGCTGATTGAGACTGCGTCAAAATAGGTCAGAATTGTAAAAGAGAGGAGACAGCTCTACACCGGGGTGATCTGTGATATGGTTTATGTTTTATAAAAGTAATGGGAGTAATGTTGTCAGCAGAACAGATTTTCTTTTGTTTCCTTTCTTTTTGTCTTTATTTCTAAAATTTTATGAAAAGGGGCCTCTGTGGGGCCTTTGTTCTATTTGTGGTTTGAGGTTGAAGAGACTTGACATCAGCACAAAATAGTGTCAAGAATTATTTTCTTCCATTGCAACAATTTCCGATTTGCCATTTGCTCGATTTCAATGCTGGAAGGCCTTTATTGCTTGAAAAGTTTCAAAAGAATTAAAAGATGATAGAAACCCACTCGTAAAGTGAGGATGATCATTTAAAAAGCAATAGTTTCCACAAACATCACAGTTAGTCAGTTGACATTATTTCATAGTTACTCTTTCTAGTGAGAATTAGCATACCAATTAGTCAAAATACCCTAATATAGACTGTGTCATTGATTTTAAAAGACTTTTATTTTGCATGCATATGAAGGGTCATTCAGAATAGGTTAGGTATAGTTTTTGTAAAGTAATCAAGGTTTTTTAGGGATACATATATAGGCTGAGCAGAATGTTTTGTGGCTTTAGCTGTTCCAAAGTTCCCTACGATGGACTGGCAACCTATCCCAGGTGTGTCCTGCCTTCTGCCCAGTGACCGCTGGGATGGGCTCCAGCACCCCCTGTGACCCAGAAGGATAAGCAGTTCAGAAAATGTGTGTGTGTGTGTTTCAAAATTGCTAGTAACCTAAGTCAACATTTTAGCTTATATCACTAACTACTGTAGCACGGCTAAAATGACTCTAAAGGATTGGTCAACATTTTCCCTTTTGTACTTGCTATATTGAAAAGTGAAGCTATTGAGTCACACCAATGAAGAGAGACAGAGGTGTAAATTTCAAATGCTAATGGAAACTGATAGAGGTTTTAATAATTTATAAATTATTAGTGTGGAAATACATGATATTGAACTAATTCCACTTCAATTTATATTTCACTGTAATGGTCGTGGATGGCTGTAATTAAATTATGCAAATCCCAAGAGAAGACAGGATGACTACAGTGACCTTCATCACAAAATATATTTATATAATTACATCTTTCATTTTAATTTTAATGAAAATATTCCAGTTTCTGATTTGTAACAAAAGGTTTATACATTCTGTATACATCCCTATTTTATGTGGATGTCCAAAGGTGCAGAGAAACTATTCTGATGTGCTGTAACATTATGTCAGATAAGGAGACAGATGACTTACTGACAGGTACGAATTCCCATAGAAGAAACACATCTGTGACACCTGCTCTATATCCTGAGAATGTTCACAAGGTGGCAGGAAATGCTAACTACTGTGCATCCAGGTCAGAGACTTGGAGCATCAAAGTCAAAGGGTTTTGTTCCTGGAAGCCTCCATGTCACTTCTTGAAGCAGTTTGCCCCAGGAAATCAAAGCACTTTTGTAACCCAACTCTGCACTCTTACACCTCAACAGATGCTGTTTCAGGGGCTCTGTCCCACTTCTGACAACAGAGTGGCATGTTGTGGGTTTACAAACATGAATACAAAAAAAATAACATAAAAAGGCGCCAGCAGTTTGCGAGTGGCTGAGGTCACAGTGTTCTCAGAGCTTAGAAATCAGTGTCATTTGATCCCCTCTAACACATATAAAGAAAACTTAAAGAAATGCTTTATTAATACTTTATTAATGAATATTCTTTACACTATATGCACATATTTTAAAAATACACTGATGTAAGTGATGATGTTTTGCTTAATTCAAAAGAAAAGCCAAAGAAGAGAATTCAAATTCAGCTTCGCTATTGATATATGACCTTGGAGTACACGTCAGGGTCTTTAAACTTATGTTGTCTTCTATTGTGTCTGGAGGACATGGGTTTATTGGAGAGTCTCAGTGCTGCGAAGTTCAAATCTTCATCACATGAATCCTGCAGAAAAGAGACTGTATTTAATAAAAAACTCTAACTCAGTAATGCAACATATTAAATGCTGGATGAAATGTGAGAGATATGTCAAACTAAATATGTCAAATGAAAAATAACTGAATCCTAATAATTTTTCAGTCTCAAATGACAAAGTGTTCATCTGACTTACATGAGTGTCCAAACATGTTTCACAAGTTGGAGATCCTTTAAGAAAAACAAAGAACAAGCCCAGGAATCCATATAAAAATAAGCTTTTAATGTAGAAATATTGAAAAAAAACAACTGATATTGAAGAACTCACCCGCTGAATGACTTTTTTCGTTTTTACACCACATAACGACAACGAAGATAATCACCAATAATGAAATTATGTTGGAGTAGATCAGAATGAGAAAGCATGTACTGACCGTCAGTGAAGGGTTATTATCTGTAATGACATATTATACATAACTATTGTTATAACAAAGCTCTCACATTCTAGTTGCATCGCTAATAATTCATAGTTTATTATTTTTGTAATTTCTTGCAAACCAGAAGTGAAAATATAAGCATTTGATAAATTTAAACAATTATTTACAAAAGGAAAATCCTTCACTAAAATCCATGTGAAACTTGTGAAACTTTACCTGTGATATTTAGTTTAGCTCCGTTTCCAAACAGTATCTGTCCACATGCAGCCACAGCACAGTAGTAAGTTCCAGCATCAGAGAGGCTGAGGTTTCTCTTGGGGAGTTTGTAGACACAGCTCTGTGTAGGAGAATCAGTCTCAGAGCTTTTCTTACACTCATCACTCCTGTTTCCATGAGTGTAAATGATTCCTGGATGAGATTCTTCTGATCCATGTCTGAACCAGTACACACTGTGTTCTTCTGAGCAGCTCTCAGTGAACACTGTACACTGCAGAGTCACAGAGTCTCCTGGATGATCTGCCTCTAACACAGACTGCTGGAGAACTTTGTGCTTTGTCAGCGGTGCACCTCAAAGAACAGAACAGAACATGTTTAGTATCTATTATATGCAACCTCCCCACTATAAATACAGAAAATCAATATTTTCTGTATTCCTCTTACCTTTGACAACAAGAAAGGTGCCTTCTCCAAAAGTGATATCATAGAAAAATATAATAGCGCAGTAGTACGTTGCTGTGTCTGATGGCTCTAAATTGGAGATGGTCAGATTAAAGCTTTCAGCTGCTGTTTGAGTTTTAAAGCGGCCGCTCTCCTCAAAGCCATTTCTAAATATTCCAGGTTGGTGCTGATATGATGTAGCGATTACAACAGGTTTTTCTCCACGGTTTTGTTTGATCCACACAATGGTAGTTTTTGTATCTCTAGAACTGAAGCAGGACAGGTGAACGCTGTCTCCAACTTCAGCGATCTTCAGCTGATCCTGATGATCTACATGAACAGCACCTGAAAAAAACAGGTCTACATAAATATATATTTGAATTCATTAATCAAATTTGACCAAGCTTTGTTCAAATTCATACTTACATGCTTGAGAGAAGAGAATGAGAACCAAAATGTATCTGCTCATTTTTGACAGATGAAGCTGGTGCAGCAGGATGACCTATTTAGCAAAAAGAAAGAAACTGTTATGCAATAACAAAGGCAGTGGTTTACACACTAGTTACAGTAAGTGAACATGTGTGAACCATTATGTGAACCAGTATTTAATTCAATCCAGGTAGGGTGTGGCTGCTGTCAGGTAACATCACTGTGCAGCAGACTGTCGCTTAATCAGAGTTTCTAATACCTGCTCTTGGCGTCCCAAAGCACTGCACAGGTTCATTTTGTTCTTGACTCATAAGCTGGATCAGAAATGTTGAGGCAAGTAATATCTGATCAGTCAAGGATCTGATCAGTCAAGGATCAGTCAAAGACTAGTGTCATCATATCAGGATCAATAAACACTCCTCTAGACCTTATCTGATCAGTCAAGGATCAGTCAAAGCCCAGTGTCATCATATAAGGATCTATAAATACTGCTCTAGACCTTATCTGATCAGTAAAAGATCAGTCAAAGCCCAGTGTCATCATATAAGGATCTATAAATACTGCTCTCGACCTTTTTTGTTTAGTCAAAGATGTTTTTGTGATGAAATTGTATTGTTACTCACTTGGCTATATTTCCAAAGGCTCCCGTCTTACTGGTCTTGGACTTGGCTCAAGTCACTCGAACGAACATGCACACAACATCTCAAGGATCAGCCCTTCACATACATGTGCAGAGGGAGGGTTTACACCCCCTCATTAACATCTAATTATGCAACTCTTACCAGAGACTATTAGAGGCTTTCTGCTAAGAGGGGGTGAGGGTTCATTTGGGGGGAGCAGGCGGATTGTCGGGGTGGGGAGGGGGGTACTGAGCATGGGACATTATCAGGTTACTGAAAAAACGGCATTTATTGTTTTGCAATAGTACGAGCACTGTAGTTTTTATTCTAGCTTTGGCTTGAATTCACTTCTCATTATCTTGTGGAAACTTCAGAACAGATTAGAGTTTCAACTGTTTCTTCTTTGATTAAGGTTTTGAGTTGGTTAGTCTGCTAGCACCTGTCATGTTCGTAGTTAGCATGAGAACGCTGACGTCTTCAGTAGTTACGGAAGAGAGATTCCTTGTGGAAACAGTGACAAGTTTGCTCAGTCAGCAGTGACTGGTTCTCAGCTGACCTTAGAACAGCTGTGGTTTGGACATAGACTTAACTACTTACCATGTCTGTACAAAAAGCTACGCTAAGGTTACTCAGAGGGACTTTGACTTCTTTTAATGCTTAGGCATGCAGCACCAATACGTATAGGCTAAAAAAAACAATGTAGCTATGACATGAATGTGAAAGTTGATGAGGACAGCAGATTATTTGACGTGCAGTGTGAGGAGGGAAGTAATGTCCAATTAAGTGCCCAGGCAAGCTCAGATTGAGTAGTCAGATGACCAGATAGATTTCTGACATGTCAGAAATGATGGTCATTACATTTTGATTTCATTCAACTTCGAATAATACATTAACAGAATGTAAAACACATATTATTGTTCTGTTAACTTACCTTAAGAAGTTCAATGGACTCTATAGAATTTTATAGACTTTATAGAAACCAGGTTACTTACTTTTTCAAATAAAAATGTTGAATCATTTTTTACAGTGTACCACAACAGCAGGTGGCCACAATAAACAATAGTGCAAAAGCAATGTGTTATGTGGATGGAAGACCTGGAAGCCAGCCTAGTAGAGCTTTGGTGACATTGATTGTGCTTGAACATCTTTCTTAAACCTGGCTTGCTAGGAGATTTATTGATACCATCAACATGTTTTTCCAAAACACATAGCTGTGTGAGTGTGTGTGTGTGTGTGTGTGCGTGTGCATGTGTGTGTGGTGTGTGTGTGTGTGTGAGAGTGTGTTTGAGAGTGTGTTTGAGAGAGACAGTTGGCCTGGACATGAATTCTACAGGTTATGTTGTGTGGGTGTGTATATAGGGCAACAGTCCTAAATGTAAACTACATTTATGTTACTTTCCCATATGTTCATATGTGGCCAAAGCCCTAATGTTTTTTTCATGTTTTTATTACCAGCCAGTGAAGTGAAAAAGCAGAATGGCTTCTCATAGAATGGAAAAGGAATGGAAAGCTTCTCAAGTCTAAACCTAGTGACAGTGGTCACAAACCTCCAACATCAAGGCAGCAATGGATTCTCAAACATCTAGACTTTCTGAAGCCATGTGACACAGAGAACCACAGCAGCAACTTTGAAAGTAAGTGATATGAAACTTCCTGTAAATTGAACACATATCTGTATAGATATTGTTGTAGATGTAAATAAATTAGTCAGCACTTTGAATATCTTATTGATGTTGCTTGACATTGGAGAGTATGAGGACCCTGAAGATAATGAGGAAGAGCAGGATGAGGAAGCAGATGTGTCTGTTGACTAGGATGCCTGAGTTCTCCTGAGATGGCAAAAGAACTTGAAAGATGTATCTTTAGAAACAGATTCAGTCTACTCTTCCATCTGCTGATAAGAGTGAGGATGTATTTGGACAGCAAGTAGCAAATAAGCTAAAATAAATCAACTGCTCAACTAAGAGTTCAGAGAAACATTATGAACCTGCTTTATGATGCCCAAGAGGAAGAGTATTCAGGAGGACACGCCTACTACAGTCTGTTCCTATCAGGAGGGGCACCATTTTCAGCACTCCTTTGCAGCTCAGCCAGTTTGTGACCACTGCACACCCATGCCTATCTCAGTGCCACATTCACTATAGCAGAGCCTTCAGTGCCACATTCACCTAGCAGAGCCTTTTTTCCCATTCCCACAGCCACCAGACCCATACTCAGGAATTACAGCACTTTCAGTTACTCAGGAATTACAGCACTTTCAGTTACTCAGGAATTACTGCACTTTCAGTTACTCAGGAATTACTGCACTTTCAGTTACTCAGGAATTACTCCACTTTCAGTTACTCAGGAATTACTCCACTTTCAGTTACTCAGGAATTACTGCACTTTCAGTTACTCAGGAATTACTCCACTTTCAGTTACTCAGGAATTACTGCACTTTCAGTTACTCAGGAATTACTCCACTTTCAGTTACTCAGGAATTACAGCACTTTCAGTTACTTAGAAATTACTGCACTTTCAGTTACTTGGGAATTATTGCACGTTCAGTTACTCGGGAGTTACTGCACTTTCAGTTACTCAGGAATTAAAGCACTTTCAGTTACTTAGGAATTACTGCACTTTCCTTTACTCGGGAATTACTGCACTTTAAGTAACTCAGAAACTACTGTGCTTACAGTTACTCAGGAATTATTGCTCTTTCAGTTACTCAGGAATTACAGCACTTTTGGTCACACAGGAATTATTGTACTTTCAGTTACTCAGGAACTATTGCATTATTTGTTACTCTGGAATCGTATCTCTTTCAGTTACTCAGGAATTATGACACTTTTAAGTTACTCAGGAATTACAGCGCTTTCAGTTACACAGGAATTATTGTACTTTAAGTTACTCTGGAATTACAGCACTTTCAGTTTGGCAAATACCAGGAGAACATTACGTGCCTGACTGCATTGTACCAACTATAAAGTTTGGTGGAGGAGGGATAATGCTGTAGAGTTATTTCAGGGGTTGGCCTAGACCCCTTAATTCCAGGAAAAGGAAATCTTAATGCTTCAGCATTCCAAGACATTTTGGACTATTATATTCCTCCCTACTTTGTGGGAACAGTGACTGTGCCCCGGTGCACAAAGCAAGGCCAATAAAGGCATGACTGGGTGAGTTTGAACTTGTCTGGCACACACAAAGCCCTAACCCCATCAAACACTTTTGGGATGAACTGGAACAGAGAGTGTGAGCCAGGCCTTCTCCTCCAGCATCAGTGTCTGACCTCACTAATGTTCTTCTGGATGAACAGACACACTCCAAAATCTTATAGAAAGCTTCCCAGATGAGTGGAAGTTGTTTTAGCTGCAAAGGGGGGGGGGCATTCGTGTGGGCAATTACAGTGATATTTATTCCCTTATATTCCCATTCCCATATTTGCATATAAATGAAATGTACTTGTAAATAATGCTGCTGGTGTCTTTTGCCATGTTCCTTCAATTACCATTTTGTATACAGAGTTAATTCCAGGATAAGAATGAACAACACTGAAGCACTAGCACAAGTTCTGTTTAAGTGACCTGTGATCTATGCCCACACCAACAAAATGAAAATGAAGATGTTTACATTGTTTACATGGAACTAAGTATTTTTACCTACAGGTAATCCTCTTTTAGTGCAGAATGTAGGGCAGCACAGGGATCCATGTCAATTCTGCTCAATGTACTGCTTCTAATACTATACTGGAAACTTAAGTGAGTTGAACATCTCACTTTTCAAACTTTTAAATTAATAAACATTTATAAATCCATGTTAGTTCAGGCAAATGCTAACCTCTATGATATGAGAATAGTCTACTGCAAGCTTACTTTAAATTAATTTGGACAGTTACATATGAATAACAGTCTACTGACAACAAGGCAACATGTCAACTGCCTAAAGTTGGTTGGTTTTGGCAAAACTATACATAACATGATTGACTGTTAGGTGCATATTAACCTGTAGCCAAGAACCATAATGTGACAGAATCTGATAGCCTTTCTTTTGGAGTGGTGGACTTTCTGAGATGGGCTGCTGCTTCTGGATATAATTAGTGACTTTTTCTAGGAGGTAGTTGAAATCCTAAACTGACGTGCAGCAGGGTGAGAAAGTCCTTCATATCATTTATCTGCATATAATAATAATAATAATAATTATAACACCATCATAAAAAATAATGATTTCAGTATGTAGATTACATGATATTGCTGAGGTGGTCTATTTGACCTTGAGAAGAACAAAGATTGTTTGGCCATTTACTACAGTCATAATTCAATTGTGGCACCCTGCTACTGGCCCACACGAGGCGTGGCCATGCAGATTGGCCATGCTCAGAGCCTCGTAGGAGCACCGCATTTGCAGTAGAGACTTTAGCATGTGAATACATTGATACTGTTAGCTTAAGAATGTGTAAGTGTTGTTCATATCATTCTGTGCTGGTCTGTGGGGTAGTTGGTGCAAAGTTTTGCAACTAACGTCAAGGAGAAATGTATGACTAGAAGTGACCTGCCTGCTGTCATCATCATTTCAGTAGCAGTGAGACGAGATGTTTCCCATGTCTCCTTCTTTGGCAAGATGTTTGACGTATTCAACAGGAACTAACAACAAACTAAGCTGCTGACGCTGAGCTACATAGCAAACAAATGTTCGTTACAACTAAAGTTTTGGGGAACGTTCGCTCATCTAATAATGGTTCCTCTGCAAAACGTACCAAAGTATTTAAACAACAAGGTTTTTGAGAAACACACTACTGTTTAGGCTACAAGCTCCATACTTGGGTTACATTAGTGATAAGATAAGAACTCAAAAGTTGTTTTGTGTCACCTGTTTATAACATACTGCAACAAGCATAAGATAACTCACTGTTATCTAGCATATTGGTGGCAAGGTATAATCTAAGATAATTAAAAATCAGCAAGTAGATTAGGCTTTATTATGTCTGGTTAACTGTAGATAGAGAAACTTTTATAATGTTTGCTTGTTCAGTAATCAGTAAAGACCGATCAATATACTAGAGAGACATAGAGAGGGCAACTTGAGTCAAATCAGTTTATGGAACAGTAATAGCAAACGGAGCAAATAGGAGAGATAGGAAAGGAACAAATCAAATGGAAAGGTACATAGCAATTATGGATGTAGGTCCCTTTCCAGCAAAATGAACCTCATTATTATTTTGAAAGTTACAGCCTCACTTCCAAGAATAACACCTGATGTGTTATTTGTATGTTTTTGCCTGTAATGCATGAAGGACTAACAGAAACTACTATTGCTGTACAATGTCAATATTGCGTACACATAATTAACCTCACTAAACAACAAACACAAATCCAACATTCAAGTAGAAGTACAAGCACTTCAGTTTTTTTTTAAAATAGTATAAGTATAGTTTACATTGTTAAGTACACACTCCTACATACATGTAGGAGTGTGTACTTAATGTAAACTATACTTATACTATTTTTTAAAAAAAAACTGAAGTGCTTGTACTTCTACTTGAATGTTGGATTTGTGTATTTCTCCCGTCAGAGTGTCAAGCAGAGAGACCAATTCAAAACATGCACAAGCAGCCTGAAACTGGCTAAGATCACAGTCTTCTCAAAGCTCAGTGGTCCTTTCAGTGTCTCTGAATGTAGCACCATATGATCCATCTTACAGATATACAAAGAATGGACACAGAAATATGTCTACAAGTATAGTATTTTATTAATAATTATTCTTTAAAATCTATCCAAATAAAAAATAAACAATAACATTTCAAGACAAAAGGACCAATAGAAATGCTTCAAAATGACTCACAATCAAATATTTTTTACCGTAACTTCCATTGAAAGATCGGTACATTTTTTTCTTCTCCCATAAAGCCATAGAAGGTTTTTTACGACAGAAAAAAATGACTGTTTAACTGGACAAAAAACTGTACAATAAAAAGGAAAAAATGTTAAGCTTTAGTCAACAAACATTAGAACACATTCAAGCTCTGTAAGCTTTAAATTCAGCTTTGCTGATATATGACCTTGGAAAACACTTCAGTGTCTTTAAACAAATGTTGTCTTCTATGGCCTCTGGAAGTTGGTGGTTTATTGGTAAAACTTGATGCCACAGGGCTCGAAGCTTCATAACATGCCGCCTATGAAAAAATTGTTATTAATAAGGCTCCCTGGCTAAGTAACCAAGCATGTTCAATAAAACAAAATGAAATTCTGACAGATAATCCACAGTGTCAAATGAAAAATAACTTTTGATCAAGCCTGTCACTAAAGGTATTTCACTATTGTAAATTGTTATTTTTCGGTCTCAAATACCGAAGGTTTAGAATGACAAAATCAATTTCTGACTCACATGAGTATCCAAAGATGTCTCACAGGTTGAACATCCTTTAAGAAAAAGAAAGAACAAGCCCAGGAATTCATAAATATGATCTATGAAAATGAGCTTTTTGCAGGAAAGAACAACCAATATTGAAAGAACTCACCCGCCGAGTGACTTTGGTTTTTACACCACATAATGACAACGAAGACAATCACCAATAATGAAATGATGTTGGAGTAGATCAGAATAAGAAAGCATGTACTGACTGTTCCAGTTGCATCTGTAAAAATTCACATTTTGTAGTTTATTGTAAAGCAGTAATGAAGATTGTCCTTGATAATAATTAGAAAATAGAGATTTTCCCAACTATGTCTTATATGAACAAAAATGAACCAATAGCAAAATAAATTTTAGACTTTGCCTGTGATATGTAGATCAGTTCCATTCCCAAACAGTATCTGTCCACATGCAGCCACAGCACAGTAGTAAGTTCCAGCATCAGAGAGGCTGAGGTTTCTCTTGGGGAGTTTGTAGACACAGCTCTGTGTAGGAGAATCAGTCTCAGAGCTTTTCTTACACTCATCACTCCTGTTTCCATGAGTGTAAATGATTCCTGGATGAGATTCTCCTGATCCATGTCTGAACCAGTACACACTGTGTTCTCCTGAGCAGCTCTCAGTGAGCACTGTACACTGCAGAGTCACAGAGTCTCCTGGATGAACTGCCTCTAACACAGACTGCTGGTGAACTTTGTGCTTTGTCAGTGGTGCACCTCAAAGAAGAGAATAGAACATATTTAATGTATATTACACTCAATACTGCCCACCATAGATACAAACGGCTTTATTCTTACCTTTTACAACTAGAACAGTGCCTTCTCCAAAGGTGATATCATATATAAAGATGACAGCGCAGTAGTACATTGCCGTGTCTGATGGCTCTAAATTGGAGATGGTCAAATTAAAACTGCCAGGTGCTGCTTGAGTTTTAAAGCGGCCGCTCTTCTCAAAGCCATTATAAAATGTTCCAGCTTGCTGCTGATATGATGTAGCGATTTCAACAGGTTTTTCTCCAGGGTTTTGTTTGATCCACACAATGGTAGTTTTTATATCTCTTGTACTGAAGCAAGACAGATTAACACTGTCTCCAACTTCAGCGACCTTCAGCTGATCCTGTTCAACTACATAACCAGAATAAGTGGAACCTGAAAAACAGTCTAATCTTTATTTTTATACATTCTGTACACACTGATTGAGTGAAAACATGGATTTTAATTGTCATCATAAAAATTGTATGTCTATATATCATCACTGTTGGAGCAAAGGAAGAAAACCTTGTATCTCCAAAGTCTTAGGAGAAGAAAAGAACATTATTAACATTATATATCTCTATACGTATATACATAGATATGCTGTCAGAACAAAACCCTGTATCTCCAGAATGGTAACTTTACAGGAGAAAGAAAAAACATACTTTACTTTTAATGTAAGTCAATGGTACCAGACTTTTTTTGAAGTAATTTTGGGCCGTTTCTTTTGGTCCATTGATCATGAAATTTATACACAATGTAAAGGGCAACAGGCAGTTTCAAATTATGCCAAGAAGTGAAAAATGACAAGACTGGAGATACAAGGTATATCTATCTATCTATCTATCTATCTATATATATATATATATATATATATATATATATATATATAGATAGATAGATAGATAGATAGATGGATAGATAGATAAAAAGATAGCTAGATATGTGTACTTACACATTTGTGTGAAGAGAAGAATAGCAGAGAGTAGCAGAACCAAAATATATATATTCATTTTCAAAGGATGATGTTTAACAGGTTGACCTATTTGAGGAAAAGAAACATCATAATGTCATAATACAGCAGTGATGATGATATATAGAGAATGTTTAGCCAACATTCCTTTACTGTAACTACACTCTTAAACATGCTTCTTAAGGGATAAGTAAAGGGGTTCTATTCTATTGTTCTATATAGAAGAATTTCATGCTTAAATGGTTCTTTGCATGGTGAAATGATTCTTCAGATCAATAGAGAATATGTCCATGTATTGTTACAAGCTTGACATCGTAACAATAGAAGAAACCTTTTTTGCACTACACAGAAACATTTTCAAAATATATTTTATACAGAACCACATAGAACACATTCTCCATCAATCTGGAGAACCTTTGCACTATGCAAAGAACCTTTTAAGCACTAGATGGTTCTATATAGCACCCATAGTTCTAAACAGAACCATTTCCTTAATTAAAGAATTCTTGAAGAATCATTTTTTTAAGAGTGCAATTACAGTAAAGGAATTTTGGCTAAACATTCTCCACTGAGAGTTCAGGGAGAGGTAACTATCTGAACCCAGCCTCGGGTGCTTTTCCCACACATATTTAGAGCCTATGATTTTTAAATGTTAAGCAGGCCAAAACCCTTACAATTTTGTCAGCTGCCATCCGAATGGCTGTCCATACAGCCTTGTGAATGCACCAAAAATGCACCAGATCCTCCTACAATCAGTCAGGCAACATCAATTCCTGGAAGCCGACTGTCATCCCAGAACTGTGTTTCATGATCCACAGCACTGCACAGTTTTGTTTTTTTCCATGATTCAGCACCCCCAATCCAGCCCATCAAGTGATTATGAAGCCTTCCCTGACCTGGATCAGGAGTGTTGAGGCAGGGAGTAGCTAAAATCGCTTTAGATCTTATCTGATCATTGATACTGGGCTGTAACGCATCTTTTCTTGAGTAGCCTGCTACATTTTTGCAAAGAAATGTTAACGTTACTCACTCAGCTGTGTTTCCAAGAGTCTTGAGCTCCTCGTCTTAGGCACGTCCCCTGTCTAGTAAATCACCAGATGGAGAATGCAAGCTCTTTCAGCCTTTTATATACATGTACATAGGGATGGTTAAGACCCCTCCGTACCATCTTGTTACGCAACTCTTACCAGAATGGGGGCAATTTGGGGCTTTCCACGAATAAGCTAAAAACGCAAATTTTTTCTTTTTTTTTAGAACCACAGCCCTACATTTTATTATAGCTTTGGTTTGAGTCAATTTCCCATGCTCTTTTGCACAGTTTAGAAAAGTTTGGAGCCTCAACTGTCTTTTCTTTGATAAACGTGTCAAGCTGTCAGAGCTTCATTTGTACTGCTGCTCTCTCGCTGTTTATGGATCCTTGCCTGTAATTTGGATCAAGATAATTCTTTCGTCATGCTTTCTTCATGTGCGAGAACTTCTGCATTGGCAAATAACTGCACTTCTTGATCTGGATTCTTATCAACATGCATAAATATCTCATTGGCCATTGAAATAAGTAATGGATTACTGGCTTCATGGCTTTTCACACAATCTGTATTTATGGGGAATGCGGAACTTCACACAGTCAACTATAATCTCTTTAAAACTGATCCATGAATTAATGTATTTTCTTGCTCTGAGTGGATTCCTCTAATGACAGACCCCTCTTTTACATCCCTAAACCAACTTACACTCGGTCAGCAGTCAGACTTTGAGGTAAAATCTTACCTGCAACAAAAAACAGCAGTGTGTGCTGTTCCGTTGTCTTTATTATTTGATTTTTATTGATTAAGGTTTGGTTTGCTGTGATTACCCATATATGTTTGAAGACATTGTTTGGAATTTCTGTAACATTTATGCTCTTAGCAAACTCGATCTGTTTTGTGAAATGGTCTATGGGTCACTGACTCTGGATTTGTGCTTACAGGTCAGAGTGTCCTTTTGTGGTATCATAGGGACATACACAACTAGGCAAGATTGCATCTGTTTTAATATAACTTAGAAATAAGGAGTGTTTCCCATATTCTGGGTGGAGGATGGCCTAAATGTCATTTAGGCAAAGGTTTAGACAAGATTTAGCTTAGCCTGTTTTTGGCCCAACAAAACGTTTCTGCAAGCCAGCCAGGAATGCACACCTGCCTAATTACAGTCACATTTATGATTAACACATGGTCAGCAAGAGCAGCAAGCCAGCAGGAAGTCAAAAGCTCAAACTGACCAACTTGTCATGTCATCACAAATTCAATATAAGTGCACATTGTTTCTTTTGGATATGAATAATGAAAAAGCTGTAATTTGACTGTAATTAAAGCTGTAATTTCCAATAATACTAGAGATTTAATAAACTAAACTAACAGTTAGTTAATCAAGTTTAATTATTTAATTATCCATAACATGCAAAAATGAAAGACCATGTTTCTGTACTTGTATGCCTTGTCTTGCTGAAACCATGTAATTTGAGCGTGTGTAGGGTGATATGCGTCATCTGTGGCTTCCCTGTGCTGTGATTGTGCTGATGTGCAATTTTATTTTCTGGAGAGGGGCATTAGTGACACTTCTGCGTGTGGTGAAGTTTTCTCTGCAAAGATACATAGCAAAACAGGTTAAAGAACCATTCTCTGTGAATGTGAAGAACCTTTTGAAAATTTAAATAAAACATACAGGTTCTTGGAAGGACCGCAAGATGTAGTTACTTCATGGAAATGATAAAAGGTTCTTTACACTCACACATTTGCAAACATTGGGCCTCAATCATCATTATCATCCTACATTTCTTATATTTGATTTTGAGAAATTTCCTAAGAAAAAGTCGACATCAGATTCATGACGTGTTCTGAAACCACAGAATTGTTCACAGAATTGTTCTTATAATGATTGTTCCCATAAATTGAACTCATAGGTGTACACCCACCAATCCCCTTAAAAGGGCACGGAACTGCAAGAAACAAAAACTGCAAGCCAAAGTTGAGAGAGAAGTGAAGAATGCCAAAATGAAAATCTAAAGAAAGTGGAGTACTGGGGCCCTTATTACAGAAAATTCTTAACTTTTTGTCTTAACTTAAGGTCAAGATCAGATTTTTCACAAATTAGTATTACAGAAGCAAATCTTATCTTAATTTAAGAATCTTATCTTATCTTACCGCATCTTTTCTTATCTCAAGTTAGGAAATGTTAACTTGCTCGACTGAAGTCGACAATCAACTGTCGTGTCTGTTACCTTACAACTGACCATACACACACAGCTGAAACGTAAACATGTAATCAAGTTAGCTAGTCAGACAGCTAATATTAGCTACCATTACTGGTGTAAAGAAAGTCAAATAAAACTAAAGCACGATAAACTTGAAGGTATGAACATTGAGTTTTTCAGAGCGTCTCCATTTTCAGTTTCCCATACACTTTAACCGAGCACACTAACGTTATTCCTCTCAATGAACACACACATTCGGCTGTCTCCTCTTTATTCACCACCATCACTGTAATATTTTATCTGACGAGTTTTCATCAACATGAACACCTGAAGGTAATAAGAGGGGACGGTGGAGATCGTGTCTGCAGTGTCTGGGACTTTTAAACACTGTTAGAAAAAAACTCACAAGTCAAAGCACCGTTTTCAATGTAGATAAGTGTAACGTCATTATACTGGTTATAGTGAACTATGCTGCCGGTCACTGCATAAAACAATGGAAACAGACGGTTAAAACAGAAGTTGAGACAGCTCTGGGGTTGTCTTATAGTTAAGAAAATATTCAGGATATTTTGGCAACGTAGGATGTTTCTTATCTGGAAATAAGATAAGATTATAGACTTAAGAACTGTTGTTCTGTAATAGCTTCTGTCCTAACTTCAGTCTTAACTGAAGTTGCCATGACAACAAAGCAGATATGATCTCAGACTGAGCCCCTGGGCTCTAAACATAGGAACAGCTTCAGTAGTTCTGAAGTGGAGGTACTGCTGCAGGAAGTCAACAGCAAACAAGATATAATACTTAGTAGTGTCAGTATTGGATATAAAATAACACATGAAAAGGTGTGTGGGATGCAATAAGTCATTCAGTGAACACTGAAAAGGGCACAGAACTGATGAGGTAAAAAAGAAATGGTTTGATCTCAAATCATGAGGCCGCTGACCACTGGAGGGTTAAAGACGACTTGCCCGGAGTTGTCTGAGCTAGACCAGCGCATCAGGGCCAATATTGGAGAGACAGCACTGTCGGGTGTAGCATCAGCTGAGCATTTGGACACAGACCTGGGCCCCCTGTCAGTGGTTTCATGTCCTTTTTCCTTTCTCAGAATCAAAAGGTTAGCTGTTTTTTCTGAATTAATACAATATGACAGTATGTTCTAAAAACCGTAGCTGTAAAAACCACGGGACATATACACTCAACATGTAAACAGCAGTGTAAAACCTAATGATGGATGATTCTTTTTGTGAATGTGTTTTCTTCTTCAACATGTCCATGTGTTTAAATAGTGTTACCAAAGTAAAAAAATAAACATTTGCTTTTGCAGTACAGATCAAACATTTCATAGTTGAAACCCCCAAAAGGAAAAGGGCACTACAATGTTTTTTTTTTTGTTTTTTTTTTTCATATTTACAGATGATTTTCTGCTGAGGCAGCAACCCTCTGTGGCGGAAACTGGCACCTCACAGGGAGTAACTTCCTGCAGCAATACCACCATTCAACTGATCTGCGATGTGGTCGTGGACAACCAAGAGAGATTTGCCCAAACATTTATTCTGATAGCCTCAAGATGAGTTGTACATCTATAGAGTGGTATTGTTTGTGATGGAGATGGATCTGGAGAGGGTGCTTTAATGTGCACGTGAGTGCAGACTATTACACCGATGGTGTTCAGTAGATCAGCAATAGAATGGAATACTCTCTTGATCGGGAACTGTGCTTTTGCTGTGTTGGGGAATTTTATGTATTGCGTGGCCAGCTGATTTGTTCCATCCATGATGCGGAACAGCGTGGCTGATGGATGTCTGTGACATGCCCACCCTGTCTCCTAGCTCCATCTAAAATGCCCCAGTGGCTAAAAAGCCCAAGGTCTAGAGTACCTGCACTTGTGGTGGTAGAGGGTTAGTCTATCTGGTATGACTCTGCAGTGCTGGCTCCAAACTTTTGCAAAGCTCCATGAGGACAGCTCTTGGGAGCCTAAAGCGTCCCAAGAGGTACTCATCACTCTCTGTAATTAGATCTTTGTGGTCCTGGAAGATGTGTTCCCTTCCTCAGGGCATGATCTGCAACATCTTGAAACAGCAGTAAATATGTGGTTGTGTGAGTAGGCCTAGGGTGCAGAAACAGGCCTACTTTGGGCCTATAAACAGCATAATCAGTCACTGATTGTTGGATGGCACGGTTCCCGATTAACATAATTAATGTTAAATGAAGGGTTAATATAGTGGCAGTGTTCATTTATTTTAAAAGACCATAATGCTTTGGAAATGAATTAAAATAATAATAAAAATATTATAGATTATAAAAATATTGTTGTAATTTGTGTAGAATCTTTGTGAAAACCACATAAGTGGGTTTTAAGATAAAATTTTTTCTTAAGAATGGTTGGTGAATGAAGCTCATTGTTCTTTAGGAAACTAAAATGGCTCTTCTATTGCATGGGTTCTCAATCCCCTGGTGTCCCAACACCCTTGTGCTTTGCATCATAGAGCTTATCTGATTCAACTTGTTAACTAATTAACAAGCACCTCATAGGCTGGGTCAGGTGTATAGAGCAGAGAAAACCACAACAAATGCAGAGCAAAGGGTTGCCAGTTTCTGGAAGGGATGCGGTTAAACTTTACGTTGACTTCTGTGTTAACATAATTGATAAGCTGCCCAACAGATCAGTATTTCAAGTAACTACCAGTAAAAAACACTAAAATTGATGTAATTGATAAGACTAAACCCCAAAAGCAGCAGGCTCCAGCTCCTATTCCTGCTGAGGGAAAAAAAAAAGAAAAAAAGAAAATTTCTAAATTTCTGAATGCAAAGAATGTGATCTAACAAAGCAGAAAATTTGTAAAAACAATATGAATTCACAATAAAATGAACATTAACACCACCTCCTTGTTTCTACACTCATAGTCCATTTTATCAGCTCCACTTACCATACAGGAGCACTTTATAGCCTACACTTACAGACTGTAGTCCATCTGTTTCTCTGCATGCTTTATTAGCCCCCTTTCACCCTGTTCGTCAATGGTCAGGACCCCCACAGGACCACCACAGAGCAGGTATTATTTGGGTGGTGGATCATTCTCAGCACTGCAGTGACACTGACGTGGTGGTGTGTTAGCGTGTGTTGTGCTGGTACGAGTGGATCAGACACAGCAGTGCTGCTGGAGTTTCCATATAATATATACTTGCTCTGTGGTGGTTCTGTGAGGGTCCTGACCATTGAGGAACAGGGTGAAAGAGGGCCAACAAAATGTACAGAGAAACAGATGGACTACTAGTTTAAGGGGCCGTTACTACTAAATTCTCAGAATGGATTTTCGAGATGCTCGGTATGATATGGTTAAGCATTGAGCATTATGGACAGCAGATGTGAAACAGCAGTGATGCAATAGGATGTTTTGTTAGTTTATAACTATTTCAAAGTTCCAAATATCTAAAGAGCACAAACGTTAGAATCAGTCAGAATCTAAACCTTTGCCAGCTCTCCTAATCTGAGAAGCTTTGTAAATACGGGCCCTAAACTGCTTAATCAATTACTTATTGCCAAGGAACTAGGGCTTCTGATTTGAACAAAACAGGAGCACACAGACAAATCTACAAACACAACTAGATTTGATCAATCGGAGAATATATTTGTATCCAGCAGTCAATTTCTCTGCTTATCAAGGCATTTAAGGGTTAATCGGGGTTTGGTTAGCTTACATAAATCACTATTTTAAAGACTTGAATCTTATGCAGCCATTTACTGGTAAACTAGTGTAGACTACCCATCGATCTAACCAAAACAACACAGACCTAGCTATTGTTGATGCAAAGTTTACTATTAACCAACAGGTAAACTGGTAACACTTTACATTAGGGGTCGCTAATCAATCATTAAATATATAATAATCAACTATTAGTTTCCCATTATTTAGTTATTAGTTAACTCTTCATTAAGCATTAGCTATTACTTAGTAATTGATTAAGCACTTATCAATTAGTAATTAAGTACACTGTTAGTTGATAAGTTAGTTTGTCGTTAGTTTGTGGCTTACTTACTCATTATCTGTGTGCTAATTGCTGCTTATTACATTGTTAATTAACTAATAAGTATTTTTCTTCATATAAAGAAGTAACATGATAACTTACTAGCACTTATGTGTTAATCCCGCTAACTATCTGTTAATTAACTTTCCATCACCACCATATATTCAGTTGCTTCACTTTTCTCACTTTGGTTCATTAAAGATGCTTATGGTCACATCTGACCGTAAGATGAGCGCACACAAATTCATGGACGGTTTTGTTATTCATCACGTTCATCTTGGCATATCTGTACTCATATCTGGTAGGAGTGCATGTAAATTTGGGCATAAATGCTGGATATGTGGCTAATTAACCAAAACTATTATCAACATAATCTGTAATTGCAAAAATACGAACAACAATAGAAAATTTCAATAATACTAATTTGTGTGCATGACAGTCCAGTACAAAAGTGGATGTACTTAGTTTACATGCACATTGATATAAACAAGTGCTGCAACTATTTCATGTTCCATTTAAAAACACATTACACTGTGCTTTTGTTTCATACTGCTGACTCACAAACACAGCTTCGGTCATACACTGCAATAATACAGCGTTTATTTTAGGGAATTAATTACACTAAACAATCACTCTACTATGTTAACAACAATGAGTATTTTGTTTTATTTCACATTTTATTTTTTCCAGTTGTTTTCATTTTAATACTAAAGTTTGGTCAGCAGGGGAGGAGTGCCCTCACTGCTGGACATCAAACTCCACCCACGAGCACGGCCATTAGCTTTCATGCCAAACACTGCCGTTTTATTGGCTGGCTACTGAAACATCTGCATGAATTAGTGTGTGCTTCATGTAAATGATATGTAAATGAGGTGCTGGTCGGCTGGTTTCATGCACTGAAGCTGATTTATCATTTATGCTCAAATCTCCACTTGTTTCCACATCGTACAAAATTGTTATGAATCAGACGCAGAGCAGTTCAAACCTTATAAAAGGCAAAAAACGTGTTCTTTTTATACGTAACTTTGATGATTAATGTGCCCTTTTCACAAGATTCATGATTACTTCCGGTTTAAGCATTAGCAGGGTGAAACTCACTTCCTCTCCATAGAGCTACTGCAGACGCGATGTCAGAATGTTTAGTAGTGAACTGTAACGCTCAAACACGGAGCTACAACAGCTGTATTGTAGTGTTCCTGCACGGTTGTGACAGTGAGAGTGAGAAGTGGACGGAAGTTCTGATTTAACTGTAAACAGCTAAAATGCTGTATGTTGTTTTTACTGCAGTTCTGCTGCAGCTGCTTCACATCAAGCAGTCTCTGTGTCTTTGTACAACATGCCAGCGATTTCGGTAATATTCTGTTTTCAAAGGAAAGAAGAATTTTTATATGTAGCATGAATGTTATAGACTCTGTTTATATTAAGCTAGCTATACTGGCTAGAAGCTACTGCCAACCAAACTAGCCCGGCTAGCATGAAGCCGCTTTTTCTCAGCTAGGAGTCTCGTTTTTGACTGAGCAGTGAAAGATGGATATTTTCTGAAGTGCTGCTTCAAAAATTGCCATGAAACTATAAGAATAATGCTGTTTGTTAGATCGCTAACATAGCTAGCGTTAGAGCTAGCTTAGCTTTAAAGTTTGTTGCTCATACGAAGCTGGTGCTCCTCAAACTGCTAACGGTAGGCTAGCTAATTAGCGACTGTAGCCTGCTAGCCTACCATAAGCTAATACAGTTTAAACGAGGTCTGTAAAATAGACTTTACATATAAAAGTTTTTGTTTGCGTTTATGTCAGAAGTCGTAGCTAGCGTTAAATGTGTCACAGAACCTGCTCCACGTTAGCCGGCTGGTGGCAGCAGCTGATGAAAGCTAACTAGCTTCCTTATTGTGGGAACACAGCTACAGTTAGAAATGGCTTCTAGCGTTGCTAGTTAGCTACAGCTAAACAACGTCTACCAAATTCATACTACACAGAAGAACTTTCATTTCTTTTGAAAACAAAAATATTACAGAAATCGCTGGCATGTTGTTCAACTACAGAGACACTGCTTGATGTAAGCAGCTGCAGCAGCAGTAAGCAGGGCTGCACCACACACAGCATTTTAGCTGTGTTTACAGTTAAATCAGTGCTTCCATTCACTTCCCTTTGTCATGATAGTGCACGAAAACTAACATATGTCTGTTGTAGCTCAGTATTTGAGCATTATAGTTCACTGCTAATGCTTAATCCGGACGTAATCGTGACTCTTTGTGAAAAGGGCCCATGGCCATTAGATCTTTATATTTTGACCATTAATTACTTCTTAAATTCCACTTACTTAACCATTAATTACTGCTTTTGTGTTGACACTTTACTTGGAGGGACACAAAATCAGTAATTAATGGTTAAGTAAGAGGAATTTAAGAAGCAATGAATGGTTGATTAAGTGGAATTTAAGAAGTAATTAATGGTCAAAATGTAAAGATCTAATGGCCATTAATCATCAAAGTTACGCAAAAAAAAACCCACTTTTTTTTGCCTTTTATAAGGTTTGAACTGCTCTGTGTCTGATTCATAACAATTTTGTACGATGTGGAAACAAGTGGAGATTTGAGCATAAATGATAAATCAGCTTCAGTGCATGAAACCAGCCGACCAGCACCTCATTTACATATCATTTACATGAAGCACACACTAATTCATGCAGATGTTTCAGTAGCCAGCCAATAAAACGGCAGTGTTTGGCATGAAAGCTAATGGCCGTGCTCGTGGGTGGAGTTTGATGTCCAGCAGTGAGGGCACTCCTCCCCTGCTGACCAAACTTTAGTATTAAAATGAAAACAACTGGAAAAAATAAAATGTGAAATAAAACAAAATACTCAGTGTTGTTAACATAGTAGAGTGATTGTTTAGTGTAATTAATTCCCTAAAATAAACGCTGTATTATTGCAGTGTATGACCGAAGCTGTGTTTGTGAGTCAGTAGTATGAAACAAAAGCACAGTGTAATGTGTTTTTAAATGGAACATGAAATAGTTGCAGCACTTGTTTATATCAATGTGCATGTAAACTAAGTACATCCACTTTTGTACTGGACTGTCATGCACACAAATTAGTATTATTGAAATTTTCTATTGTTCTTATTTTTGCAATTACAGATTATGTTGATAATAGTTTTGGCTAATTAGCCACATATCCAGCATTTATGCCCAAATTTACATGCACTCCTACCAGATATGAGTACAGATATGCCAAGATGAACGTGATGAATAACAAAACCGCCCATGAATGTGTGTGCGCTCATCTTACGGTCAGATGTGACCATAAGCATCTTTAAAGAACAAGAACCAAAGTGAGAAAAGTGAAGCAACTGAATATATGGTGGTGATGGAAAGTTAATTAACAGATAGTTAGCGGGATTAACACATAAGTGCTAGTAAGTTATCACGTTACTTCTTTATATGAAGAAAAATACTTATTAGTTAATTAACAATGTAATAAGCAGCAATTAGCACACAGATAATGAGTAAGTAAGCCACAAACTAACGACAAACTAACTTATCAACTAACAGTGTACTTAATTACTAATTGATAAGTGCTTAATCAATTACTAAGTAATAGCTAATGCTTAATGAAGAGTTAACTAATAACTAAATAATGGGAAACTAATAGTTGATTATTATATATTTAATGATTGATTAGCAACCCTTAATGTAAAGTGTTACCGGTAAACTTAATGAATTTCAATAAAACAAAATAAAAAAAATAGAAACTTAGTAGATGACAAGAAGAATGAAAGGAAGAAATACTGATGAAGAGGCCAAACTGGTTGATGTGCAATAAGAGATGGTGGAGTAAATGGAGGACAGCAATGTCATGAGTGATCCTTTGGCATGTTTTTATTTTTTATATTGCACAGCTGTGAATTGTAGTTTAGAACAACTAGAACATAAACTATTATACTTGGCCTTTTTATTTTTTTGCATAATAGAGCATATATGACATAAGTGCAGTAACATCATTGAGTAGCCATTCATTTTACACCAAAGTACAATTCATGTGTTCTGCAATGCAATTTTATCCCATATATAAGTAGGTGTTGCCACCCCTTAGTGTGCCCCTTATCCCCCATTCTGCCCCTCTTATGCCACCCCATGTCTAAAATCCTGGACACTCAACTGAAAATAAAGTGAAATTGAATGTTTACAGTATCTAGTAAACAAGGTGCCCTGATCTTCGGCAGTACTAAGTTTTATCTCTGGCTTTTCCTATGACATTAACAGGAACCTAGAGATGTGCTGTTTAGTTTGCTGCATACACTGAAACTGATGTGTATTACTGATATCATCTACAGTACAATACAGCTCTTGTACATTGCAGTGGTGAACACATTCACTGACCTACATGTACAAACAAGCCACCACATAGCCCAATACATATAGCACACATTTGTGCCAAAATCAAAAAGGCAAAAACCAAAGCTTAATAATGTGACTGACGACTGAGCAATAACACACAACTGTGCATGTGAAGAGCTTGCTATTGCAGGGCAGATAACATATATTTTACTTTTTCACTTGCAATAGCTACGTTTGCAGTTATTTGTAAAAGTTTGAACATGCCTTTTTTCAGTAAAACATACATTTTCTCTTCAGAGAACACACTTAAAGCAGCATTATGTAAGACTTTTGGGTTAAAAAAGTGGTATTACTGAGTCAGAAGGAAAAGAAACACTAAAATATAGTGTGTGCACGCTGCTGCATCACCCTGTAAAGCCTGAAATAAGCCTGAGGTGCAGTTTAAAATTCTCTGGAGTTTTTGGACCTGGTCATATATCTTCACATAATAATGTCACTCACACAAAAAGAAGGATTAGGTCTCAAATGCAAACTCAACATTATACTGATTTAGCTATGATGACAGTAGTAGATCATTCACTTACATCTTCAGTTGTCACATCCTTCACCAAGTTTTGACTGATTTCTCTTTGTAAACTCTTTCAATGCACTCAAAATGATCAGATTCATCCACTTGGGGAAGGGGTCTGATGCATAACCCATGTTACATAAATTTTTCATTTTTTTTACTGTTTTATATACTTTTTTCTATTTATTTGTTTAACATATCAGAAAAAAAAGTTTTATTTTTTTCAACATGTTAAATTCAGCAAATAAACAGTAGTTGTGCTTTAAAGTGTGCAAAACTGTGTTCTCTGTAGAGAATATTTTAACTTATTTTCACTTGGAAAAACAACCTAACAGAGGCACCCAAACATTGAAATATTATTGTTTACTGGATGTTTATCACAGCTTTGCAGTGAAAGTGAAGAGAAACAGATAAAATCTGAGGAAATGAATGTATTTTGGCAGGAATAGATTTAGGAAATAAGATTTTCACGAGAGGCTGAGATGAAAAACAAAGAGGAAAAGGGTCCAGATCAGGGTCTAGAATAGTTCCTGTTTAAAAGTATAGTTTTGTCATCATTCTGGCTTTTTCATTCACATCTAAAACTGAAATGCCACAGTAGCTGCCTTAGTTAACCCCATAAACCATTCAATCAAAGCAAATATGCTGCATCTGCGGTTTTGTTCCCCTGTAAGGTGTGAAGACACAGTCAGCTTTACTGTGGTGCTGATAGTAAATGATGAAGGAGTGATAAAGTACAGTATAAGCATAAAGGCCTTTTTAAGTTTTGCAAAGAAAATACAGCTATGATTGGTTTGAACACTCTGTACTTTTTGGACGCAAATAAAATAGCAGGAAGAATGTATTTTACATTGGGTACAACCCTGTTTCACACATTTACGATCACATGGTCATTGCCTTGCATCCTCCACAATGTAGTTTATGCACATGTGTTAAAGTTAGTTGGAACTGAAGAAGGTCACATTCTGTATCCGGAGAGAGAAAAAAACCACAGCTAGCACAGTTTCACATCAGAACAGTCCAGTTTTAAAGGAAATTACTTTTGTACTTTTGTATAAGTCAGCAAAGCACATTTGCATCGTCAGGTGTTTCTTTTTTTTTTTTCTTCTATGATTTACAAAGTGTTTCATGGCTCAACAAAATGTTCAGGCGTCACACTGTTGGCTCACCCTGCAGTCACTTCTTTTCAGTCACTCTGTTTATTCTCCACGCTTTCTTCCTTGTGTTCCCCAGAGTCTTCTCAGCAAATGTGTATGAAGAGGCTGAAAAAATGTTGACCATTGGAATTTTTTTCCTTCTTTGTCCAATGAGTAAGTAACCTTATGTGAATTTCACTGCTTTGGAATAACTGTATTAGAATTTGTACATGGTTAACGAGTTGTTTTACACTTTTTTTTATTCTCAGATCTTGTCAAAACACATAAAAGCTCACAACAAGATGGTGCTTTGGTGTTTATTAAGGAAGGAGACAGTATCACCATTGCTTGTCATTACCAGAGTGAAATGGCCATGCACTTCTCCTGGTACAAGAACAAACTTGGTCAGAAGCCTGAACTCATCTCCACTATATACAAATACGATGTGAAAGCCACATTCTATGGTGAATTCAGGAATAACACTCGGTTTAACATGGTGAATGGGAAGGGTGTAACTCACATGGTGATCACAGACTTACGGCTCTCTGACTCTGGCACATATTACTGTGGAAGTGCTCATTCCAACATAGTGGAGTTTGGGGAAGGAACACAGCTGGTAGTAAGAGGTGGGTGTGATTTGATTCATCTTAATGGTATGATTCATACTTAATTCACATCATTTTGCTGCAGAAGTCATTTTTGTATAAATCATGTAATTTTTTATATTTATTTAGCTTTACAGTTGCATAGCCTGTCTGTACTCCAGCAGCCCACATTACAGCCAGTTCACCCAGGAGACTCTGTGACTCTGGAGTGTACAGTGCTCAGTGAGAGTAGTTCAAGACAACACAGTGTGTACTGGTTCAGACATGGATCAGGAGAATCTCATCCAGGAATCATTTACACTCATGGAAACAGGAGTGATGAGTGTAAGAAAAGCTCTGAGGCTGATTCTCCTACACAGAGCTGTGTCTACAAACTCCCCAAGAGAAACCTCAGCCTCTCTGATGCTGGAACTTACTACTGTGCTGTGGCCATGTGTGGAGAGATCATCTTTGGGAATGGAACAATGCTGAATATAAACAGTAATGGTGAGTTCCACCAGATTTATTCTACCAGATACAGTAACATGTAACAGATATATACAGTAACAGATATTAAATAGTAATAAATTGCTCAATACTCTTTCTGCAACACTCTTTCAGGTGTGGATTGTTCCGAGCAGATGCACATCTTGGTTCTTCTTTCTATCATACGAACTGCAGTTTTCTTTTTAAGTGTTGGTGTAATCATCATATACCATTGTGTAAGTCAAAGAGCAAATACAATGAGATCTGATTCACTATTACTGTCTAGAGAGTCTACCAAGAAAAACACTTTGCCCGACTGTAAAAAGAATAGCTGCTGAACGCCAGCATAGATAAAGACTAATTAATATCAGTTTTAGTCCATGTTACTGTATTGTAACTGTTTATATGTTTGAGTCAATGTTAAAATGTCAAAGTAAAAAAAAAGTTCTGTTAAAATTTTTATAAAATTGAAACAAATAAAAACAGCAACTTCCCTCCCTCTTGTTTTTCTTACATTTTTTTTTTTAATCAAATTCATTTCAATTAAAAAGATTTTTGGAAGAAGTAAAAAAGAGGTATAAAAAAGGAATAAATCTGGTAAGAATCTGTGTTTTATTTTCAAGCCAGTTCAAAATCATGTACAGCAATAAATGAACTGTAAAATTGTGGGTCTGTTTGGAAGCAACCTCAATTATGAAAATTGATTAGATTTTAAGACATAACAGTGGATAGGGAAAAGAATATCTAAGGACAGCAAAAAAGGCCAAAATGCAACATTCTAGTTACTCTACATTGCTTATTTTCTCCATATACTGAGCTCCTCCAATATGAAAAACATATATTAACCATTCCACCTTTTTTCAGATATCAGTTATTTTAGTTAGTTATATTTTATTTTTTCCAACTTTTTTCTTTAAATGACCAAACTTGTTTTTTAGTTTTATGTTTTAGTGACCTGTTTATTCATATAAAATTCAAACCCATACCATGCTTATATGATTTTTTTACAAATAAGTTCAAATATACTTATTTTGTTGTGAGGGCTCAACTGCACAACTCAGAATTCATCCACCTTGAACAGCATCCAACTGAACCTGTGAAGTAGCAACTTGTGAAGGACCAACTATAAACTTTAGCCAGAACTTTTATCTCCATCTACAGTACATTCAGAAAGTATGCAAACTTCTTCACTTTTCTTTATTTTATGTTATAGCCTTAAATTGGATTAAATTGAATTTGAACCAATCTGCAAAAATACACCATTATAAAAATACATAAATACATTTTCATGTAAAGATCTTTAAAAATCACATTTACACAAGTATTCTGATCCTGATGAACATTGAAGCACCATTGGCGGTGATTATAGTCTTAATTTTTCTTGGATATAATGCTAAAAGCTTGGCACACCTGGATTTGGAGATCTTCACCCATTCCTCTCTGTAAAACCTCTAAAGTTCTGTGAGGCTTGATTCAGAGCATTGCTGTACCACTGTTTTCAGGTCTCTCCAGAGCTGTTCAGTGGGGTCCAGACTGAGACCTCTCCTGAAGCCACTCCTGCGTTGCCTTGACTGTGTGCTTCAGGTCTTTGTTGTGTTGGAAGGTGAATCCACAGTCTGAAGTCCTGAGCTCTTGAGCAGGTTTTCCTTGAGAATTTCTCTGTAATTGATTGGTTCATCTTTCCACTCAAACTTCCCAGGCTCTGCTGCTGAATAAAAAACATGCAAACAAGTTATGTTTGGTGCCTAGTTTTTTGCCAAAGGGTTCAATTTTTATTTCATTGGATCATAGAATCTGGTTTCTCATTGCCTGAGAATATGTTTTTGTAAACTCTAAGTGGGCCATCAAGCATCTTATCCACACAGGATCTCTAGAGTTTCATCCAAGTGACCTTCTGGTTCTTTGTGACTCCTTTCACTTAAGGCCATCTCTCTATTTGCTCAGTTTGACTGGGCAGCCATCTCTATGAAGAGACTTGATAGTTCTGAACATATTCCATTAAAAAATGATTGGATCCACTGTGTTCTTGGGTGCATTCAATCTTCAGATCTTCTGTAGATCTGTGCCTAGACACAATCATGTTTTAGAGATTTCTGGACATTTCCTTTGACCTCATGGCTGGGTTTTTGTTTTGAAATGCACTGTCAGCAGTGGCGCATGGTTTTCCAATGTTATGTTCATGTCCAGTCTACTAAATTTACCATAGATGAACCTCACTAACATCAGTGGAAATGGGGTGTTCCTGAGTTTGTAAATGAATTTTTAATTGTCATAGCAATGGGTACTTAGTTTTTTTCAATTTTAAATACATCTGTGCTTTTATGCTTTTTCATTACGGAATATTTTTGCACCATCAGAAACTGTCTGACCCCAGGAGAGGTAGTAGACTGTACTGACTTGACTGTTCATCCTAGGATTTGGTCAGGGTTAGACCTCATTCCTCAAATAATTGTTGGGCTCAAATGAGATTCATATTTGAATGTTATACTGAATGTTCTAAGAAAGTAGTCACCAACCTTGGTTCTGGAAATCTACTTTCCTGTGGAGTCTGATTCGAACCACAATCAGCCACACTTGCTCTAATTAACTTCTTCAGAAGTTCTTGATTGGCTATATCAGACGCATTAGCATCAGGCAAAGGGGTGGCATGTTAGGTGTGTTCTAGGGTTGTTTTGGGGGTTTGGCTGCACATTTCAGGCCTAATTAAAACTTTAGTGGGGAGGTGCAAAGCAGATTGTCCATTGTCTTTGGGTGAGTATACAACAGCAACAGATGGCTGCGTGAGGGAGGAGGACTTAGCATCACTGTGGTTTGTGGGAGGAGCAGAAACAGTGCAAGGCTCAAAGCTGGCAGTTATCACCACTTCTGATTCTCTTCTGCTCGCAGACAACTTCCATTGTCCTGTTCTAGTCAGCAGTGGGGAATTCAGCACCAGAGAATCAACACAAACATCTCCAGCCTCACTAATATATAAAAAATGCAACCATAACATGTTATATATTTTCTAGTGGTTGCTCACATACTCATTCACACCACCCCTTAATAGAATCACTTTCAAAGCATTAACCATCAATCTTTGCTCATCATGCTCATCAATCTTTTTTAAGAGATTAATGTAAGACATCTGAACACTTCTTAAAGAATCAATAAATCATAAAGAAGACAAATGGGGAAAGGAAAGACTAATACATTTGAATAAATATGTAAAATAATGTCGTTGAAATAACGAAGGAAAGAACGGACAGAGTGTAGAAACACACCTAAATCAATTAAAGTTAATTATAACAGGTAATGTGCGTGATTGTGTTAAAAAAGTAGAACAGATCTTTAATTACAAATTAATCAGTATGTAACTTCAGATAAACATAAACTACACATTGAAGAAGCACAAATGAGATACTGATACTGAAACAGTGGCTGCAAAAAACTGATGCCCAGACACAGCTTAAAAAAACTTTATCGTAAGTTTGTAAAAAAAAATTGTAATTAACAGAGAACCATACATTTGAATGATTTAAAAAGGTGCCAGTATAACATAAAATACATCTCATACATAGTAGAAAAAATGGTTTTACATATTGCTGTTGTCAGAAGAAAACCTTGTATCTCCAGAATGGTAACTTTACAGGAGAAGGAAAAAAAAACATACTTTACTTTTAATGTAAGTCAGTGGAACCAGACTTTTTTTGGACCATTTCTTTTGGTGCATTGGTCATGAAATTTATAACAACGTAAAGGGGAACAGGCAGTTTCACATTATGTCAAAAACTGAAAAATGGTTTTCTTCCAACAGCAACGATATGATGGATAATTACTTTTTAAATAGCACCACTTTGGTAACATTGGTAAACACTGGGTGGCTGTTTATCTAATTTGCTGAAATAATAAAAATGAAAATTGTTCTTTTGTTTAATTTTATTCTTTAAGATTAAAGCAAATACATGCAAATAACTTTGTACAGCACATGTATTTCCATACAAAATATATTTTTTGGATTATAAAATATAATTAATTAATTAACCCTTTATTAAACCAAGCTTGTTCTCAATATTGGATCTACCCATTATCTATGCCAGAGACAATGCAAACTATATTGTCATGGACTCATACTTCTGACTACTGGTGTAGACACCATTTAGTCGAACAACCTCAAGGGTGGCTGGAATTTTTTGTTCATGCGGACAAAAAAACACTTAGCTAGCTTACCTCCACAGCTTTTATTGTGTAATTTGCATGAGAATCAATAAAACAATTTCAGAATATCAGAAAATCTGACTTTGGAATTCTAGTTTAATTCCAGTTCTGATCCCAAACTTAAATAAAGCTTTATTAAAATAAAGCTTATTGACAGTTGCAGTCTGGCTCCCCATGGTTAAAGGAGTTATACAGGAGTGGTTAGAGCTTAGTAGTCTTTTCATCTCAGATCTCTCTTTACACACACATAAAGAAAACAAGTATGTTCAAATGTGTATAGACATATTTTTACTAATGATTATTTTTACAATATGAATAAAATTCCATTCTATGGTAGTAGAATGATCTGTTTAAGTAGTAAACTACCACATTAATCGAAATGCACTAGATTTGAGAGGAAGCAGTTAGCAGACAATTGGGGGTGAACTCTTGAAGCTTTAGATAATTCAGCTTTGAAGCTCATATTTGATCTGCGAGTACACTCCAGTGTCTTTAAGCTTCTGTTGTCTTCTAGTGCCTCTGGAGGACGGTGGTTTACTGTTAAAACTCAAAGCGGCATAGTTCAAAGCTTCATCACAAGCGTCCTGCAGAAAGAGACTGTAGTTAATGCACTGTATTTTCACTGCATCCTTGAAAAAAAGTGCTAAAAAATTCTGCAGAAAGAATTCTGTGTTTCCCTTGACCTTTTAAAGAGATCCTTCTTTAAAGAACATTTTTTGTAATACACTTGCACATCATGTAAATGTTCTGTACCAATTAAATGTTTTCTGAGAACCTTTATTTTTAAGTGTGTAAACTAGCTGTTAAGTGGTGAAAGGAACATAAGCAAACCTAAACTAAAAAGCTTTAGAGCAATGATGATATGTCACCAGCTGGTAATCTGGGGAGTAGGGATCAGAGATTTTTCAGTCTGAATAAAATTAAAATTTCACAAGGACCAAATCAACTTACATGAGTATCCAGAGATGTTTCACAGTTTGAAGATCCTTTAACAAGAATGAATAATAAGCGTAAGAAACCACGCATGTGACATATAAAAAGCTGAACTGATACTGCCAGAAGGAAAATGTAAAAGTATCAATACCTGCTGAAAGCATTTGGTTTTTAAACCGAATAATAATGATTATGATCATCACCAACACTGAGATTATGTTTGAGGAGACCAGTATGAGATAGGTGGGACTGACAGTGCCTGAAGGGTTGTTGTCTGTGAACACATGTTACATAACCGTTATGAATGTTATAAAGCTGTCACATTCTGATATTCATGTTTGTCATTTTTTGTATTTATTATATTTTGGTATGCATGAACAAACTCAATCCATTAGTGAAAGACATTAGAATTTACCTGCAATACTCAGTTTAGTTCCGTTCCCAAAGATGATCTCTCCACACATGAGCACAGCACAGTAGTAAGTTCCAGCATCAGAGAGGTTGAGGTTTCTCTTGGGGAGTTTGTAGACACAGCTCTGTGTAGGAGAATCAGTCTCTGAGATCTTCTCACACTGACCATCCCTGTATTCATGAGTGTTACTCATTGCTGAAGAAGTTTTTACTGAGCCATCTTTAAACCAGTACACGTTGTGTGGCTCTGGACAGCTAGGTTCTGCAATCTCGACAGTGCAGTTCAGAATGACATTATCTCCTGGGTAGAATAGATCTACAACAGGATTTTGTAGAACTGTTTGATTGCTGAACTGGAGACCTTGAACATAAAAACAAGTTATTTTAATTTAAAATAAAGTATGGGAGTATTATTTAGTGCCAAAAGAATAACATTGTATGCAGTTTTAAGCCCTGAAGATCCATCACTTCAAAGTTGAACATATTCTTTGCCACCATAACGTGGAACTAAATACATTTATTCAGTTCCATGTACTGGAGTAAAATTTCTTTCATGAATTTTCAATTCTTAATACATTTATTTCTGCTCTAGCCTGTTTGTGAGCTAAGGAACCTACTTTTTACTCCGTTACATTTTAGTCATTAACTGAATAATCTTTCATTGTGTTACTTTGGTCACGTCTGTCTTGCTTTGTGATTGGTCACATTTCTGACTTTTGAGATTTAACAGTTTATTTTAGACTAAGAATACATCAAAAAGAGAAGAATAGACAGCCTAAAAACTTTTCTGTTATTAGATTCTGTAGGTACTCAGAATCTCCTTTGCAGTTCCATAATTCACTCACAGTCTTTCAGAATGGTTTGCATTGTAGAGAAACTTGGATTTTTTCACAGTGGTGGTGATAAGAACCAGAGGTCATGATGCATCCAACACAAATATAAAAACTTTATTTATTTTCCACAAACTATATGTGTCTTCTAGGTTTTACAGGTAATGTCGATAATAGTGGTATATCTGAGATAATGATTCTTCTTTGGGCACTATTTTGCCTTACATCACCCTGTTTGAACCCCTTTGCCATGGATAGATGTTAAAAAATACATTTTAGGCCAAATGCTCACCTCAAATCTGTCATAAATCAATGTCTCACACATCAGGCAGTTTATTAATAATCATTTCATGTAATAACTTTCTGTGAGGGAGGTTTCATGGGCATGAAACTCCACCACTGTGAATTCTGACATGGCATGTTTCTCTAGAACACAGCATTTCACATTAAACCACTCTGAATGACTTTTTTTACATCCTTTTTAATTATTTCATTGTGAAGAAATAATGAAAAATCACTTTAAAAGGTTCTTGACTTGCGACATTTGTACTCAAGCAGTTTATTGTAAAGATACTTGCACTTGAGTCATTGTTTAATTGAATAGCAATATGTTTACCTTAGTATGGCTTTAGGCTGCCATCATCAAAGCATTACATTTTCAAGTGTTTCGTAATGGTGGACCACCAAACACCAAACTCTATGAGTGTATTTAAAGAAAGCTGCTTTATGATGTTCTCCGACATTTTTTTCTCAAATCCAGTGTAATTTACCTTTTATAATCAAAAGTGTTCCCGATCCGAATCGCAGCTCGTTCAGAGCTATCACACCGCAGAAATAAGTAGCTGAATCTTCATTTTTTGTTGCTGAAATGGTTAAGTGAAAAATTCCTTTGCCTGTTGACACAATAAAACGTCCATCTTTAAAACCATCCAGATACGTGATGCCTTGTAGGTAATTGTAACCTTTTGCCATGGGTTCAGGCATCATGCCAAGCTCCTGCTTGTACCACGCCATGCTGTTGAAGTCTTTCTTAGGTAAGTAGCACTCTATTGTGACAGTTTCTCCAAGTTCGACTGTTTGAAGAGCTGCAGGTTGATTTATAAGCCAAGCTTTGATTCCACCTGAATCCAAAACAAATGTGTTGCTTTTACATCCAAAACATTCTGGCTGAAAATATAACTTAATACTAAAAAAGCTTCTTACCAACAAAGCAGAGAAAAAACACAGAAAGGGTAGCTGAGCAAGTCATGTTGTTGTGCTCTTGCGTAATAGCTTGAAAAAGAAGTAAGATGAGCTGAAGAATCAAGACTTTCAAGAAACAACATGAAGCTGGGCCTGATTGGTGGAGTGCCACATGCTGTGGAGGGTAAGATTTGATTGGCTGATCGCTTGAGTAACATTTTGACTTTGATGAATTTTACAAAGGGAGCAATGGTCTTGAAGAAGTTACTGTGCAAAGTTCCGTCACATTTTATATACGGCAGGTTGAACTAGACACTCACAGTATGCAACAAATAGGGTCTTTCTGCACTTCTTTCTTTGGTGATGAAGGTTTTTCACTAGAGTTTAGTTTATTTTAAGTTTCATTTGAGTTTTTTTTATTTTATTTGAATGCTATGTATTTCTGTCATGTCAGTATAACACAGTGTGAAAATGTGTTTTTAATTTACAAAATTTTTAGATAATTAAGCTTCTAATAGTAAGTTAACAGTACAATAATCTGTGTTTTACATTCTGTTAACCCCTTAAAATCCCAGGCTTATTATTCAGCAACTACAGGGACTTCTAACTGCCTGAGCTATTCTTAGGTTATAGAAGTGTGTAATAAAACTTTGGGCCCTGGCCATATAAGGGGTTAAAGCTGCAGTGGATAACTTGTATAAAAATAACTTTTTCTCATATTTGCTAAAACTGCCCTGACAGTGGTACATGAGACGGATAATCTGTGAAAATCAGAATATGTTTTGATGGGGTTGAACACAGCCCTGGCCTCTTTTAGTCATCATGGTTGCTAGCCTGCGCATGCACGGCAGCTTCCTCTGTGGGGAGGGGCTTTGGACTCAGTGGCAAAAGAGGGGGAGGAACCTTGAAGTTGTACTCGTTCAAATTTTCAAGCTCCTCTCAATCCTACCTACTATGGCTTTAACTTATTATTCAAAGTTCAATTTACTAAACACATAGGGAGTCCGGTTACGTACATACTCTTTTAAGTGTACTTCAGTGAAAAAATTTACATTAAGCAACATGTTTGGGGTCTTAAGTTCACTTCTTTAGCTTTACACTGGAGCTACAAGGCTACAAAGGAAGTAATAGAACCCTACATCCTACCAATAAACATTGCATGCCTAAATTGAAAATTGCTTGTAGTCCAACTATTAGTCCATTATGACTGTGACTGGGGATGAGACTGCATTCAAATTACTGAAAATAATCACTGCAATCACAAATGACAGCTATTTTTAAAATGTGGTATATATAAATGTCAGAATAGGTTATTTAACATCAACACGTGTAGTATTTCTAATCTGTATTTATGTGGCCTTGGGCTCATGGCCCTAGGTGGCTACCTGCCTTTGCCTAATGCAAAAACCGCCCCTGTTGATGGGATATTGGTGGGATATTCCATTGCTTTTAGCTATATTTGCATAATAGATCCAGTACAAAACTAAAGAAGCACCAAACATGTCTTGACTTCATTATCATGCATTTATAGTCGATTTAGCACACGTTTATAAGAAATATGTGAAAAGCTGAAGTTTAAACCACACTGTCAAATATGGATGTCAGTCTCCTTCTCTGGCTGCTTATGAAAGGGAGGGGTCAGGCAGCAGAATTTATGTAGGCAACAACTTTTACTGTCTCACAGCAGCTTACTTCATTTCAGTAAATTACAGTGCAGTGCCTAGTGTATTTAGACCTGTGCTCTAGACACAGATATTGGCTAAATATTGCAGTCATATGCATATAAGTACACTCATTTGTTATTGTTTAGTAATTTTATTTTATTATGTATCTCTACTTTCTTTTTATATATCTGTAAATAGTGTACAGCAATACGTTGCCCCTATTTATGTTGCTGTTGTTTGCTCTGCTGCAGTGGAGAAATCTATCTATCTATCTATCTATCTATATATATATATCTATCTATATGCAAAACTTTGAACACCCCAGTCAAATTACGTTTTGTTGATTTTCTCATGCTTGTGCAATTCAGAAATGCTAATTATTTTTATTTAACTTCTTGTGTAGTCAATCATAAAACCCAAATTAATTATAAATTTCAATAATTTATGCATTTGTTATGTTTAAGTGATACTGACCACATTGCCAAACGCTGAACAGTTAACTCTTAGTGTGAAAGTGGTCACTCACTAGCACAGACCAACACTCAACAAATGAGAGAATAATAGCCTGTTCTTTTAGCAACAACATAAGAGCAGGCAGCTAAGTAAAAATGAACAAAAGATGAACAAAAGCAAAGTTTTACATCAGTTCAAGTCACAAAAACACGTCAAAATCAGTTTCTGCTCTCTTCCACTGCACACTTCCACAGTGTGCTTTATCAAAAGTGCACCTGCTACCTCTCACTCAACTCACTCTGCATGACTGTTTCCTCATCAGTTTTATTTGCTGTTGCAGGTTCTACTGGATCCATTGCAGATGGTCACTTTGGTTCTGGTATGAGGAATTTGACTGACGTTGCAGTGCATCTTAGATGTTGGACATTACTAATGAGACACGATGCGTGTTTACAAACTCAGTCACATGCAAATGTTTGGGTGCCACTGGTCAAAATGACAGGTTTTGTTGATTTGTTGAAGTGAAAATGAGTTACACATCCTCTATGGAGAACATTTATAATTTTCTCATATATATATATATATATAATAAGTTTAAACTGAGCAAATCATTAACATTTATTAAAAATAGGAAAATATCATATTTACGTTTGTTCCTTCTAAAGGATGTGCCAACTTATTTTCACTTAGAAATTCAACTAAATGTGTTTATTTTGCATACAACGTACTATATATGTATATATATATATATATATATACTTCTTTTCTAGAGTAGTGCACTATGGACAAATTTCTGAGAATGTTGTTTTTGACTAAGACATTAAGACTTTTACATATGCTTAACTTACTCTGTCAGAAAGAGAGACCATATTAGGAAAAAATAAATAAAATATGTATTTCAAACAGAAGAGAGTCATAGCTTTATTGACATCCACAAATATTAATTGCATTTGATATTTAACTTTGGGGGTCACACATTATACATGTAGTCACTTCTCTATTTAAAAAAAACACTTTTATTTGATTTTCATGTTTTCATGTGATAAATTATGCTATGTTCAAATGTCTGACAAATAGCGGCAGAACATTTTATTTACAACAAAGTGTTTCATATCTGGTTTTGCCCTGTTACTCTGGAGTACACTGTCTCCTCCTGCTGTCTCACTCTCTTCACTTTAGTGCTTTTGGTGTTGAATTTTAAAGCCGCGTAGTTCATCTCATGATTCAGGTTGTACTGTGAAAACAGTGTTAAAACCCAGTGTTAAAAATCTGAAATGAAATAACCTGAACATGAGATATAAGTGGTATTTGAGTGCCAAACCTGTGCTGTTGACATGGTGTTGTCAGACGTCATGACTTGCTGTGATGAAATTTCTGTTGTAATATGGAAAAAAGCTGAATAAGTATTGTATAATTACAGTGAATGTAATGTAATGTAATTACTGTTCAGTCTTAGATATATAACTGTAGTCAGTCAGTCCCAACTAAGTCATGTAGACCTCAAACATCTTCTGCTGCTTTTACCAAAGGCTAAATCCTGAATTGTGGTTTCCAGTTTTCAGTTTTCTACATAATTTGAAACGACCAGCTGCTATTTACAATGTATTTACATTGTTTTCTCCTCCTATAAAGTTGCCATTTAAGAAGATTTTCTTACAACAGCATGCTATGCCACAGCCCCAGATAGCTGTTACTATTACTATGTTTGAAGAAAGCCTCAGGTAAAATGCCGCAAACTATAGAAATGCATGTTTTAGAAAATATGGACAAGAAGAAAGTTGACTTTGCGTAACGCAAATCAGGATTTGACCAGAGATAACAAGATAGTTTTACATGTATAAGTACTTACATATGTATGTACACATGTATTAGAGTGCTTACCCTTTTTTCTGCATGTTAAACATAAACAAACATTGATGGTCAAGCTTATAAATAACAGCACTGCCAGGCAAATCATTATGGTGACATGCATGCTTTCTCCACCAGGTTCATCTGAAATATGGCAAGATGAAAAATATTATTTATACAGTTTTTATAATTAGTTTTCAAAAACAAGAGTTCCCAGAGCTAAAACTGAGAACAACTGGTTGTACTTTTTCTCACTGTTCTGTATTTTGGGCATTATTAGTCTGTGGTAAGTGATATGTAAGTTAGTATACATTGTATGAAATATACATTATATTAAAAATGACCACAGTAACACGTGAGTTACTATGCCATAAGTAAGGTATAAAGTACAACGGTGCAGCATCCTATTACAGTACCACGCTCGAATTCAGTGAGCTCTTTAGAACGACCCATTCTGTCACAAATGTTTGTAAAGGCAGACTGCATGGCAAGGCGCTTGATTTTATACACCTGTGGCAATGAGACTAAATGAAACACTTGAATTCCATGATAAAGAAGTGCCCCAATACTTTTGTCCATATATGTATATATACATAAGTTTCTAATTGCACGTATTCACACATTTTCAACGTATCAGTTCATTTTCTGATCATAGCTTAAATATTAGATTTGCTCTGTTAGATCACTAACACTAATTCAACTTGTTTGAGCATTAAATTGTTAAACTGGGCTTGAGTCTGATCCCCATATACTACAGTTTCCTTAAGAAATTAATTTTTTTCACATATGAAAATACATGTTTAAACAGGACTCCACTTTCAGTTTTACCTCCTAAAATTCCAGATTTATTATATCCTTTGGCAATTTCATAGGTTTATTGGAAGAAGTTAACAATGAAAGGTAAGGCCTTGAGACCTACATGAGCTTGTCATGACAACTGACATAACCCTACATAAAAATTAATAAATTATTATTCCAATAGGTGTCATCTGTCAAAAAGGCTACTTTAGCTAACTGTGATCAAAATTGGCAAATTTAACCTTTACAGCAGAGTCCTGTTGAAATAAGCATTTATAATCATATCTAGGGTTATGTCAGTTGTCATGACAAGCTTATGTAGGTGTCATGCAGCTTCATGAACAGTACCCTACAATAAAGTGCTACCAAAGTATTTATATATAATTTTATAAAGTTTTATTCATGAATTTTTTGTAGTATTTTCTGTCATTGCAAAACTTTACAGGAAGAGGAAAAAACTTTCTTAACCTGAATCTACATTAATGTGAAGCAGAAAAAAAGTTGTCAATTTTAGTGTATGTTAATGTAATGAAATTTTATTCGAATAATTGTGGACCATTTATATTGGTTTATTGGTCAACACTATGTAATGGGCAACTGTCAAATTCAAATGCTGTAAAATGATACAAAAAATGTTTATTATGATATTATGACATAATAGGGATGAAAAGAAGAGCTGCTTATTTAAAGTAAACTTAAAATGCTTACCAACTTTGAGTTCAGCTCCTTTCCCAAACAGTATCTGTCCACATGCAGCCACAGCACAGTAGTAAGTTCCAGCATCAGAGAGGCTGAGGTTTCTCTTGGGGAGTTTGTAGACACAGCTCTGTGTAGGAGAATCAGTCTCAGAGCTTTTCTTACACTCATCACTCCTGTTTCCATGAGTGTAAATGATTCCTGGATGAGATTCTCCTGATCCATGTCTGAACCAGTACACACTGTGTTCTCCTGAACAGCCCTGAGTGAGCACTGTACACTGCAGAGACACAGAGTCTTCTGGCTGTAGTATCTGTGGTCCAGTGGGCTGCAGAACAGTATATTTCTTGTAATCTTGTCCTACCAAAATATCAGACTCTTGAGTAGCTGAAGCATAATCAGTCTGACATTTTCACACATTTGAATAGACATGACAAATCAACACAGCTCTCACCTTTGAGCACCAAAACTGTGCCAGCGCCAAAGCTGACAATGTTTGAGAAAGAGCCAGCGCAGTAGTACACTGCCGAATCAGATGGTTCAACCTTAGTGATAGTGAGGTTTGAGCTGCCAGCTGCTCTTGATAAATCAAAGCGTTTTGTCTTGTCAAAGTCATTATGAAATTCAAATGGTAGAGAGTGATAATATGAAGAGGTGACCAGAAGAGGTTTCTGTCCAATTGGTTGTTGGTACCACAGCACCTTGTTTATTTGGTCTGTGGGGTGAAGACATGATAAGGTCACATCATCTCCCTCTTTAGCAGTCACAACAGAATCCAGCTGCAAAATCTTTCCTTGAAGATGTCCTGCTAAACAGAAGCACAGTCACAACATTATCAATAATGAGTAAACACAGTACTGTGCAAAAATCTTACCTATGCAAAACCCTCTATTTGAGTAATAACGGTTTTTGCTTTAAAAAAATACTATGGTGTTGTTAGCTGGTTAGAAAAACAAAGATTTGATGACAGATTTCTCCTTGACATCCCTAGCCATCACATACAGTCGTATGCAAAAGTTTAAAAACCCCCATTTAAATGACATTTTGTTGATTTTTTAATTGAAAATAAGTGAACACATCCTCTGCAGAGAACACACTTAAATATGGCATTTTACTGTAAAATGTAGTGCAAAATGTGCAAAATTTGCACTATTTCTTTATTTTTTAATGACAAAATATTAAAAACACAAAATATAAAATGTGCCAGAACTTTTGCACAGGTCACATTTGGTTTGGCTTTGTTAGATTCAGTAAATAAAAGGTAATTGTGCATTAAAATGTGCAAAAACATTGCAAACTGTAGATTTTAAACTCCATCACCAACACTTCTGATTTAAATTAATGATAGGTTAAAAACCTAAACCAGTGTGTTGGGTGATAACAGATAACACTAGGTTTCCTTAAGAAAATGTTTGGAAATGGTTAAATAAACATATTAACATTCATAAAATCACTGCTTACTATGTTATTTATATTTATTCTAATTTTACTACTTTTGTAAGCTAATAAACTTACAGCCCAGATGTAAATGGCTTTTTAGAGACTTTTACACAGTACTGTACATTAACTGGTACTAGAGAAAGCTGATCTTTATAAATGTTTGAAAACAGAAACTTACACACAAGAGAGAAGAGCAGGGATGCCATATAAATCCCACTGGACATCTTACTCCAGACCCTTTGCTGTGTCTGTATATGTGTGTTCAGCATGCTTGTTGCTTGTTTCCCCTCTGCAACAGTTTTGTCAGGCACAGCAGAGAAGGCTAAAGTCTTTATATACTCCTGTGGCCTGCCTAGGCGTTCAGCATCACTGCCTGATTCGATTGGCTTGCTGAAAAGAAAAGACACATGGAATGCCCACAGGCCAGAATTCACAATGCATATTTGTAAAGATGTTCTTCTTCTTCTTCATATTATTATTATTATTATTATTATTGTTGTTGTTGTTGTTGTTGTTGTTATTAGTAGTAGTAGTAGTATTTTCTTTCTCTTAAGGCCATTGTTTAGATAACCTTTTGTACCATTTTTCATAGCACTAAAATGGAGACTTTTGATAATGTTTTCTACCAAAACGTGTTTCTAAACAAATATAATACAGAGCTTTTATTTTTGACTCTCATGGTTTTCTGTTGGCTTTTGCTGGCTATAATTACCCCCTTTCATCAGTGTATTGGAAAATCCTGTCAGAAATCTAGGGTAAGTTTCATTTGGTGTGTCAGGTCAAAATTAAGGGCATCTGATGTGGGGCAAAACAGGCATGGGTTGCACTCCCACACTTTCATGAAACAGCCAGCAGTAGCCAAAATTTCGCCATTGTGAAGTTAGACTCTTTATCTTCAGGATGAGTGACTTAACAACGAACATGCTGACAACTCCTTTGACTTCTTTATGCAGAGGGGAATAAATGGCTATTTCTGCTTTACTCTTCTAATTAAGTAATGTGATTTCTGCATGCTTACATTATTTCATTCTATTTTTAAATGGACAGAAAAATATCTAACAAAGCTGAAACTACCAAACCAATGCATAAATATTTGCTTTAGACTTTATTTTTTACACAAATAGGTTTGTTACTCTTATTGAACAAATAGATCCAATATCTGAATTAAGGTGTTAATGATTTGAATACTTGTGTGAATGTATACAGGCACTACTATGATACACATGATCAACCGTAATGTCACTCATCAGTGTTTAGTTTTTTATACTGTCAAATAATGGTTTACTTCCCTTATGACTTATCCTGTACGTAACAGTGTGATATGTTTTTACATAATGACCTGAATCTTTCATTTTAAAAGGTTTAAAACATGATTTTAGCCCCTCTCCATGGTGCTGAATACTTCCCTCTGATACTAATGTTATCCAGCATTGTTTTCCTAACCATGATGACTTAATGAAGCCAGCCATTGTACAGCAATACTTTAATCCAAAGCTCCTTCTCACATGTCACATGCTTGCTATAGTCCTGGTCTGCCAAAGGCTATGTATTATTATTTAATGTTGCTTTTGAGACATAATTTTATGTGAGATTACATGGAGCAAGTGGCAAAAGATATATTGTTGCTGTGGGAACAAAACCTTGTTCTCCGTTTTTGTAGTTTTTCAGTTTTTGACATAATATGAAAGTGCCTGTTGTCCCATATATTGTGTGTAAAATTCATGATGAATGGACCAACAGAACTGACCCAAAATTACTTGGGAAAAAAGTCTGGTTCCATTGGCTTACATTAAAAGTTTTTTTCCTTCTCCTGTAAAGTTCTTATTTTTGGAGATATGAGGTTCTGTTCCAACAACAGCAATATAGTACAGCATGAACTAGAGATTCATTCATGCGAGTCCAAGCTGAGTCTATTTGTAGAGAGTTTCAGCCTCTTAAAAGACCGAGGCCCACCAGCGGGCCCAAAGTTAAGAATTGTTAGGGCCCAAACCTAAGAATTGTTCAAACAGTTTGCATTGACGTCCCTGTAGTTGCTGAATAATAAGCCTTAGTATGTCATAAGCCTGGGATTTTAAGAGGTTAACCATTAGGATTGTTGCATGTTTGTTCTGTCCATCAGACTGAAGGTTTTTCTGTAAAGTGGGAGAACAGCATTGCAGTAATGCCTGTTTTTGACTGTAGCAAAACCAGGCAAACGCCAAGACCATGCATGAATAATTTTATTTCCTACTTAAATCTTTCATATATAAATAATTTAGTGTCTCAGTGAGAATGTGTATACAATTTTTTGACTCTGGTACAAGAAAATTCATTGATCTGTTAGTGGGTGCATGCCATTAAGAGGACATAATAATGTTTTCTTTTTAGTCCCCATCACTCTCTTGGCTTCATTATCATGACTCTCATGCTTTCTAGGCTCAAAGGGACGTCATATCCTGGTTCAGAACAGAAATCACATTATCGGGGCTTTCATCAGAGTAGCAATAACAAGTGACTGAAGTGTAAAGTTCTATGCATTTGAATACTAAAAGTGTTTGTGACAAAAGGGTACCATGTATGTAAGTATGTATGTTTACAATGATGGTTTTTAATTGGAAAAACTTTCTTTTGGGTCAAACATGCACAAATAAGACAAATGTGATTCATTGTGATTAATTACACAAGATGATACGATTAATCCGCCTTAATATACTGTGGCGTCAGAGAAGAATAATATGCGGGACATATAGTCTTTTTAGCAAATGCTCTTTTATTGAACATAGCGGCAGTGGAGAATCACTGCCCAATGCTAACTAAACAGTCTGAATTGCAGTCAGGTCACCTCTTACCATACTACTCTACTTGACAGTAGATACTGACTCCACACACTCTACCCCACAGCCCAGCACAGAATGAATTGCCATAACCACAACTTATTTACAGATTAAAGTCCCTCCCATCACAACTGTGGTGCTCCAGTGAGACTCCTTGCATGCCTGCTCTGCATGTCCACTGCCCAGGAAAATGGACATGCTGCTGGGCACGTGCTTCTCAGCCACGTTCACCCCTAGTATTCACTCAGGCCTGCATCCTCTTCTGAGAGACTGAGCACTGTGTCCTCTTCACCACACGTGGCAGGACTTCTTGCCTCGGCTAGCCGGCATGGCAAGCTGCATATACTGACCCAGCTCCTCTGGCAGCCCTTCCTCAACACTGGATATGCCGAACCCACACACTCAGCTCTGCCACCTGCTCAAAGCATTGTTGGGGTGCCATAGCCAACACCGCCAGGCCACCACTCTGCTCCACAGGCAGGTTCTCACAGGCTGCCATTCAACCATCCTTGCTGCTATCTGTCCATCCATCCTTTCTGCAGTCCTCCTGCTGTACTGATCTTCTGCCATCTCTGCCTGTCCTCACTGCACTGCTTCTTCTTCCACAGTGCTCATTCAGGCTTGATCATTTCTCCTCTCAAGACCACTGGGGAGTGCTATCCTACTTCTGGTGCCAATGTGGCATAAGTATAGAGTAGGACACAGGGAGGCCATGAATTCCAACATGAGAAGTGTGCTTTATTAGGCCCTGCACAGTTGTTTTTTTCTGTGAAAATCTCCCATTTAGTCAGTGTGGCACAGGCTTGAAAATGGATCATATCAGTGTGGACTGTGAACCTGAAGAGGGAAAATCGTAGCCTTGTAGCAGCTTCTTTGTGGTACTGTTTTTGGCCAGATTTCTGTTTGTTAGATAGCTATTCAAAGGTTTTGCACGTCAACTATATTGTTAACACAAAACTGAAGTCAGTTTTTTTTGTTCACCAGCTTCTTGTTCAAATTTTCCTGTTCCGCTTAAATAGAGCAGCACTTACATTCTGGCACCTGATGCATACATACTTACATACATACATCATCTAAACCCCTTATCCTTCTGGGTTGTGGTGGGGTGCTGGAGCCTATCTCAGCTGTCATTGGGCGGAAGGCAGGATACACCCTGGACAGGTCGCCAGTCCATCGCAGGGCAGACAGACAGACATACCTATACAATCACACACACACTCACACCTAGGGGCAATTCATCATTTCCAATTGGCACCTGAGGCTTCTTATTTAAATTTTTAAAATGGACCATTTAGGGTGGAATGCAAAAATTTGAACAACAAGCTGGCAACTTCAGCGTCGTATTGTTAATTTTAAATGTAGAGAGTGACTAATCTTCCTCTTGCATCCAAAAACTGAGCATTTGCATGCCATCTCCTATTAGCTATAATGTTAAGTAGAGCAATGCAGAGTATGTGAAGTGTAGTAGGGTCAGTTGATTTCACAGTTCATGGATGTGCAATGTAAGGTGGCTTATGATTCTCTTTAGTAAATTAGTGTTTTCTGGGACATCTAAGACCACAGCAACTGAATTGCAATTCCTAAACATTGGTTAGGGGGCAGTATACAAAATAATACAAAATTTAGATTTCATTTTATGCACTCTGCAGTGCCCAAAAAATGTTGAACTGAAGTAGAAGTATAATCACACACCTCCTGCTAATATAATAATTTGAGTAAGGAAGAAAAGTACAGTGCTGAGCCTTTAAATACCAAGGCAGAAAGGCACATACAGAAGCATGAACCCACGGGGAGGTCACCACTAACCACAGGCTTCGCCTTCATGGTAGACCAACCCCCAGCACAAAACATGCTAAATAAACCACACCCTGACACATAATAACACAAATAACACATCTACACAACTTAAACTAAAGCAACAACAACATAAAGAACAATAAACAGTCTTTTTTAGGAGGGCTTACCAAGAGCCCCCACACGTGGCTGCTGGCATAGCCACAGCCCACAGCCCCCAGGTATCGGGTTGCTTTATATATATATATATATATATATATATATATATATATATATATATATATATATATATATATATATATATATATATATATATGTATATGTATGTGTGTGTGTGTGTATATATATATATATATATATATATATATATATGTAATGTGTGTGTGTGTTTATCATTTTAAGTACTGTGCAAAGATACCTGAGAGAATTAGAACAAAAAAACTGTTTATTTGGCCATTAGGCATTTATTTGCTCTACTGATTAGAATAAACACAAATAATATTAATACAATAGGTAATGATTTTACAAATGTCAGTGTGTTCATTTAACCATCACTAGATCTGGATGTGGCAGTCCATTATTAATTGTAGTTATCATACAACACTTGGTTTGGCTGATCAGTGCTTCATGATCAAGTGTGTTGGTGATGGAATTTAAGAAATCTATGGTTGTGGGTATCAAGACAAAATCTGAAACCAAACTTTGTTCAAACTAGTTCTTAACACTACTTTTTTTTTTAATCTTGTTAATTTTTGTTGTATTATGTTAATTTGCATCTATTCTAACAGTATATGGTGATTTTACAAACACTCATTGCCAAGATAAATGGTTCTAAAGAATGTGATTAGGTGCCTAAGACTTCTGTATGGTACTATGTATATATAGTCGTATGCAAATGTTTGAATATCCCAGTCAAATTACACGATTTGTTGATTCTACAGGAAATAAACTTTAGTACGGCATTTTTGCGCAGTTTTGGGTTGACAAATTCAATATATTTGCCGAGTTTAATATAGAGGGAAAAAATAAAACATAAAATATAAAATGTGACAGAGGCCACATTTATGTTTTCTTCCAATATGTTAAGTAGATTTGTTTTCTATAGAGGATGTGTTAACTGTGTGTTCACTTGACCAGGGGCATGTAAGCTTTTGCACATGACTGTGTGTGTGTGTGTGTGTGTGTGTGTGTGTATGAATATTGCTAAGGCACCTACAAAAGTTTGTTTACTTAGACTAGGGTCAAGCTAAGCATGAGCATATTTAATTTGCATCTTCTCAATCCCAGACAATTAAACCTTGGCCACAACACTCCCCCCAGTCGAACGAACCCCTACTACAAGCAGGGCAAAGGTGATTACATCTAACATACTACTAACTTCACTTCTGAGAACAGACAACCACCAAGAAGTGGGCAAGTATCAAAAACATATGGGTTAAAGAACACTGTGTTTTTTTGAGTAGCATGCAGGTGAAAGTGCAGTGGAACAATGCAAAGACACCCACTCAGAGAAAAAAGGATAGTGGCATTATTGAGTTTATATTAAAAAAAGGGTAAAAAATAAAGGTGAACAAATGAAAACATGGAAAAATTTATGAAATGTTAATTTAGATACACTGCACTCCTGGAAGGGAAAGTGGGAAACCATGCCACTGCTGGAGGTCAACTTCCATATCTTCAAGTAGAAGAGTTAGATTGGACTTTTAAAGTGTGGAAAAAGCTGTCTTCTGGTGCTCTCCTGAAGCATCTAGACCCCATCCAGTCATTTGTAGTAGATGTGAATCCCTCTGAAGTAAAAGAGGACTGCACTATCCCACTGAACGTACATCATCATCAACGGGGAACTCCTGTTACTTTACTTCTAAAGTCATATCTAAACCAGGGGCTTCCAACCAGCACACTATAGGCTGATACTGGGCCTTGGGTCATTTGGAATGCATCAATAGAGGGAATAATGGCTGCACTGCATTTTTTTCTATATATTATTATTTTCAATACCATTAATATTTTTATGCAAGCTCTTTTGAGGCTTAATATGTGCTAATTTAAAAAGTCCATAAAACAGATTTTATATAATCATTAATACATGAATCTACACCACATCTCTTTATAGCCTTGTGCGTGTGTATAGGTTGCTATCGGCTACTTTCAAGTGATGAAAGTAACTAGTGACTAGCATAAGAGAAGTTAAAAAATTACAAAACTGACAAACTATGTTAGCAGGCCCAGAAAAAAAAATAACAGAAAAAAATATAATTTCATCAAAAATATGATGACTGCTACATGAAATACAGATTTACTGGGAATGCTAATTTATAGCAATTTCTTGATATGAAATCACTATGAATGGTCACTTGATCAGGGAGGCTGAGAGGCACCTTCCCCCATAGTTAAGGACTCTTTTTTGCTGGCTGCGTGTGAGATGCTACCCCATAACACTGAGGTCCCCGAGGCTGAGATCTTCACCCACCACTAAAGACTCTTTCTAGGCTATGAGGCTTCCTGGGCCGGCCGCTAGAACAATGCTACACCGCAGCTAAAGCTGCCTCAAAGCTGTCACAAAGCTGCCTGGGCTGGTCGCCTGTGTGACATTACACCACGACTATGAGGGCTCCTAGGCAGTTAGGGATCTTTCCCGGCAGATAGGAAGGCTTTCTGGGCTATGAGGCTTCCTGGGCCACTGAGCTACATAGCTATGAGGCCTCTCAGGCCAAGAGAGACCTGGTCCCATGGCTAAAGGTGTTTCTCCCTGACCTCTGGGGATCTATGTATGTGTGTGCTGTGGGTTGTTTTGTTTATTGTTGATCGTGTCTTCTGTTACTGGGTATGAGAAAGGCAGTGTATACATTTTTAATATATATTTTTTTTCAATATTAAAATGCAATGACAAATACAGTGACAGAAAACAAAGCACATTTTGTTTGTCAATATATTAACAATTTGTAATTAAACATTTTAAATTTGTGGATAGGCCTTATTGGCTTCTTAGACTTCTCACACTGTGTGTGTGTGTGTGTTTGGAGGGGGCTTGGGGTCTTCTGAGGACACTCCTCCCCTTAATGCTTTGTTCTGGTGTGTGGTACACAGGGAGTGGCATCGGAGCGAATGAGGCCATGAAGCAGTTGAATTACTAAGCAACAGCTAAACAAAGTCTAATAATGTCTGGTGCAAACACCCCACACACACACACTCCCCCACCAATATGTGAAAAACAACGTAGACTGTGGTTTGGTCTGTATTGTTAAACAGGTTAGGAAGCACTGCTCTAAACCCATTCAAATCTGTACTATTTGGAAAGTATTGTGGACAACCCAATAGTCTGTTCAGTAGTATTTTGAAAATGAAATAGACAGTCACAGTACACATTATTAAAGGACATGTCCTTGACTTTACTCTAAACCAGAAGTAGCTAGTTATGCTTAATTAAAATGACAAATTTTGCTTGAAAACCTAGAAAGTAGTGAGAAGAAACAGTCCAAATACAAATAGTATAGCCTTTCTAGTGCATAAAGAGAGTCTTGTATATTTGGCTAATGTTAGGCCTACAGAGATCGTTAACTTGTTGTATGACTTTGTTTATGCACCCAATTTTTTGGCCTCTTCAGTAAGGGCAGTAATTATGACACGTAACACGGGTGGTAAATATTGGGATTGAAAGTTTTGTTGAGAAATTTGAAAAAAGGTGTTGTAGTCTTCACAGTCACT